ATTTGTGATAATAGTGAATAATTAGACCTATAATAAAGTACCTATAATGATTATTTTGACTCAGAACATTTTTATTTGACTGTTACTTTGATTTCACCCATTAAGTTAAGAAATTAAGTTTATGATTTCACTTGATAACATGCGATGATGATTTTCGTGGGGATTTTGTTCTATTTCCATCAAATTGATACTAGGCAGTCCTAAACCTGTAAAAGCATGAAGGAAAGTTCATTGAATATTAGGCTGGGGATACATATGCCAGTAAATTGGGAAAGTAGCTGGCATGAAAGTTACTGGCATGTATGTATGTACTTTTTTTTGTGTCTGGAAAATGCCTTACGCATCCTTCAACCACTGGGGGAGCGAAAAGAAGGTATGTGGGACTCCTCCCTGTCCTCTTCAGCCAGTCCTGGAGCTCGCTCATATGAACAGGGCCATACCTACGCCCTGAACAGGGCCACTAAAAACCAGACAATACTCATGCACCGTCACCCGACACGCACTATGAGGACCGCGGTCCCCCTAGTGCGTGCCGAGAGGGCGGGTGTGGTCGCGGAACCCGTCTCCGAATGGCCGCGCATGTACGAGTACCTGTGGGCCAATCGCCTAACCAGATTGCTTTGGAAAACGCTATCGCTTACGATTTCATTTTGTTATTTCTAACCGCCGAAGGTTTTCAAATACCTCACGCTCATTTTCTTTAACATTGTTATTACCAATGAAAAAGAAAAAAAAAGAGCGCGAGGCATTTGAAAACCTCTGGCGGCTAGAAATAACAAAATGAAATCGTAAGCGATAGCGTTTTCCAAAGCAATCCAGTTAGGCGATTGGCCCCCTGGTACACTGCGGATACATTTGCAAGTAAAACTGGCATACAAGTTGTGCCCTTGCATGCCAGTATTAACATCGCGTATAAACAGGACAGGGGGCCAATCGCCTAACGAAAATGTTTTGGGAAACGCTAACGCTTACGATTTTATATTGTTATTTCTAGCCGCCTGAGGTTTTCGAATACCTCACGCTCATTTTTTTTAATATTGTTATTACCAATGCAAAAGAAAAAGAAATAGCGCGAGGCATTTGAATACCTCAGGCGGCTAGAAATAACAAAATAAAATCGTAAGCGTTAGCGTTTTCCAAAGCCTTTCCGTTAGGCGATTGGCCCCCAGTTCGTGAGAGTCATTCGTACCTACCTATTCTTGCGCGCCAAATATGGATAACAATCGAAGTGAATTAAACAAAATCATGTTGTTACTAGCATTTAATTCAGATTTAAATTAAATTTAATTCTTCTTGTATTTTGCTGTAGGCATTTGGCACGTGCTATTTTGTTTTTGTAAAGCGAGCTAGTCGGCTTCCAAAGTTCGTATTCTCTGTACAAATAAATGAACTGTTTAGTTTTCTCATCTCCCCATCGTGCCATGTTGGATACAAAAAGCAGAAAAAAACCTTGAAAAACTTGACATCGGAAATCAAAACAAAAAACCTGCGCCTACGGTCACAACGAGTCGGCTACTGGCATGCCCGTAACACGTCTGTTCACACGTGCCAGGTTAGCAGCCCCCCGCGTCCCCTCACTCAACGGGCATGCAAGTAAATCAAATGTTGTGCTAGCTGCATATGCCAGTATTACAGGCATGCCAGTTAGTTATGCCACACATGACAGTAGCTGGCACGTGCAAGGAGCTGGTATGCTAGTGTGTAAGCTACGGGCATGTGTATCCCCAGTTTTATGTAGGTATTCTGTATTGAATCAGCCCAGACTCTAGCCCTAATTACAATTGTGAAAAATATTGTATTTTAATAAAAATATTTACTGATAATTCAACCATTAAAATTTTCTGATATTTTTTTTAACTATTAACTTCTAACTAATAAATTCAACCATTAACGCCACCTCTAACGTGGACTATCTGTTGCGATGGAAGGACGTGAACTAGCTACTACAATGGTAGGACCTGAACTCTTGCTGCCATGGAAGGCCGTAAACTATCTGCTACAATGGTACGAAGTGAATTCTGCTGCCATGGAAGAACGTGAAGTAACTGCTGCGAAGGAAGGACGTGAATTATCTACGGCGATGAAAGGATGAGAACTATCTACTGCGATGGAAGGACGTGCACTTTTCACTGCGATGGAAGGACGTAAACTATCTACTACGATGGAAGGACGTAAACTATCTACTACGATGGTAGGACGTGAACTATCTACTGCGATGGAAGGACGTGAACTTCTATCTACTGCGATGGAAGGCCATGGAAATTCGGCTTTGACATGAAGTCTCTTCTGAACTCTCTGAAAGGACGTGATCTGCTGCTATAGATATAATAATAAAAGTGAGTAAATGACAAGGCTGATATTATTTTCAGTTAAATAATATTTTTGTTTCATATTGACACTTGCTCCGAGATAAAAACACAGTTGTTTACTGATAAATCGACTTCAGTATGTCGTATTGAGCCCTGTGCTATTATTATTGTATCTTTGATAAATGGTTTATAGCGTGTAAGTATGTATGCGATAATTTAATTAACTCTGTAGAAAATTTTACCAGAAAAAAATCTAATCGGTTCATATTGCAGACGGGATTAAACTAGATCGAGTGGTTGGTTTTCTAGTAAAATTTTCTTTAGATTTGTAACATCCAGTAGTTAAATGCTTAAAAATAAAACATAGTAAGTCTATTATATGTTTATTTTTAAGCATTTAACTGCTAGATGTTTAAATCTAAACAAAATTTTACTAGAAAAAAAACCGGTCAAGTTCGAGTCGGATTCGCGCACCGAGGGTTCCGTACAAACCTGTAGGTATATTTACAATTTTCGCAATTTTTCCTTTATCTGTGCTATATTTTAGACGTTGCTTCGTACCAAATTTTGTTTTGATCCTAAGTTCACGGGAAGTACCCTGTAGGTTTAGATTTCCTTGCGAATTTCGAAAATTTGCGGCATAAACTACTGTATCTTTTGATTGCGTTGGCTTAGAAATTTGATTTTTTCACAGCTCTAAGTGACAGTAGACCTGAGTATATGATATAAATTTCAGCTTGATACCTCCACGTGTTCCTGAGAAAAAGGGTCTTGACAGAAAGACGGACGGACGGACAGCAAAGAGATCCTATAGGGGTTCCGTTTTTTTTCCGCAGAACTAATCTAAACTGTGTTATAAAAATATAGATAAATCTGTGAATAATGGTAATTCCATTAATTCTTTAAAATTCTGGCAACCTCATGGTCAGATTGTGCAACACTGAAGTGCAATATTTTCCGCGTGACCTGCACCTAAAATCGAGAGAAAAACTTTGCCTTTATACCTTTTTTATCGTTATAAAAAATCGTATTGTACTGTCGTGTAAAACATAATTATCACAATGACAATCCGACTAATCAATGTCGCGCCGTATTACAGAATGAGTCTGTTTTCCAAAATGACTAGACGGTATGTAATGAATATGACTGCTGCAAACAAGACAAGATACGCACATAACATTATAAAACTTACCTAGTCTATCTAGTATGAAATATAATTTAAGGATGCACATGTAAAAATTCATTCGGTGTATGCCTCATAGCTTGTTGGTATACTAGCTAGTATTGCTAAATAAAACTAGGTTTAACGGGTTAATGCACGAATTTTTATTTATTTAATGACGTTTCGCAGCCTTTTCAGGTCTGCATCGTCAGAATACTGATTTTTTATTTAGTACTGCTACCAAATCCATTACTGTAGTAATTTTATAATGGAGTTCAAGTTTCGGCGAATCAATAATTTTCCTGTGTATTCAATACATTTGCGAACTCATTATAATAGACAGGGGTCTACACTCAGTTCATATTCGATATAATATCGTCTATGCTTCTTTTGTTAATGACGTAGAGTAGGACACGACACGTCGATCTCTATAATCGAATGCGTACGCCCTCAGGATTTGATCGATAATTACAAGAGTGCAATAGCCGGCTGCAGATGTGTGCGAGCCGCGTAGCCAGCTGCCCCACAAGTTTTGTGACAAGGGCAAGGGCACGGTCCATGTCATAAGCGGAAGATTTTGTAAGCAAAACACAACTAAAAGAGATATTTCTTTTAGTTGTGGACTAGATGGGTGACAGTATTGATGTACTGGAAAGGGACAATAAAAATATTTTTTTTTGTTAATATTTTTGTTTTAAGCACGTAACTGCACGTAAAGAAAATTTTAGAAGAAAAACCCATCCATTCGGATATCGGAAGGTGTAGGTTCGATTCCTGTCTGATGCTTGTATTTTTTATCATACACATAAGACACTTTCACACAACAATCGTCTCAACATGCGTGGCTATCCACAACCGTGCGATTTGTCGATTTTTTTTACCACGTATGACAATACTGTGGAATATATTTATTGTCGACAACAGTGTGTCCGGACCAATACGACCCGAAAATCTTCAAAAAAAATGTGAGCCGTCACGGGACGCCTAGCAGATGTGAATCACTAGCCGGTTTACGATAAATACACTCGGAGAGTTACTCGGGATGCGTGCGGTAAAAAATGACATAGATCCTACCTCTGTGCCACAGCAGTGGACATTAATAGGCTGATGATTGTACACTGGTTGTTTGTAATTGTTTTCACTTCGACTCGATAGATGGCGCCGAATCCGCAGGCGTTTAATACTTGGACTGTAGCGTAGTCCACTATTGAGGGTGGGTGGTGGACATTGCAAATGTGCGGGGTTTCATGGTTTACCTAATCCTAATACTGCATTCCGTAATCAAGTCTCGGCCAATTCAATATTGTGTTCATGATGAGACTGCTTTTTATATTCTCCATTTCAATGTTTTATTTTTACTGTGCGCGTGTAAATTGTAGTGAGTAAACTTAAGTGTTGGTGTATGCTCAGGTATACAGGAATTCGATTTAAAAAATATTCCTCCTAAAATAACAGTGTTTTTTCGACTGAGTTTACTGTTTAGCTCAGGTACAGGTTAGCTAAATACCTAACTAGTCTATTCATTATTTGATACTTACTTTACATGGTGTATGTAAAAGAAAACAATCAGGTAATGATGTATTTATTAACTGGATAATTTAGTTATTAGTGTTATCGCCAAGCGTAGCAGTGGCATTGAACTTGAAAATATTCAATGTCATTACATAACTTTGTAGAGTAGCGGGTAACGCGGACACGCCTCCATAAATCGTCGATCAGTCGTCGTCAAAATCGCTACAACCGAGTTGGATATTGTAGCTACTTGACTTATATTTAATTTAGTATCAGTCATCAGTCACATCACAGTAGTTCCCATCCGACAGCTGGCTAGGACGCACGCGCCATGAGTGAAGATAACCTAACAGCGATGCTTTACAAGACGAAGGATCTGAGGCTGGTATGTACCTCTTTATTATGAAATAAAGATCTTAGGTTATCACTGCAAACGTCATAATTTTTGGACGTGTGCGTCAATAATATAATTATTACGTAGATAGTAACACATTATCCTTGCCGCCGTCGCTACTATAATCAAATGTTCTTCGTGTTCCTAAGTAGGTCGATCAGCAAAATAAATACTACAACCACATGCGATAACATCAATTAGGGTAAATTTATAGTACTGCTAGTTAAATAACAAATTGTGTCTACTAGGTACTTAAAAAAAAGTTCAGATATATAAATCTAACCTTAAACGCACAGTCATAGAGACAATCGCTAGAAACAAATATTTTTACGATTATTTTTGTGTTATATTCTGTATGAATAAAAAGAAATATAATATAAAATTATATATATATTTAATTAGATATGAATACATAGTCTTAAAATAGATAGGTAATTAGATATTGCAGTAACTAATTACTTCCGAAATATTTCTCAGATGAGTAGCACAAAGTGAATCTATTAATAAAATGCGTGTACAACATTAACATAAATTGAGTAAATAAATAAGTAAGGGAATGAATGTAACTTTCAGAAATGTGTTTCTTCTATCATCGTATTTTAACTAGATCGAAAGAGCTATAATAATAATGAATCAACCAAAATTAATATTTGTTTATTTCAAATCCAGGTACAAACACCAATTCCAGAAATAGCCGAAGATGGTGAGTAGACATACGAGTACCTATAACAATATTGGTATGTAAATATAATATGAAGAGATGGCGCCGTCTTGCAGCTAAGATACTAAATTCAATTCGATTGACCCGTGAAGGTCTCGGTACAAAGGGATTTAAATAATACAATATGCTATAGTATAATGACTTTGTCTCGGTAGCAAAGCGACCAGTGTGTAGTGCATTGTAGCGAAGGACGCTGGTTCGATCCCAGCATTCTCTGTGTTGAATTATAGGAAAGAGCAATCGGTTTCCTTTGATTAAATTTAAAAAATCTGTCAATTAGCAAAGGGACGATAATTTTTGAGAGTAAAAAATTCACAACAGGATGAAACCCAAAAGCAAAAGGAAGAGAACACATTAAAAAAAAGAGTAAAAAATAATTACGGGGAGAAACGCGCGTCACGTTTTTCAATCTGCAACTTATATCGAAAAAAGTTAATGTCAAAATTATAGGTAGGAAAAAGATCTACAACTATTGCATTTACTTTTTTTAACATAACCTAAAAAAATCTGAGAATAATCAAAATAAACCGTATTTTGTTATTTTATTAAAAACTGACTAAAGAGATTTCATCCTGCCCGACATTTTTCAATTTTTTCGATTATCAAAGGCATTGGCTGGACTTCCATGTTTTTAAATTCATAATAAAGATTTCTGCTTATTGTAATTTAATTTTTGTAAGAACCTAATTTGTGTGTTATCAAAAACAACTACTTGCAATTTATTATCATCTAAAAGTACACCAACACTTTCGACTATAAACTTCGATCAATCAAACAATTGATCGAAGACTATACACCATAAATTCGCTTACTCTTCCGCAGAGGTACTCCTGCGCATGGACTGCGTGGGCATCTGCGGGTCGGATGTCCACTACTGGAAAAGCGGTTCCTGCGGGCCTTTCATAGTCAAGGAACCCATGATCATGGGCCACGAGGCTAGCGGAGTCGTTGCTAAGGTAACATACTTATTTATTATAATGCGATTCAACTAAGAATAGGACCGGCTGGGCGTCATATTTTGACGTCATAGCTGTCAATTCAAACCAAATAGGTAGAGTGAGCAAAAAAAAGTTTCTATTTAATAAAACTTATTTACTAAGAAGTGAGTAAAAACATCAGATTTTTTATAAAATTAATTTACTAAGATTGAGAAACAAAACAACCGATTATTAATAATATTTCTTTATTAAGACTGTGTGAGAAAAAACATTAATCAGAATCTAGCTCTTCAATTCCGCTCATTTCTGCATAACCGCCGGAGTAGTTATGAATAATCATGCAGGTCACATACGAACATGCAGGATGCATGTTAAGTAAACGAAAGTTTAAAATCGAGTTTCTGAACGCAACATAAAGTGATCCAAAACTCAATAAATGAAAAAAAATATCGACCAATATGAATTATCAATATTTGTTATTGTTTGTTTAAAAATGATTGGTTTTAATCTAGAGTGCTAAAAAAGTGTTCCGAGATTTTTTGCAAACCGTACTTTTCATGCGACATTTGACAGATGGAGGTTATCAACACTTTCTATTCTTATTTGAATCGCATTATATAATATAAGCATATCACACCCATCAAATCCGTAAGATAGAATTAATATAGAATAATCTCAAGAAGCAGATATAAATTTAAATTAATTACTTAAGAGCGGACGCGAGCTGACAAACATTTGAGAAATAGGTATTTGAAAAAGCTATTGTTGTCACTGCTTGAATTAATGTTGTAACGTTCTTTCAAATAACAAAAGCTTAAGACAACGTTCTTGGTAGTTCTTTTGTCTTCTTGTCAGTCGGATAGCGTAGTTTTTCGTTCAAAGCTTCAGAGCCATGGTCCCTCAGCCTTACTGTGTCTTAGTTTTTGACGACTGCAGAAATTGCAGCTAATTAAGTCACATAATTCTTCATTACATTGTATTATTAACACTTGAGAGTGTTGAGTTTATGTCATGAGGAATACATCGATGTTTGACAAAAACGGAGTGTTGGGTTTAGCCCGGCGACGTGAGGATGGACTGTTGTGGAACTAGGGTACAGATATCATCCTCTATTTCGTACGAATTCACTCTGCAGGTGGCCAGCGATACATCGAAGGACCCGTTGAAAGCCAAAATATTCCAAAAGCATAATAATATGGTGGGAACGACCGAAAGCCAGATAGAGGTCCGAGCACGAACGTTGACATCTCCATAATCGTATCGTATCGTTGAAAGTTCTATGAAAACTAAGCAACGCCGATACCGGACGAAAGAACAAACTGGTTCCTTTCATAGAAAATTTTATGATAACGATACGATTGCGGAGCTGCGCCAAAATTCGTGCCTGGGCCTCAGGTCCGGCTAAAATCGGACAGGTTCTATGAAATCCCTATGTGGATCACCTTTGTCGATCGCATCAACGTACATATTTTCCATTTGTCAGAATGTGATGTGGTAGAGTCATTTTCTCCTGGATATCTTTTAAAACCTATTTATCGACGAAACGTGAGCAAGTCGACTGTAAACATATAATTTAAGACAAACTCGGTGGAAAATTTACTGTTGCTTAACAACCGTGTTTTGTTCAAAAGATTATCATTTCGTAACGTATATTTTATTTACCTTTTATCTTTTATCTAAATCCATTTTGTGCAAGATACTATGTATGTAGGTGGGATTTCTTATACATACGCAAAGTTATAAAGTCAACTGCCATGTCGATTTGGAAATATAGCAAAAAATCGAATAAAACTTGAAAATTTTGCAAAGTTTACTTTGAATTTTTTGGACAGAAATTAAATTTTAATATATGTAACTTTCACATATGTATAATACTATTATTTATTATTACGCTTTATTAAGAATCGGTGGATATGGTCGATTATTCAATAATAATAGTGTCTCATCTAAATAAATTTTGATATACATCTACTTACGTAATATCGTTAACAGTAAGAAGACATTTTCCAATTTTCTTGTTTTTTCATCCTTTTTCTCATAAAGATAGGTAAGCAAGAACGCTCTATTTACTTTCAATCACTCACATGCACTTACTGCATGCATACATGCAGTAAGCATTAGAAAATGTTTAACCAACAAAACTCAATTACCTTATCTACTATAAAGTAATGCTGTACTAAGGCTGTACTGTAAAATCTGATACTGTACCTAACTCATCACCTTGAAGGACTCTTAAGGATTGACAAAGATCTCAACTCTATCCTTCTCTGCAGAAACAGAATACCAATTTCCAGAATAGTGTTATTCAGTATTTCAAGGCTTGTTGTGTTAGATTAAAAGTGATGCTGAAATGGACACCAACAACTTAACTTTGTTAGGTTCAGCCCATTGGACGAACTGTCGATTTTTAGATGATCGTTCTTATTTGAGCAGGAATCCGCTAAAAGTACTTTATTTTAATACAAATTGCTATACAGGGCTACCAACCAACGTATGTTTGGTCGGTCGACTCTTCTCCTTTGTTTGAGCTGTAGATTCGCTGTGCTTAATTTCTCTTTACCGTTCTTCTTTCTTTGCAGCGGGAGTTAGCGCAACTCGACGTTGTGGCTCCTAAGAGCTTTCCGCCTATCGCCAGTATTGCTATGGCTATAGCTATAGCTTATGATTCCATTTTGTTATTTCTGGCCGCCGAAAGTTTTCAAATACCTGATGCTCATTTTTTTTTTATTTAAATAACGCTATTTGTATTTATACTGTACGACACCGCATGAATGCAGGTGAACAGTTAATGTATAATTTCACATTATCTAATGAAAGGTGACTTCATGAATCATCTCTGAAGTCATTTTTCAACTTGACGACTCTGTAAATAATAAAACAGGGAGAAAAAAACTGCCCTTGCTGAGTTCCTTGCCGGTTCTTCTCAGTACAAGGTCCATGCCGTAGATTTACGAACCGATCGATGGCGTAGCTTCTAGACATTCATGAGTGCTTGTAACAGTCTAAACTGAATAAATGATTTTGATTATTGTTTACTCTGCTAAATAAATTTACTATCAGAATTTGGTTGTCACTAACAGTGTTTGTAAATCCAGCTAGGTGCGAAAGTAAAGTCCCTGAAGGTGGGCGACCGCGTGGCGATCGAGCCCGGCGTGCCGTGCCGCTACTGCGAGTTCTGTAAGACGGGCCGCTACCACCTGTGTCCCGACATCGTGTTCTGCGCCACGCCGCCCTGCCACGGCAACCTGGTGCGCTACTACAAGCACGCCGCCGACTTCTGCTACAAGTCAGTGAACTTTTGATTTAGTAATTAATACTATAGGGAGAATACGATAGGAAGCAACGCTCTTGTCAGTGCAGTCAATAAATAAATAAATATTTCTCACACTCACACCAATTGGCCTAGCTCTAAAGTAAGCACTGTAAGGCTTGTGTTATGGGATGCTAAAAGTCTATGGTTCTTCAGCCATCTCATCTTTGACCTCCCTGTACGCCTTTAATACCTATACGCTATACATATTCATTGCAACAGCATGAAATTGTTATTTAACTAAATGTAAATGACAAGTTTTTAATGTAAATGGCAAGATTTTATGAAAAGGGATCCCACAGGGTGGTGTAATAGGTCCATTTATATAATATGTGATCTTCTAATTCCGATAACGAGGGTTAACGCTTTGACGTATGCTATGTATTGATGCCTGTACTATGTCCAGTGTATTTTCATCGAAGACAGCCTTTGGATTTCTGAGATATTTGTATCGGTATCGTCGGCCATGTAATCCATTGCAGTTTTTGTCATGCGGATAATTATCTGTTGATAGATTGCCGGACCACGTGACGATGGAGGAAGGCGCACTCCTGGAGCCGCTGTCCGTGGCGGTGCACGCGTGCCGGCGGGCCGCGCTGGGCCCGGGGCAGTCCGTGCTGGTGCTGGGCGCCGGGCCCATCGGCCTGCTGCTCATGCTCACCGCGCGCGCCATGGGAGCCAATAAAATTCTGATCACAGGTACGCTGTGCTCAAGATAAGTAGCTAATGAAGAAAACACGGGTGATGGATGGGTCAAATCTATACAGGCACACAGCACGTTCAGGATGCCTTTTGATGTAAAAGCGTCTGATGAATGAAGTTTGAATCAGAGACAGTTTTTTCATTCAAAGTCTCTTTGCTCACCTACTGACACCTTACAGGTTTACTTCCTAATCAGAAATTGGTGCGCCATTTAAAACTCAATCGACCGTATTAATATTAAGTTTATTCAATCTTTTCCTCTCCAAAAGGTGCATCAGTCGTGCAGGAAATCTGCCGTTTTAATAAAAATGTCTATAGCAATCTACAATAGGTACCTAATATTATTATAATTAAACATGCAGATATCCTGGAGTCCCGGCTGGAGTTCGCGAAGAAGCTGGGCGCTGACGCGACGTTACTGGTGTCGAACGCTGACTGTGAAGCGGAACTGGTGGCGCGCGTACACGACCTGCTGGGCTGCCACCCCGACGTGTCGTTCGACGCCAGCGGGGCCAACGCGTCCGTCAGACTGGCGCTACTGGTGCGTGCCTCGTGTACTCCAAATTATTAGACGTTTATAAATTTTAAGCATTTAACTGCTAGATGTTCAAATCTAAATCTAAAGAAAAATTTACTAGGAAAAATTCCATTCGGCTAGGCAGCCGATCAAAGAAATTTGGTGACTCATTTCTTCGCAAGTTGAATTTTTTGTCTACATACGTGTTCCTCACGGGATGGGCTCCTTTTAAGAGAGGCGTGAAGAATTATTACTACCAGCAAGGTGAGGATGGCTAGTGTGGCAGCCTATATTTGCTGCACCAGCTTTCTTCGCCTCTGGACTTTATCATCACTTAACATCAGGTGGGATAGACTAATTTTGCCTAATAAGCTATAAAAAAACTACTCATAGCTACGTTTGTTGATAACGTGTCGTTCGATGCGAGCGGGGCCAACGAGTCCGTCAGACTGGCGCTACTGGTGCGTGTCTCGTACACTCCGTTCATACGTTTACGCTGCTGGGTCAAGCTAATTTTTAGTTCTGATAGGTACTTTACAGGTCGGAGCCAGGTAGCTATGTCCATGGCTGATGCTAATGATGTTGCAGGCCACCAAGTCGGGCGGCGTGGCGGTGCTGGTGGGCATGGGCGGGCCGGAGCAGACGGTGCCGCTGGGCGCCGCACTCACGCGAGAGGTCGACGTGCGCGGCATCTTCCGATACGTCAACGAGTCAGTATATCTATACTTTATAATGAGTGTTTTGGCGGGATTTCATCGAGTGCGCTCGCGTCTCATTTTAATAATTCTTTAATTCGTTCATAGTGTATATTGTGAAATAAAATTGGTGTGATTGTGTGTTACAAACGTCTGCTTAACTGAAAAATTAGTGGAATCTTTAAAATATACGCTATTCCGGTCAAGCGGACGTGAGAATTTTATTGTAGTATTGACTACCTCACAGAAGCTTATCGAAAAAGCCAACTCGATATATTTCGTGCCAAACACTCCAAGAAGCATTAGAATGCGTCACATCCATTCCACATTGTAATGTAAAAGAGGAAGATTAATACAAAAATAAGACGATGGCTGCATGCATGGCTATGCCTTTGCCTCTCTCAATAGAGAAGAATAGAACTAAAAAAAAACAAGGATTTTTTCTTTGGTTAATCGACCAAAAAATGTCAAAAGATAAAGTTTGGGAGTCCGGAAAAAGTGTACTTCTCCTATTCTGCCGTCCTCAAGCTAAAACACGGCCAAATGACAAAACCAACTTTCGAGATATTGCCAAAAAAACGGCGCGTAATCTTTAATTTATTGCAATTTTGTAACCATTCATCACATTACGGATTTTAGACTTAAACCATAAAAGATACGAATGCTTGTTAAAGACAGTCGATAGAGAATAAAAAACTGTATAAGATGCAAATTAAGACTGAACATCGACCACATGTCACTGAGCCGCACTTTAGTTTGAGGACGGCAGAATTATAAACGCAAGAAACTGTCTAACCTCTTGTCTGTAACCTCTTCCCGCTAGATCTGCTTAACCGCTATAGATTTGGTAGTTTTTATCAAAGAAATCATCCTTTAAAATGAGGTGAGAAGGGGGTAGAAGTTTGTACAAGAAAACATTTTTTCCATGCAGACTAAGGCCCGTATTATAGAAAGATTCCCAGTGACTAATCTAGTCTTGAGCATAGTCAAAAAGGGATGTCGCTATATATAGCACATAGCGATATCCAGTGCCGTCTTTGACCTATTGGAGGCCCTGGGCATATTAGGATAATGGGGCCCCTATGACTTCCGTTTGGTGATTTAACAGGAACTAGGGACTTTGTATTTGATCTGATCGGGCCCCCTATCGATCGCGGGGCGCTGGTCACTTGCCCAAAATGCCCACTGGGAAAGACGGGTCTGGCGACATCCCTTTCCAACTGTATTCCAGTAAATATCAACACTTAGTTGTCATTCTGTAATACGGACCTTAGTCTCGGATACCCGCAAGATACACGCACAGCAATCGAACCCTTTACACCCCTTGATTTATCTCGCAACCACAGAGCCTGTACAGGATCCGAAACACAAAGAAAAGTTCAATGACTTGGATAGAAAACGCAGTTATACCCGCTCAAAAAGTGTTTTGTTAAAAGATTGTGTTTGCAAGTACCAGCGACTTCGACTGTGTGGAAAAATTAGATTACCATATTTTCCACCCTCATTTTAACACGCTCAAGTTATGATTTCCTGAAGAAAAATATCAAATTTTATCTTAATCGGTTCAGTGGTTTAAGCTTCGCTATGAAGAGGTAACAGACAGAAAGACAGATAGAGGATCATAATATTCATATTATCACAAGCGTATACAAACTAAGGGTCGAAGAAAATATTAAAGGAACGAATCGAAAATGAATACGCAAGAGACGACAATCTGTTATTACACATTATTCCTGACACGAGAAGACGCTATTGGCGGTACTTTTCACATTAACGACTGTATTCTTTATTTTTACTGTATGACACAACCATAGACATAGTATGATACTATGTCTAGGGACACAACGATCAAAATGTTGAGTGGACGTGGATTGGTAGCGACTTGATTTTATGTAAATGTTGCTGCGTTTATTAAATGCTGTTGACTTTCTTTCGCCAATTCTTATCTTTTACTAAAAGATGTCAATAAGTAAATTTTAAATAAAGTGTAAATAAAATAATTTCATTTCATTTTCAAGGTACCCCATCGCGCTGAACATGGTAGCCAACGGGCACATCAACGTGAAACCTCTGGTGACGCACCACTTCGATATGGAGCAGACTGTGGAGGCCTACAACACCACGCTCAAGGGGCAAGGCATCAAGGTCATGATCCACGTACAACCGAGGGACACCAACAACCCAGTCAAATTCTAACTTTTATGAAGTATGCTGGAAGTCTTCTGCCCACTGGCGGGCAGAAGCGGAAAAATCATGGATAGATAAACACCCTGGTAAAATTCTTGAGTATAGACCATAGACAATGAAGCCTGCGCAGTAGCAATTTTACATACTAAATGGTCTACCGCACAAGTTTATTTGTCTGTGGTTATGCTCAAAAATTTTGTCAGTACCTTATAGTTATGATAATCACCTTCGTGTTTGATGATGTAAATTACAAATACTTATAGGTACAACTTTAAGAAAGAACTAGATATTATAATTCATTAGATGTAGCGCAGAATTCATTAATAAAAATTTGAAGAAGTTTTAATGAAACTATTGAAACTGATGTTGTATTGTAAGTAGGTAAGGAGTACCACCGATAAATCTTTAAAGAAATCACGCAATATCTTTAGTGTGTTAAAATAATTCAAAGATCAATCAATTTCTGAGTAAAATACTCAAAATTATGATATTATGATAATAAATATGAATTAGAAAATGATGTAAAAATTTTGCCATTGACTCATTTCTTTGTCGCAATCCGTAAATGGAATGCTCTGCCTGCTCCCTTGTAACCCCCATCTTACAACCTCGGATCCTTTAAAAGAGGCGTGAAGAAGCAACATGCCGGCTGGCAGGGTGAGAATGGCTGGTGTGGTAGGTAGAACTGCTGTATCAGCTATCTTCACGTCTGGACTTCACCGTCACTTAACATTAGTGGGGTGGAGTCATTTCTCGGACCTATTTATTAAAAAAAACTTATATAATTATGACTCCAAATCTTATAGAAAAAATTACTAGGAATTTTTATCTTCATTCAGTTTTAGATAAGGCTGATAATGTAAATATTAAGTACAAAGTGGTGTACAAAAATTAAAATGTTTATAATTGATTGCACCAATTTTATTTTCCTAATAAATATATATTTGTTTCTTAATACGGCTTTTCATTTCCTAAAGATACAGCTTTTGGTGATTCCCGGACTACAACATAGCTGGAGTAATTGGTAATCTAATAACTGAATTATTAGTTAAACAACTACATAAATAAATTCTTTTTTATCACATGTATTCGAAAAGAGCTAATTTGTTATCTGTTTACAGGGACCAAAATAGCGCTTTAATCCCTAGGGGCTAAAGTGATTTGAATAAGGAATGTGGATATTGTTACTAAAAGTTCCAATCACCAAGCATGGATATTATTGGTCCATGACCAAAGAGTGATCTCTTTGGTCATGGACCAATAATATCCATCTCGGACATTTTATGAACACAGCTAAACGGCGCGCCAGGCGTGCTCACAGGGGACATGAATAAATATGCTAAATTTTGAAGTCCAGTCCATTTCTATTAATGTAAATTTAAGGATTAGAAAAGAATAAGGCCAAACAAGACGCTGCTAGATTTTTTTGTGATCGTTCTAAACTTGGTATCTTTACTTTTCTTGCGTTTGATTGTGTAGACTACCAAAATAAATCCAAAAAATTGCGACTTAATGGTGTTTCGAATAATTCACTTAATTTATTGAACTCTTATCTCACAGGCAGAAAACAAAAAGTTTGTATAAATGGAACTGAGTCTTTTGGAGCATCTTTAACACCCTTAGTGTTCCACAGGGATAAATATTGGGACCTTAGTTATTCCTTATTTATTTGACCTTCCTTACTTTGTTAAAGATCTATGAGATATTGTGTTATTTTATGATGATACGAAAATTAGAGATGTACTCTAATTTTCAAAGTTGATAGAGGTTAAAAAAATTTTGACTACATAAATGACACCCTATCACAGGTTCTTCATGCAAACAAAACGAAGTGCATTAAATTTACCTTACCTAATGTCAAATGTCAGGTAGGTTTCCACACAATTGATAATAAAGAATTCAACCATTGAATAGCATAAATTTTACAAAATTCCTAGGAATTACCTTAGATTCTAAACTTCAGTGGGGTAATACTCCACATATTGAAACCTTGTCAACAAGTATAGCTTAATATAAGTTATTTACGGGATTGTTACCATGTACTTTGTTTTTAGCGAGTTTCCGATATTTCGGCACTGTTAAAAAACTAATATTACTATAATGTTAGTGACCATGAAAGTTTAAAAACAATACTTGTCAACAAGGCTCAATTCCGCTGCTATTGCAGTGAGAAAGATAAGACAGTTTACTGATATTGAAACGACTAGACTAGTATATTTTAGCTATTTTCATAGTTTAATGTCATACAGCATATTATTGTGGGGCTCAGCAGCGGAGATTGAAACTGTGTTTGTTCTGCAGAAGATAGATATATTAAATATTATGACTATTATGGCCTCGATCTTCTTCGAAAGATTTATTTAAGGAGATTAATATTATAACTGTAGCTTTACAGTTAATTTATGAAAACCTTTTATAATATGTTCGTAAAAATATAGACTAATTTACAAAAAAGAGTGATTTACATATAAGTTCAATACAAGAAACAAAAATAAGCATGCCGTTTCTTTCAAACTGCACAAGATTAGTAATTCATTAATGGTAAAATGTTATTATACTTTTCCATAATTTTCCACAAACTATTATAGAACTGCCTATTCATAAATTTAAAGCACTTATTAAAAAACTGTTACACAGTTTGGCAGATGTATACATAGTGTTTACATGTGTAATAATGTGGAAAATAAATTAAATTAAAAAAAAAGTACTTAAACGAAAAAGGGCTACTATAAAGTTGAAGATTAAAAGATAAAAAAAAATGTTTGGAATGTTGTTAATTTTTTTTATTTTTGCAATTTCAACCGGCTTCAAGAAAAGGAGGAGATTCTTAATCCGCTTGTATTTTTTTTATGTTTGTTTCCTCAGAACTTTCGTCTGGGTGAACCGTTTGGAAAGCTGGTACTTCCCGTGAGGTCCAAATTTAATGTTGTCCAGCTCTAATAATGGCATCCATGAGAAAACAATAAAGCATTGCAAAGTGCGTGACTAATGGACGAATAACTCAATATCATGCCAACCGATTTTGATGATTCTTTTTTCTTTTTTGTTTGGAAGAGTTTGTTATCGATATGGTCTCATATTAATTTGATTAAGTTCTGATAAATACTTTCAGAGATAAATAACGGAACTCCTCAAATACAAACAGTACACATATCGCGTTTGGTTATTTTACGAAATATGAAATAGAGTTCGCACGTCAGATATCAGAATATACATTTAGTAAGTTGATGTTTCTCTGGTTTATAAAAATGAAGAATAAAAACTTTTTAACAAATAATAAAAACCGACTTCATCAAAGAAAACCACTATTAATGTAAGAAATATTGTATATTCCTGTGGTATATTCTTTACTTATAACTACATTTAAAGTCAAATAATCATTTGGAGTCGGTGGCATTTATATCTATTTAAACTGATAGATCTGAGGTGTCATTTACGTCGATGCCTCTTACGATATTGTAAATGGAAAAAAATAAAAATATGGGACATACTAAAAAATATACAGGGCCCAATTTACGGCAGAGTAGGCTGGGCTCTAAATCAGGCATTTAAACAATGGTGATTCTATAAAAAAGTTCTAAAGTCCGCCATTGTACAGTATGTGCATGAAGAATTAAATAAATAAATAAAGTAAACATTTTTCTAATGGTGAATCGAAAGTAAATCAGTCGAACTACAGAAAGAACTATTAGGTAGTTCTGTAAACATAATGTAAATAAAGATCATATTTTAGTAGTAGCTGTTTATTATCTAGTCATGACTTTCTTGATTCACTTAGTATCAACTGTAGGAAAACAACTGGTAGGTACTTTACCCTCTGAGACCGCCTTGTCATGATATCTGTTAAACAGATTCGTTCGTCATACGTTACATAGCCAGTACAATGGATTCAAAGAAAGCCCTCTACAAGAAAACCGATGTACAGTAAAACAGACAAAGTCTCGTGTTTGGATGATCAATACACAGAAGATATGCACAAACAAATAGACACTATTTTCCCCCCAGCTGTAGCCTGTAGTACATGCCAAGATACCGGTGGGGGCAGTCTCGTCGACTGTCAAATGTTTAATTCTTATTTTGAAAACAAATGTGACGTAAACAGTTAAGGAAAAACAGCTGATCTGTTAAATAACAGAATGAAGCGTGCTCTAACAGTGTTGTTTGTTCTTTGTTTGATATGTACCTCACAACAGGTTAGTTAAAATAACATAAGAAAGCAGTCGGCGCAGAAATGTAAATATAATTGAGGGGTTTATAAGTTGATATTTTGATAGGGAAGATTAAACTCCCTGAATATTTTTAAACACGCGTAAATAATCCGTTTATTTCATGTTTATTTTTTTTATTATTTTGCGACAAGTTATGTGTTTATGCAAAGTGAGTTATCTAGTTTATGTTCACAAAATAAAGTAGTGTCAATTGCGAAAAACCATAAAACATCATTGAAAGCATTATCAATCATTCGTTATCATTGTCGATGCACAACAACACTAAAATGATTTATATATCGAATAATGGAGTATGATTTTTATCGCATTTCTGCAACAAAGCTTTATCACGTTGCTAAGGGACACGTGGTTATTTTTAGTATGGAACATTGCACACTGTTGTACTCAGAGATAGAAATTACGCCATAGAATTAACGAAAAAGCATATAATGCGATTCAAATATGAATAGGAAAGCCAATGACCTCCATCTGTCACTTGTCGCTTGAAAAGTACGGTTTGCAAAAATATCTCGGAACACTTTTTTAGCACTCAGCTGATTCTAGAATAAAAACCAAAATTTTTAAACAAACAATAACAAATATTGATAATTAATATAAGTTGTTTTTTTTCATTTATTGAGCTTTGGCTATGAATGGTTGATAACCTAAATCGTTAACCAAATGTCACTTTATGGTGCGTTTAAAAACTCGATTTAAAACTTTCGTTTACATATAAGATGCATGTTCGTATGTGAACTGCACGAACTGCATGATTATTTATAACTTCTCCGGCGGTAATGCAGAAATGAGCGAAATTTAAGAGCTTCTGATTAATGTTTTTTTTCACACAGTCTTAATAAAGAAATACTATTAAAAGTCGGTTGTGTTCTTTTTCAATCTAAGTAAATTAATTTTAATAAAAAAATCTGATGTTTCGCCCACGCAATCTTAGTAAATAAGTTTTATTAAATAAAATCTTTTTTTGCTCACTCTACCTATTTGGTTTGAATTGACAGCTATGACGTCGAAATATGGCGCCCAGTCGGTCCTATTCTTAGTTGAATCGTATTATATATTTTAAAATTACTCAGCATCGAAAAGATATAACTTGCTAGTTTGTACCTAGTTATCTACGTTTGGTTAGGTATATACCTCACAATCGGTTTATCAAAAAAAGTAAAACTGTACTTTTGTGAACAAAAAAAGTAAAAATGTGAACCAAAAATATAAAAATCGGAGAACTGACTCTATTCTGAAATCGGGGGGAAATACCGCTACTGCCACCATGTAACCAGCAGATATCTGACAATTAGAAAACATCAATTAAAATTCCTCTCTTGTCTAGCTCTAGAGTAATGCTCCTTGCAAAGAGCGTAGTGAAAATTTCACTAAGCCTGTTACATAAATTAAATGCTCATAAAATCACCGGTTCTCCTTCGATAGGATTTAAAATTTGGTTAGTACCTATGTAGAATGGTTTGTCTTTTTAAACTTATGGCCGAATCTAATTAAAAAAGAGAGTGTATAAAAATATTCACGATCGCTGGCGCACTTTCTTGGACCTTTTGCTAAAGACTCATCCACAGGGCTATCAGGTTGTGGTTAGAGCCCCCAAAGTTCGTTGGATCATCATTGCCTGATATCTGTTCAAGTGCCACAGGCCAAGCCTCCTCATCTAGCGGTGGTCAAACGCCGGATCTGGCTCTATGGGTCGGCAGATTGGGACAGACAGGATGCGTGACTACTTTGCGTCCGTTCCTTAGAAGCAGCGCTGCTTCAGCGACAGGGAACTATCGTTTGATTGACTTTCGAAATAACGTGATTTTTGAGGAACTGGCAGTTGTACTTATATGTATTTGGTTTTGCAGATATCGACACCAGATTCGGATAGCTATGTGGCAGCGGTGCTGGAATACCATTTCAGTAGGAACACCTCGACCAATCTACAGAACTACCTGTTTTACATACAACAAGCCGCTGAACAGGTACCTACTTACAATGACTGCTCATTGCGTGTTTTGAGGGTATAGCGGATTTTCCGTGAATGAAAGTGGACTACAAATCTCACCAACTACCCACGGCCTGGCGAACCTTCTTGGTTAAGCAGGCCGAAGCAGCGGGAGATACGCGCGAAATGGCCTCCACCGCGCATACTTTCTTGACTCCCTACAAATTATTCTTTATCTTTTTCCTTTATCCCTATGGTCCCTCTTCCCTTTCTGGGGCAGACGTACACGAAACGCCTTCGTCGCCATCCCAGCTGTCCTGTGCCCACTCTGAAATGGCACCGCTGGCTCCAAAACTGAGTCTTTTCTCTTCGCCTCGGCTCTTCACTCTTCACCTTTCTCGAGTCCACTCCGAATCCTGTGCCATCTACGCGCGAAATCCCGCAGCTGCCTGAAAGTTCGCCTCCGATCCCACTGGGTCGCAAGTGGACTACAGTGAAATATTCAGCGGTGAAATTTCTTTTGGCCAAAAATAATCCCGAGCAGGCAAAAATTAGCGCTACATTTGTCTGCCTTAGTCTGCGCACACAATAAACATGAGAAGGGGTGGTTCTTTAGCGAAAAAATAAATAAATATTAAAAGTCATTGGCTCCACCTAGCGTTGCCAGGCGTCCGAATAAAGCCGGATATAGTTAGGCTTTTTGTCGTTTGTGCGTGTCCGGTCAAAATAAACGGTATCCGGCATGTCCGGCTTTTTGCATTTCGCAAACGAGCGACCGCCGAGCGTGACCGAGCGCAAGCGAGTACACTGTACACCCTACATTATTTTTTTTGCGTCAACAAAATCTTTAATAATGTGGGGTGTCCGTCCTTTTTACCCAAATGTCCGGCCAAATTGACTGGTCTGCTCGGCTATTAGGTTTGGTGACCTGGCAACCCTATCCACTCTTGGAACCTTACTTACGGCCAATTTTATTAATGAAACTCTGATATAAAGAGCTATGTTGTCTGTCATCAAAAATTATTGGACATTCTTTTTTTCTTAATTCACCTAATCAAAACATTAATTAAAGAGACATACCTATATATTGATTTAAAATGTCGCAGGCCGTCACGACTTAGTACAATTTTTACTTAGAAGTGACGTCACGAGCCCAGACTCTGAAACTTCAACGCATTTTATCTTTGTCAATTTTGGTTGCAGTTTTATTGAAATTTATAAAATTATTTTTAAAAAGTCCTTCATACAGAAAATGTCACTAGAAAAATTCCACCCGGACTAGGCAGCAGACGGGACTCGAACCCGCATCTGCTGCCTGGTCCGCGAGGAATTTTTTCTAGTAATATTTTCTTTTAATTTAAACATCGAGCAGTAACATGCTTAAAAAATATGTCCCTCCTACGTTTTTTTTACTTTACAGTATGCTGATATACTGGTGTTCCCTGAAATGACACTAACACGTGGCGGTAACGTGCGAGTACCAATACACGGCTTATTGAAGGATTATCGGATACCAGCTCTTCATCCACATCTATTTGACGAGGTAAACTCATGGCATATTTTACGATTTTTTAATGCTGTAATGTAAGTGTATGTATTATTGTAAATAATAAATTCCTTTTTAGGGTTCCGTACCCAAAAGTAAAACCGGGACCCTATTACTAAGACTTCACTCGTCTGTCTATCTGTCACGAGTACGTATCTCGTGAACAGTGTTGTCAGGTCCGATTTTTAAGAAGAGCTACAAGAAAAACGGTACTTTTTTCGATTTGCCCAAGAATTGTTTCTAACGGATGTGTTATTCAGGTTACCTACATTATTAATGGCGGAGAATAGAATTCAACGTGCAATTTAAAACAGAAAATCGTATTCTAACAAAAACAGGAGATCTCCTGTAATATCTGGAGACCTAGCTAGACCTAGTTTCCGCTATTACAACAAATACTCAAACAGTGTAAAATAATTTTTAAGGGGGGCTTCAATAAAACGAACATTTTTTTGCTGTTTTTTGCTCGATGTTAATTAATAACGACAAGAACTAGAAGCTTGAAATATTCTCAGAATAAGCTGTATATTCACTTTAAAAATAAATGATTAATTGAAAATTAATATTTTAAGGGGCTCCCATACTACTGATGTAATTTTTTTGTCCGGTTTCTGCTTGATATTATTATATAGCGTCTAATGTTGTAATAATAGATAGATAGATAATGTACGGAACTTTTCGAGTGCAAGTCCGTCTCGCACTTGGCCTGATTTAGTTTACACCTTTACCGTACAGAACGGACAGTAAATGTATGTAGTGTAGATTGACTATGAGAATTTACTTCGACATAAATTTTGTTCACACGCTAAAATGACTTTTAAAATTCTGCGATGGCTTATTTTGTAATTAGCAAGTATCAAATTCACACCAACTAAAAAAAGGGATGGGCGACTAAACATTTATTTACTACGTACTTCAGAAGGTACCTGAACTGCATCTGCAGGTGTTAGCTCCTACCAATTCTGGGCCTGCGTAGTGTTCCAATTCTGCCTATCACATCCACACGGAATGCCTGTGCCCCAGGAGCGGAGACATTAATAGGCTGTGATATCTTTCAGCATCTAATTTTGACGACCTCCGTGGCCGAGTGGTTTGTCAGCCGGGTTTCATGGTGTCGCCGACTCGAGAGGTCCTGGATTCAAATCCCGGTGGGGGCAGATGTTTGTGTGATGAATACGAGCATTTGTACTCCAGTCATGGATGTTTAATATGTATTTTCTATATAAATATACTTATATATGTACAGTATATGTATTCTATCCGTTACCCTAGCATCCCATAACTACTTTGGGGCTACGCTAATTGGTGTGAGTGTTGGAAATATTTATTTATTGTTTATTTATTTATTTAATTTATTACAATAATTAGTATGAGGTACCTGGAATGTATTTATATAATTAATTATTCAGATTTTAGTGGCGCTTTCTTCTGCTGCCAGAAATCACGGCATATACCTGGTGGTGAACGTTCAAGAGGAAATGGATTGTAGAATATCTCCCGAAGAATACTGCCCCGAACAGAAGACTTATATCTTCAACACGAATGTGGTCTTCGATAGATCAGGGGCCGTCATAGACAGGTAATTGATTGAAAATGTTTTTAGCCAACACCATGCCGTGCCGCGTTTTTGGTGCACCAAGCCAACTCTATCTTACCAATTTATTTATTTGACATACCATCGACAATTTCACAAATTTCTATAAAGATTAAAGATGCAGGTAGTACACAACCGTGTGAATTGCCATTGCAGGCATGTACAACATTGTCTATATGTAGATAGGTACTTATATTTGTAACAGTAACAAATTACTGTTCGGTTTGAACGTTGCCATAAAAAATAATTTTTGAGGGCTTTGAGTGGATGAAAGCGAGCATGAAAGATGTCAACAACATCATGCCATATCTCGTTGTATGCATCTTTAATTTTGTTAAACGGTGAAGCTAATTTTTGTTTTAATGGGACAGTTAACGAATGATTTGATGGGTTGACGGGGGATTTTTCTGGGAACCTTTAACTTTCCGCAAGAAGGTCTTGCCGTGAAGTAATTTGTGCAGAAATAAAATGTCCGCGGTTTTTCTACGCTTTTCTAAGGTATGAAGTTTAAAGTATTTGAGAGTTGAGTGTGGTAATCCACACGGTTAGGACACCTCCTGTCTTTGAAAGCAAGAAACCTCATAAAATTACGTTGAATTCGCTCGATTCTATCAATGTGGACTCGATATTGTGGATTCCAGACTTGTGAACTGTATTCTAGTATACTTTGCATCAAACTGTTATACAAGCATAAATTGTTGCGGTGTTATGGAAATTATTACACAGGCGTTTCAAGAAACCCAACATTGTTAATGCCTTTGCAACAATAACGTTAATATGTTTAATGAATCCGAGCTTTTTGTCAATTACAATGCCCAGATCACGAGTCGAAACCACTTCAGTTAGCTGTGCAGAATTAATGGTAAAGACATAAGCGTTAATATATTTTGTCTTTCTGGTAAATTTTATAAACAGACATTTACTTACGTTAAAGAGGCTTACCGTTGTCTACGCACCATTCCGTTCTAGATCTTTTTGGAGCAAAAGTATATCTTCCTCGTTTTTGATCGTTCGATACAACTTTAAATCGTCGGCAAAAATGGAGTAGCTGCTATAACGGATTTTATCAGGGATATCGTTAATGAATACGAGAAACAGAATTGGTCCCAAGGTCGAAGCCTGGGAGACTCCCGACGAGGTGAGGAATGGTTTCGATTTGTAGCCGTTCACAACTACCCTTAACAACCGATGCTCTAACTAAGAACGGAGTCATAGCAGTAGGGGTCCATGAATATCCATCGTCCATAACGGTTCAGTTTTATAAAGAATATGTTGTGGTCAGCCTTGTCAAATGCACTGCTAAAATCTGTATAAATATAATCTATTTCTACGCCAGAGTCCATTGATTTCGTTAGTTCGTTGACATACGAAACAAGATTGATTGCTGCTGATTTATGTTTACAGAAACCGTGCTAGTTTGCATGAATGATGTTTTTAAGTTAAAACCGGGCAGATAATTTTTTCAAATAACTTTGATATTGCATTCAGAATAGATATTGGGCTATAGTTAGAATAATATTTCGCTGCAACCTTATAAATAAGATCGTCTTGTTAATTTACATTCTCAGTGCTAACAAAACATATGACGACCTCCGTGGCTGGAGTGGTATGTACCCCGCTTTCGCCTACTCAGAGATTCCAAACCTGGTGGGGCAAACGTTTGTGTCATGAATACGAGCGTTTCTACCTATGATTTCATGAATGTTTATACTGCATTTCTAAATAAAAATATATAGTTATATGTATTAGTATAGTGTATTATATCTGTTACCCTAGCATCCCATTAACACAAGCCTTACAGTGCTTACTTCGGGGCCAGCCTAATAGTCATAGTGTGTGTTTAAAAATCTAGATATTTGCCTACACTATATTATAAGATAGGGTTTACTCAAACGGCTGCTTCGATTCGAGCTGAAAATCTAAAGTTTACTTCCTCCTGAATCCATAAATATTTTGAAGTAAAGAAGTCTTCTATTCTCCATTTCTGTTCAGGTATCGCAAGATTAACCTTTTCAACGAGTACACCCGCTCACCGGCGCTGCTTCCTGAACTTGGCGTGTTCAGCACAGACTTCGGGGTCAGGTTCGGACACTTCGTGTGCTTCGACCTGATGTTCCAGGTGCCTGCCACGCAGGTTGTACAGAAGTATAACCTCACTGATATCATCTTTAGCACTATGTGGTTCTCCGAGATGCCTTTCTTGACTGGTAAATGTTGCATCATCATTATCAGTTTATTAATGTCCTACTGATGGGGCACGGGTTTTCTGAGGCCCAAGAACGAACTTTGACAGCAGTAATCGTATCGCATCGTCAAAGTTTTTACGAAAACTAAGCAGCGCCCCTACCGGACGTAATAACAAACTGGCTCTAACCATACAAATTTTCACGATGATGATACGATTACGCAGCTGTTTCAGTTCGTGCTTGGGCTTCAGAATGGACGAATTAAGGACTAACCTAACCGATTGTATATGCAGTTGAAATCAACGACTTAACCTACATTCCGAAGAAGGAGAAGCACGAAATAATATTTTTTTGGTAACCCATCGTATAACTGTCCATTACAAAAGTTGCTTTACTTCCAGCATCTCAAACTAAACACAATATATATCAATGCAATATATCACAGGGCCACCGAGTTCCATATTTTTACACACGTACATACTAAAAATATAGTTTATGGGGCTTAAATGCACACCTACCTAAGTACAGCTAAGTTTGATTTGCTTGTTCCGTATCCAAAGCACGAATTTGTATTCGTATCGACATCCATCGTCAAAGTAGTTTCTTTTTCAAATTTTTAAAGAATTCCTTAAGACCTCAATATTTAGTTCGGAATGGGAAAGCTTTATATTACGAATAATAGTGTCTGCTGTGTTAACGCACGATTAAGAAGTTCTGCCTGCACCGGAACGTCGCTCCATTCTACCAGTAGAAGCAGCTTTGACCCACGTGATCAAAAAACCCCCTCTCAACACTTGTCACTCTCTACGCAATTTAAATTTTTGTTTGCTCAACTTTCTTTCGCAATTTGCGTATAATTTATTTATTTTGTAATTTTATACGCATGATTCACGAAAAAACTGAGCTTTATTGAAGAGTACGCATTAACGCCGATACAGCTGTGTTTATCAATTATTGATGTTTACAACTTCGCCAGTTTAGATTCGCATGTATAGAATTAGATTGAACTGAACATGTTGTAGCAATATATTTATTATGAAAGCGTCGTTATTATGTGTATATGTTTTAATAATTGTTTACATTTCAGCCGTCGAGATTCAGGAATCGTACGCGTACACCACGGGAGTCAACTTTCTCGCAGCTGGAGCTAATAATGTCAAGGTGGGAAGCGCTGGTGCGTAAATATATCAATAATATTAAAAACCCGGTCAATTCACACCGGCAAGGCAGCCGCACTTTTTTTTATATAGATAGGTCCGACAAATTGCTCCACCCCACCTGATGTTAAGTGACGGTGAAGTCCAGATGCGAATATAGCTGATACAGCAGTTCTTCCTGCCACACCAGCCATCCTCACCCTGCCGGCCTGCATATTGCTTCTTCACGCCTCTTTTAAAGGATCCACTTTCTCACTGAAAGTAGTGTAAAATGATTTTGTCAGCATCATCAGCCTATTAATGACCTCACTGCTTCGTTCGGGCACAGGCCTTCCCTATGGTTGGCATAGGGAGATTGGGCCATGACTCACCTTCGAATTGGTGGGTGCTAACGACTGTATACACAGCCGGGACCAACGGCTTAACGTGCCGTCCGAAGCACGGAGGAGTTCGAGATAGTAAATTTTTGGTCACCCATCCCGATGACCGACCACTGCGAAAGTTGCTTAACTTCAACGATCGCAGCCGAACGCGCTAAACACCTGCGCCATCGAGTTCCTCACTATTCATCATTGATTTATACCTTCTTATTTTTCAGGATCAGGAATATACTCTGGAAAAGCGGGCGCCCTCATCAGCATTATGCCGGGAGAGCCTAAAACGCAACTGCTTGTATCAAGGGTGCCCAAACGCCCAGGTTATGTAAGTTAGCAAAAGGACATTGTTCAGCGTCCATACATAGTTAGCCTAAGAACCAACAATCATGAAAAATTATTTTCTAGGTTCAAAATCGTAAGTAAATGACTGTAAAAACAAATATTATTGACGGACACTTCTGGGAACTTAAAATATTAGGAAAACTCAATTTTTTTTGAGGTTATGTTTAATATTCAATGGAACATAGGTCAACCTATGAATTTAGTATAAACTCAGTATGAAGTGAATTAATATTATAACTAATTCATTTTATTCGGTGCGATTTTAAAGAATTAACTATTAGGAGAAACTTGGTTAGGTAGGAATCATGAATAGAATAAAAATTGTAGTTTTGCTTCTTATTTATTGACTATTTTTTCCATAAATGTATCATATTGTTTATTGTATTTATTTGTATAACACATGTGTTCTTGAATAATTTGGCAGTATGATCCTCTCAGGATATTGTGGCACAGGTTCACTAGCACTTGGTAATAAGGGCTCTGCTCAGTGCTCTTTGGTAACATCGATGGCATATTAGATAGCCGAAATAAAAATAAACATATACAACAGGTAATCCGAAACGAGAATGCACTTTCCGGTCTTTCCGTTCTACTCTTTGGAATGCACGAATGCCACAGATTACTATGAAACAGCATGCACCACAACCACAGAGTAACAAGTTTTATGCCGGCCCTTCACTTCACAAAAGTTTGTCCTTGTCATGCTTAATAAGGAATGAAAAGAACAGACTGATGTCAAGTTTTAAAATAGCAAATACGAATAGCCAAGTGAAGTGCCGGCATTAGGAAGAAAGAGTGTCTTATTTGCAGCGCTGCCATAGATTATACACATAAAATGGTATTTAATGTCTCAGATTATTTTTTAACTTGTTAATTTAGCTTACTTAACTGGAAGTGTCCGTTACAATCTAAATACTGATAATTATCGCAAAAAATATACTAAGAATTATCATAAATGCCAAATTGGTGTTGGTTCTAGGCCAATTTTAACATTGTCCTTTACAAAAACCTTTAAAAGTTTCAACTAATTTGGGATTGGGTTCTACTGGGGGGTATATTCTATTAAAGTTGACTTATTGAAATCTCTTTTGAACTATCCAATCGAAAAGTGAGGTTGTAGGGGGTAATCTCTAGATCTGGAGCTATCTACTGAACCAATTTCTATAATTATTTTAATAACAGAAGGCCACGTTTTTGGACAATACGATATTATGTAATTTAATCTGTTACCATAGGTATATTGAAATCCAAAATTTTTGCTAGATACTCAAAACACTCATTCAGGTGTTTCTGTTCGGTAAAAACAATAGGTAGGTAGTAGGTGCCGTCCAAAGATATATTTTTTTTCAAATACAATCTCTTTTCTCCAGGCAACGTTCGATCATCCAGGGCCTCTGTACGACGACCCCACAGCTCCACAGTTGCTCCTCAACAAGGACGTGACTCTGAAGAGTGCCGCATCCAGGCCTCTGCGGGCTGGCTTCCAGGAGTTCACGCTCACCGACAGAGACGTGAGCTGCGTCTTCAGGGTCAGGTTAAGAAATAAAACCACCGATACTAAGAGAACGGTAAGGAAATTCAAAAACTTTTTTTTCACTCACACCAATTACTTTAGCCCCAAAAGATGTTTGTGTGATGAATACGAGCATTTGTACTCCAGTCATGGATGTTTAATATGTATTTCTTTATAAATATACTTATATATGTACTGTATATGTATTCTATCCGTTACCTTAGTATCCCATAACACAAGCCTTACAGTGCTTACTTTGGGGCTAGGCTAATTGGTATGAGTGTTGGTAATATTTATTTATTATTATTATTAAACTAAGCACTGTAAGGCTTGTGTTATGGGATACTAGGATTGAATACATATACTGATAAATATATAAGTATTTTTATATAAACATACATGAATTAGGTACAAATGCTCGTATTCGTCATACTAACATTTGCCTCACCGGAATTCGAACCCGGGACCTCTCTAGTAGGCAACAAACAACTTGAAACCCGGCTGTGGTCAGCTTTCCTTTTACTGATTAGTCGATCAAATAATTTCTTATGCTCACTCCAATTCATTCATAACTACTGTACCCTTAGCACGAACCAACTCGAATTCGTAACGTTTGCGAGTTACGTCCATTACGGCGCTGCTGTTCAAGTTTCCTTCAAATTTCACAATGACATTCCGGACTCGCAAAGTATTCGGATTCGATAATGGATCATGCTAAGGGTACTGTTAGATAAAACTTGGTTTACTTTAGAAATTAACTTTATTAAATAGACACACATCCATATCACAAGGGTACAACCACAGAACACAGAAACCTCTTTCTGTGTTCTGTGGGTACAACACACAGAATGCCACGCGCTCGCGCATACGCCGGGAATCCCCCATCACATCTGTCAGTTCATTTTGACAACTAGTACTGCCGGACTTAGAGCTAAACAATAGGGACGTTGCTAATCGATTAAAGTTCGGTTATTTAGTCTAACACTACCCACATGTTATTGTATTTTTTACTTAATCTTAGATTATAATTTAAATATCGATATTTATCTGCTGCGACATAAATACCGATTTTTCATATGACATTGCATCTCTACTGATATTTCGTTCGGCATTGTTGCAAGTGATGACGAATCCTATCTTTCAATAATCTGCGATCAAGGTACTTGCGACTAGATGCGACACGACAATGACGAAATATCAATGACGAAATATTGGGGACTTGCAAAAAGCAACTTACATGGCAGCAATCCCGCTAATGACTATTATGTTAGGCCATGAAAGCTTAAAACAATAATAACATTTCACTATATTTAGTGTTAATATTAATTCCAGATCCCGCATTTCCGCGCATTCGTCAAGGACGGCACCAATACATATGCGCATCGTCAAATGGGAATCTTGTTCTGTGCGGTGGTGGCGTGCGAAAACGAGGATGCTGACAGCTGCCCTTACAGGTGACAACCAGCAGATAATTGTTATATTATGTGCTTATACTTAATAAGGAAATTGAAAAATACATTTATGGCCTTACATAGTTACTTGTCAGTGGGAATAAATTCCATTAACTTCCAGGCAAAAGGCAAGCTCTCAGGCAGCAGACGGGTCTCGAACCCGTACTCTTCACTATCCGTACGGATGCACTGCTACCGCGGTAGCATAATGGTAGCATATTGGTCGCATAATGGTAGAAATGATATCGCGGTAGCATAATGGTAGAAAAAACATATTTTCTCTAGTATTATTTAGGCTGGAAGGCTGCACCATATCTTCGCATTGTAGGTAACCCACAATGTCAAAGAAAGACCTTTACAAGTATTAGCATTTGAAAGAAGAAATATCATTTTAGTAATATTTTTTATTGTATGCCTGGTCAGCGAGGATTTTTTTCTAGTAAAATTTTCTTTCGATTGAAACATTTAAGTTTAGTCAGTTAAATGCTTAAAAAATAAATGTAACTAGAATCTTTTTTGTTCACAGGTTCAGCAAAGACGAAAAGTTCACAGAATTCGAGGAGCTAGAAATAAAAATGACTACGTACCCGAAACAGTACAACAATACGTTAAGCTGCGATAATATAGTGTACTATCCTACCTCGTTGAGGTACAACAAGTTCCCGTTGGACACACAAGATTTCACTTATATAGAATCTACTCAAGAGATAGACCTTAACAATGAAATCGTTAGTAATGAAGTTACTAAGCGCCGAGCCGAGATCTTCTATCGTCTTATCAGTCCTCAAGATGAACTAGTTGCCTTTTCAATTTGGGGAAGAGCTTATTTAAGAGACGTCAATGAAATTATAGATTCGTCGGAGGAGGACGTAAATAACAGCATAGCAGTGGAGAATCTGATCTTCAGTTTTGCAGATGAGTGATGATGATTTTCGTAATTACAATCTGTCATCCTGCACCAGTAATTTAGTGATACTAACTATATTCTAGATGCCATAATACTGATATACCTACTTAAAATTTTAATAATAAAAGTTTTAATATTAATATTATTTATTTTATTTATTCGTCGACTGCGTAGACTGTTCAGCTTCTCCCGACGCAGGACCTGATACTCTTAGTTCTATTAAGTAAACGTTCAACAATCTCAAAAATTGCGAAAAATCAATTCAGTAGCTAGGCATAGAAATTCGCACGCACGCACCCCTGGGATAGCTCCGCTAAATACTTACTCGATGCCTTGGATAAGTTGCAGCGGCGCGGTCCGCATCATTGGCGATGAAGAGGTAACTAGCAAAATCGAGTCTCTACAATTACGCCGTGATGTGGCATCATTAAGCGCACTGTATCGACTATACCACGGCGAGTGTTCTGAGGAGTTATTCCCCCTTATCCCTCCATCAAATTTTCTTCAGAGGACCACGCGCGCTGGCCTACGTTGCCACCGACTTACTGTGGCCACTATTCCTACACGAACAAAGAAATTTAGTGACTCATTTCTTTGACGTACTATTCGTAAGTGGAATTCTTTGCCCGCGTACTACACGCTGGGGTCCTTTAAGAGAGGCGTGAAGAAGCATTTTTGCAGGCCGGCTAGGTGTGGATGGTTGGTGTAGCAGATTGCTGTACCAGTTATCTTCGTGTTTGGACTTTATCAGGACTTAACATCAGGTGGGGTAGAGTCATTTGCTTACCTGGCTATAAAAAAAATACATTATTAATCTACTGCGAATATTGTTCGAGTGAAGTCACTCGTTTGCCGAGTATGCTGAAGGTGGCTGAATAGACTTTGGCCATTATGGGGCTGGTATCGCAAACGTAAATTTATCCATATAACTAAATCGACGATCTATGTTATATGCAAAGACATTAATATACTGTATGCTATAGCATAAATATGCTATGGTTACATGATGGTGACCGCATGTTGACAATGTTAGGTGAAGCATAAGTGTTTGACACCGTTTTTAGATGAAATAAAAATCTTTACCTCGGACTCACTGATAACTGCGAGCAATTCATATCTGAATACTCTTCTTCTACGTAATAATGCAACGATCTCAAAATAGACCGAAAAATAAAACGACGGGTTGCACTCCGGGAGTGCCGGCAGAAGTGAAAACTTGAATATTAACGTTGTGCATTTTCGATATTTTGAAATGTTTAGGGAATAATTTTGCACGAATCGTATTAGTTATCAGTATAAAAGTACTATTATGTATGTGGTAGAATACAATATTTATTTATTGCGCTATCGTTCACAAACATGACAATATATTACATTAAAAAAGTTTATCTCTCAGAAAAATCTACTTACATGAATCACGTTTAAGCGCACTTAGCGACATCTATTGTAAAGAAATCAACTTACATGAATCACATTTAAGCGCACCTAGCGACATCTATTAAAAAAAATGCATTTTCTTTGCAATAAAGCTGCCACGTGGACGTCCTAGATTTAACTAGAGAAGAGACTTATTATTATAATACGATAAAATAAAATATTACTAAGTTTCGTCCAATATATTGAAAATCAACAACCTTTCCAATTTTATTGTGTGTCATGATGCGATCAGCCCACGTGTTTAACCTGACGCGAGTTTTTTACCCATTTTTTACCCATACAAAAAAAAGTGTACAACGGCGCTAAAGAAGTTTTCACTTCAAAAATAACAATAGCAATACAAATTACTCAGTTTATGAATTTAGTGCGAATGTCGCGCGAGTGTAGTCATTTGCTTGCCGAGTATGCTGCAGGTGGCTGCGTAGGCTCTGACTGTTCAGCTTCTCTCGCCGCAGGGCCTGTGAGCGGGCCCGCCTCCTGCCCAACATAGAGCGCCTGAGGTGGCCTCCTTGACGCCTGTTCACATTACCTGCATTATCAAAAAACAACAACGAAACAATCAAAAAAAATTGGACGACATCCGTGGCCGAGTGGTTTGTACGACGGGTTTTCAAGGTATCGCCTACCCGAGAGGTCCCGGGTTCAAATCCCGGTGGGTGGGAGATGTTTGTGTGATGAATACGTATATACACGTATGTATAGTATCAGTATATGTATTCTATCCGTTACCCTAGTAACCCATAACACAAGCCTACAGTGCTTACTTTGGGGCTAGGCTAATTGGTGTGAGTGTTGGAAATATTATTATTATATATTATTACCAACCATCTTTGAACACCAAGTGTTTATCCTCCCCGACGAAATTTCTTAAACTTGAGTTTTCATCACCATTCACGTCATTAGAGTCTTGACTTATTCTCAACATTTCTTTATAAATCTCCTGATAATCGTGATTGCTGGTGAAGTCTACTAATGTTTTGGGTGCGCCACGCTGCAGTCTAAGAGTTGGTTTTATATTCACTTCCACTTTTGGCAAGTTTAACGATCCATGCAATGCCTGAAAGAAAAATTTAAATTGAAAACTTCACGATGAACTTCATAGTACAGTTGTAGCGCGTTTATTCTGCGCTTGTGGTAGTTATGGAACTTTCGCATTGGCCGGTTGTATATAGGGAAGTGACAATTTTGATAATATCGTGCTTAGAAAGTCACGTAAAGGTGTTGGTACCACCCAGCTACACGCGCAGTCGTAAGCACGCATTTTCTGAATTATTTACACTTGTCTCGTTCTCTGCACAGAGAAGGACTGTATCCCAGCATCTCCACTGGGGACACTAATGAGCTAATAAATGATACCTTGGTCAATTTCAGAATAAGTAATCGGTTGGTAATTATGTTACAAAAATACTTAAATGGGAGATTGGTAATTTTTTTTAACGCAGTGTTACTTAAATCTAAAGAAAATATAACCAGAAAAAGTTTCACGCGGACCAGGCAGCAGACGGGACTCGAACCCGCACCCTTCGCAATCCGGGCGAATGCACTGACCAATTATGCGACGCGGCCCTTACGGACCGCGTCGAAATTCTTCTAGCCATTCTTAAGCTGCAAGGCAGCGCCATCTCTTGGCATTATGGGTAACCCACAATGTCAAATGTATACTTTTACAAGTATGATTTGAAAGAAGAAATAGCAATTATAGTTATAATTTTTATTATTTTAAAGCATGTAAAAGCTTGATGTTTAAATCTAAAGAAAAATAAATAGAAAAAAATTCACGCGGACCAGGCAGCAGACGGGACTCGAACCCGCACCCTTCGCAATCCGGGCGAATGCACTGACCATTTATGCTACCGCGGCCCTTACGGACCTTATTACGGATACTTCCTTTTTTATTTAACTATGAATATAGGTATCACACTAATATTATGAAGGCGAAAGTTTGTGAGTGTGTATTTTTGTTACTTCTTCACATCTAAAGAGTTGGAGCGATTTTAATAAAATTTGATATGAATTTAGCTGACACCCTGGATGAACACAAAGGCTACGTTTTACTGCGGGAAAATATCCCTAATAAACGCGGAAAACACCGCAGGGCACAGCTAGTAGGGTAATGAAAATCATATACATATAACATCTAACGACCTTTGAGTTATCCCTAAAGTTCCTACCATAATTTATGACCCGTCTTACGATTCTTATTCAATCAGGAAAAGAATTTTACCAGCTGTTTAGATCTATATTGACCCAAAGTCCCGATCCCCTCAGAAAGATCTCCTTTTTAGGTTTCCGTAGTCTTGACATAACAAGGACTTCTTATAATTTCGTCATATCCGTCTGCCTGAGGTTATGCTTGGATACTGTTGGCATTAGAGCGCTGTTATTTTGCAAAGGTATGAATAACGCCAGCAAAGTGGTAAAATAAAATGAAAAAAAATTTTTTTAGGATAGCTCCACAACATGTAATGTGGGGATCATTTTTTTTTGTCTACACCATCGTGTGGGGTCATTATTAAATAGGTCCTTTTTTAAAGAGCTAGGGGTTCCTAAGACAATTTTTCTATTTAAGATATCCGTTTGCGAAATATTAAAGTTATGTTAAAGTGCTAATTTTTGTTCGAGTCCTCTAAAAGAAAGTATTGGCTTGAAAAATCTGGACAAATTCATGATAAAAGTGCCTTTCATGAACTTTTAAGGAAAATATAACGGCTTAGATACATTACTTAGTTTAAGAGCAATATTAATACATTTGATGTATTAAATCAATTCTTACCTACCTTATATATAACTTTCTTACAAGAAAACATTGAAAGTGACTAAGATGAAGTAATTGCTTGTTTATAACACCAATAGACAGACATCGTAAATGGTTCGAAATCGAAGGAAATAGGTAAACGTATTGTTACTTAACCTTAATCAATAAATAATTTAGGTATTTGCAAAAACAGAATCCCTAATTCATTGGTGCAGGCAAAATGAGAGGCATTAGTTATGAGTTAATACGTAGGTAATAAATCACCACAAAACAATAAGGCAAAACCGTAGGTAATGTTAAATCAATAGTTAAAATTGGATGATTTCAAACTAAAATAATGTATTGAAGTAACGACGTTAAATGTGGATGGCGTCGTCCTAATTGGCAACGACCGTACGATGACACGATGCGTTCTTGTCGTGCGATGATTTTCAATCATACAGATTTCTTCAGAGCTGTCCTAATACAGCCATTGCACGAGTACAGGTACATTATTTTCATCGCACGATCGCTGCCAATTAGGACTACGCCGATGGGTACATACCTCTAAAAGTAATAACAATACAAAAATAACGACGAATCCAGGTTTCGGCATAACTCGGTCGGGATACTGACAACAACACAGAACCTTGCCACAGCGATACTTGATCGAGACTGTTAATGATCCGACCAACAATTGTTTGTTTAGGAGCTGCTGACTATTGTAATGCATTAACAATACTTGTGAGCACAATCTTAGGATAACGCTTCTCTGCATATCTTCCGCATGAGTCGTTAGGTATGTTCCTAAATTAATAATTTTATCAAAAGAACTGGCAACAATCAAAGAAGCTACAAACAAAGCAGCGACAATAGTAAGACCCAGCTTTTCAATTATGACAATACAAAGTTCAAGGGCAACAAAGACAGATTACCTTTCCGCAAGAATTTTATTGAAACCTAATAGTCACTACCAGAGGCGTCTTTTCCAGTGGGCACTTTGGACAAATGCCCTTTTTTTTTTTTTTTTTTTTTTGTGACGAGGGGAAATGCAGTTAGTTACGCACCATACCGTGACGCTGACTAGGCGCACGGCGTGTGTGGGACTCGCCGGCACGGGAAACAGTGCCGACCCTACTCAAGCAGGACCAGTGCGGAAGGCCACACTGATCCTACTCCACTGAAACCCCCCGGTACCCTCCTACGCCCATATGGGGGCGTCTCGGGGCCGACGCACCTGCGTGCGCCACATCTCCGAGCACGCCCCCGGGCAGGCCCGGCCCAACGAGTGGACCGGGCGACGCGCCTCAGGGGGGACTGCGCTAGGGTACTAGGCAGTCCCCAGACGTGGTGGACTATGCCAGAGCGGCACCTAGGACGCGCGGCTGGTCAGGCCGCGCCCAGACCACCTTAGGGCCGTCGAAGACCGGCAGTCACCGCTGCCTGCCTTCTTCGGCCCACCCGTCTACGCCGGAGAGGGGCGACTAGAGCGTCCTCCTCCCGCTCCCTCTCCGCTGCCTCCTTCTGCGTCATCACCGATTCGCAGAAGGAGGCGGCAACCCTCCAGGCTCTCTCGCTACCAAGCATGGCTCTTACCATACTTGGTAGCGTGAGGCCTCCTACGCCGAGCGCCGCGATCAGATCGCGGCGCTCATTTCGCCAGGCCGGGCACACGATCAACGTGTGCTCGGCCTTGGACAAATGCCCTAGGCCCCGCGATCGATAGGGGCAATACAAAGTCCCCAGTTCCTGTTAAATCACCAAATGGGGGTCGTAGGGGCCCCATTATTCTAATATGCCCAGGGCCTCCAATAGGTCAAAGACGGCACTGGTCACTACCTAATATCAGTCAGATGCACTTGTGCTGTTGCAAACCTAACTCATCGGTAGTTTCAATTGAAAATGAACAGCGCCGTTATTACTGACGTAGGTAAACAATTTTGGGGAACAATTTTAGGTGGGTCACGTAACGAGGTGAACCGATGGTCATTAGGAGGAATGGTCCTTGAATGGCGATTGGCGACAGCATACTGGACAACGCTCAGTGGGAGAGTATACCTTCTCGTGGTGGACAGGTGGACTGACGATCTAACGAAGGTTGTGGAATGCATCTGGATGCAAATATCGCTGGGCCGATCGATATAGAGATCCTTAGATATACCATATCTTATACTCGGCAATAGGCGTTGTACGGCTGATATAACGAAATATCAACAAGAGTATTGAAGTTATGTTTTTATTTTTTTCAGTCTTTTCTAGCAGTGCTAGATGTTTGAATCTAAAGAAAAGTTTACTAGAAAAAGAGTATTGAAGTTTCAAGTGTGACAGTTTCTCGATTTATTTGTGATCATACGAATTTGTACCTACGTCACGTCGTCAGCAAAAATGGAAGATGACGTATCGCATGTATAATGGTATGGAACCGGTTCGTGTGCGAAGACCGGCTCGAACTATTTTTTGAATAGACTATAATTATTATAATAACAAATCTGATAACAGTGGTAGTATTTGGTTGCTGTTTGATTAGGTATTAACACATTGTTTATTTTTTCTTATATTTATATCACAATCATAAAGATTACACAAGCAAACGAGGCCAGAATCATTCGTAAATAGTTACGTAGTTCATCTGAAATATTTGGGCGTGATGCTGGAAAACTATGCAGCGGTCCTTCATGGGCCAAGTGACGTTAGAATTGTGAGTACATAACTAAATCCGTGTTATGGTACATTTAGATTTTATTTCTTCTATCTAGGTAGGAAACATGTCAGTTTTTTTATACAATTTAAAGATGTCTTTTAGCAATTATTGGTTTACAACTTGATAGTTACATTAACAATCTTTATAATGCAATTATGTATTTTTTAGGAAAAATGGCCAATGCCCTTAATCGGCGACGATGGTGAGTAGATTTCATAACATTCAGCTATTTACTACGTATAAATATATTTATGTATTATAAAACTACTCAACAAAAGTTTGGTATGGTTCCCTCCGTAAAATTCAATACATTTGATTTTTAATCTATTGTTTTAGAATTTCTATAATTTTATTTAGAAGTAAACGTTTTACCTTATTAACGACAAATCCGTGAATTTAATTATGATACTTGATGTGATTAGGTTTTGAGGAGGACAGGAACCTAGATTATGATTTATTACTAATAATCAAGGTGATTAGATAACGAAACTTCTTACTAAGCCTCCGCTCGCTGTCTGATTATCAACTGGCTGTTATACCCAGATATAGGCACCTCATCATCATCCTTGGCACTTAGATAGCTGTTTTTTTTTCAGAATTTAAGAGAAAATAAAGATTAAAGATATCTCAACTATGCCTCAACTTAGGTATATACCTTCCTTGGTCACAAGTAGATAGAATAGGTCAAATAGATAAAACGTTGTTGTGGCGATTCAAAATGTTTTTAACTGTACGGGCGTTCGATATAATAATTAATATCGTTGTACGGGCCTCTTCATGTGCGAGGCCATATGCTTATTTGCCAACCTTTTAACTTAAAAATTGTATTGTCAGAGTTGCTGATAAAAATAAGTTGCGTGGGCATCTGCGGGTCGGACGTGAAGCTGTACTTGACGGGCCGCTGTGGGCTGGAGGCGCTCCTGCACCCGATGGTCATGGGCCATGAGGGCGCCGGTGTAGTAGCACAGGTACGTTCGAAAACCAAATATATTTACGCACCATTCTGACATAAAATAAAATGTATCTATGGTCTATTATATTTTTATTTCTTAAGAATTAACCTGCTAGATGTTTTAATGAGGGGAAAAGAATGCGAAGAGCACAATGCTTTAAAATGATCTAGGGATGATGTTGCGTCGGCTTTAAATAGGCTGCTGAATGTTGCAAATGAAGCAGATTTTTTTATTTGCAGCATACCATGATCCATGCCAAAATATGTAGCAAGTTATTGCCTCGGCGTAAATCAGCCTTTAGGCTAAGAGGAGGCAACTAAAGAGTCAGCCTGGGTTTGCTGAACTGAAATACCACTACGCCATTAGATGTTGGTAATCTTAACATATTTTATGGTTTTATCTACTTCGTTAACATCTTAAATATTAATCAGACTTGTCCTTATCCTAATTACAAAAAAAACGATAAGATACTATTTTTGGTTCACCTAATTACAGATTTTGTGTTTCGAATAATTTAGATGGTGTTCCCGTGAACTGCCTTCAATTGCAAATTCAGAGCCGTGCCCAAAAAGAACAGGCGAAATAGCCACCTCCTGTAGCCTTTGGAGCTCTAGCAACTGCCTTTGGCTAATTAGTTAGATTGCAAAAAAAATAGATGTTTGTTAAAAAACACTCCTAGAAGAAGTGGCGAAACAACTATTTCCTCTTAGCCTTTAGAGCTCTGGTGCCTTCAGCTAATTCTTTTAATGTATTTCAACCAAATAGCTTGTTGATAATATCCTCCCTTTCAGGTGGGTAGCAAAGTGAAAGGTTTCGTAGTAGGGGACCGGGTAGCGATCGAGCCGACGCAGCCGTGCGGCGCGTGCTTACACTGCAAGCACGGCGCCTACAACCTGTGCGTGGAGCCGCGGTATTGCGCCACCGCCACCGGCCACGGCAATATCTGCACTTACTACAAGCACCGCGCTGACTTCTGTCACAAGTAAGTATTGATGGTCCAAATTACTATGACGCGACACGGCTGTTTCAGGGGTAGGCTAGATGGGGTCTATGGAAAGGGTAGATGACCTATACCACGCTCTGTGGAAGTGAGAGATCTACGGGGAGACGCGTAGGAAACTTCTTGATAGTGCGAAGGAGGTTGAGCCCGTCTACTATCGCGACCTGGTCGGATCGGAAGTGAACTTCAGGCAGCTGTGGGACTTCGCGCGAAGATGGCACAGGTTCGGAGTGGACTCGAAGGAAGCGAAGAAATAAGACAGGGAGTAATTGTAGAAGACTAGCAGATGAAGCCAGCGGTACTATTTCATAGTGGGTACGGGGCGGCTGAGATGGCGACGAAGGCGTTTCGTTTACGTCCGCGCCAGAAATGGGAGAAGGGCCATTGAGGCAAAGGAGACAGATATAGAATAATTTGTAGGGAGTCAAGGAAGTATGCGCGGTGGAAGCCGTTCCGCGCGCAACTTTTGTCCCGCTGCTTCATCAGCCTGCATAACCAGGAAGGTTCGTCAGGCCATGGGTGGTGGATGAGATTTGTCCATATAACATAATGGGAATACAATAAATATGTCCAATAACGCGTTAAGGATTCGTCATCATCATAATGGCCTCACTTAAAGGCAGGGCCGTAGCCAGAGATGTATTTAAGATAAGGCAGTGGTAATTACAGGCAGGGCATAAAAAGGATTTGCACCTTCCCTCATAGCAAGAATTAGTAAATCAAATGATTCTACGTCTTTGCTCTTAGGGCACAGGCAGCTCCTAATAGATATAGAATGGGACATGGGCTCAGTGCGGATTATGTCCGCACTCGTGGCTTCTACGACTGCAAGTGCAACCGGGAACAGCTATATTTCTAATAAATCCAATGATAGGTCATTGCGAAAGTGAAATAATTGCACCTTGTCATACTAAAATTCTAAATCATATAGGTATTCAGTCTAGGTAGTTTTATAATTGAAAAGTAAAAGAAGAACTACTAAGCCTAGAAACTATCAGATCAAAAACTCCCACTTGTGATATCGGAGTCAAACTTGATCCTTTTTTTTTGTCAGACTACCAGCCAACTTATCAATGGAGGAAGGCGCAGCTGTGCAACCGTTAGCGATCGCCGTGCACGCGTGTAAGCGCGCGCGCATCTCGCTGGGCACGCGGCTCGTAATACTGGGCGCTGGGCCCGTGGGCGTGCTGTGCATGATCACCGCGCGAGCCATGGGCGCCACTCATATACTGCTCACAGGTACCACATATGAAGGGGAAGGTACTGGGCGCCGGGCCCATGGGCGTGCTGTGCATGATCACTGCGCGAGCCATGGGCGCCACTCATATACTGCACACAGGTACCACATATGAAGGGGAAGGTACTGGGCGCCGGGCCCATGGGCGTGCTGTGCATGATCACTGCGCGAGCCATGGGCGCCACTCATATACTGCTCACAGGTACCACATATGAAGGGGAAGGTACTGGGCGCCGGGCCCATGGGCGTGCTGTGCATGATCACTGCGCGAGCCATGGGCGCCACTCATATACTGCACACAGGTACCACATATGAAGGGGAAGGTACTGGGCGCCGGGCCCATGGGCGTGCTGTGCATGATCACTGCGCGAGCCATGGGCGCCACTCATATACTGCTCACAGGTACCACATATGAAGGGGAAGGTACTGGGCGCCGGGCCCATGGGCGTGCTGTGCATGATCACTGCGCGAGCCATGGGCGCCACTCATATATTGCTCACAGGTACCACATATCAAGGGGAAGGTACTGGGCGCCGGGCCCGTGGGCGTGCTGTGCATGATCACTGCGCGAGCCATGGGCGCCACTCATATATTGCTCACAGGTACCACATATCAAGGGGAAGGTACTGGGCGCCGGGCCCGTGGGCGTGCTGTGCATGATCACCGCGCGAGCCATGGGCGCCACTCATATACTGCTCACAGGTACCACATATGAAGGTGAAGGTACTGGGCGCCGGGCCCGGGGTGTGCTGTGCATCATCCGCGCGGTGATAGCTATGGGCGCCACTCATATACTGCTCACAAGTAAAGAGGGAATCAACGTAAGAGTGGACGCGAGCTGAGTGACATTTGAGAAATAGGTATTTGAAAAAACTATTGCTGTCACGCATTGGCAAATACCGTGTGATAGCGACAACAGTATTTAACGCTTCAAAATTGCAAAATTCGGCATTTGGTTATCGACGATTTCCTCATCGAAAATTAGATATAAATTATATCTGTGTAAAATTTCTTTTACATATTATGTATAATAAGTAGTTATACTATGCCTCTATGTTTTGATTTTTTGTAAATGCTTATTACATTTCCACACTAGATGTCTTTAGTGGTGATAAAAAATTGTTTATTTATGGCGTTTTTCGAGGGCTTCTAGTTTCTATGAAACACAAGTTATCAAAAAGAGGAAAACATAGGAGCATAGAATGAGTAAAAATATATTTTATGTATGAAAATCAATTCTTTAGTGATAAAAATCAAGGAAGGCGAGAACGTATTAATGAAAAAAACATCGCGCGCCTACCCTCTTAATGACGGCTGTGAAGCCAGCGCAGGTCATGGCGCATTAACGAAATGTTTATATAGCAGAGGTGCGCTTATCACTGAACTAAAATCTGCGCATCATAGAACAAAATCATACAATTATATCCCTGTGAAAACTGTATTTTTTTCTAAAAATAGTAACTTTTGCGTTGCACTCTCAAAAGTAACAACCAAATTCCTCTAATTCCAGATGTAGTGGAGTCCCGTTTGGAAACGGCCAAGAAGATGGGCGCCGACCATACACTCCTCATAAAGCCGGAGTACTCGGAGCAGGATGTGGTCGATAAGATCTTGACCGCAGTTGGCGATGCACCGGACGTCAGCATAGACGCGTGCGGGTACCCATCCGCACAGGCCGTTGCTATGAGGGTAATACTTACTCAGAGACACAACACACCATTTTCCCGTCGAGAGGGTATATGAGGCTATAGAACTCGCCAAGTCTGGGGCGGACATGAAGATTATCATACATATGAATATGAAGTCTTAAATTACGCGTCACCCGTGAATAGATTGCTGGTAACAATATTCATGGAATTAAAATCTTCTTAGTAAGCTGTTCATATGTATATGTTTGTTCGAGAACCGTGGTCCAAACATATTAAATTGTATGTGTCATTGTAAGTATATAATTAGCACTATGTGCATGATACGTCGTACAACGAGTAAAAATACATCGGCAAATAGAGTCATGCAGTCACGTAATTTATGTCGGTATGTGATAGTTCGTGGAGATCGATGGCACAAATGGTTGATGAATTCTGCTGCGATCTCATGCGGTCATTGGATGGGTGGCCAAAAATCTTCTATCTCTAGTACCTCCGTGCTTCGGAAGGTACTCAAGAGTACATTAAGCCGTTGGTCCCGGCTGCATCTGCAGTCGTTAACACCCACTAATCCGCACTGGGCCCACATGGCGGGTCATGGCCCAATCTCCCTATTCCATTCATAGGCAAAGCCTATGCCCCTATTGGGAACATTAATAGCTGGTGATGATGTGATAGTTCTTGTAGCTTGCTAATGTTTTTCAGGCAACTCAAGCAGGAGGGACGGTGGTGATTGTGGGCATAGGTCCGGACCGGGCAGAGGTGCCGTTAGCAGCCGCCATGTTGCGAGAAGTCGACGTACGGGGCTCCTATAGGATTGCTAACACGTGAGTCTTAAGTTCACTTCACACCGAAACGCGAGCGACGATGCTGAAAGAGATCAGTTGTTTAGCGCTGCGTCGGGTGATGCATAGCAAACGTCGCGAGGCGCGTCGTAAAATCGTTGGCACATTAACTTTTTTTATGTAACTCAGTGCACTTGACACAGCTAGGTGGTAGATTACAGTGTTTTGATGTATGCCCAAACGATTGCCAGCGGAAATATAGTCACAAGGCGTGTTTTGGCCTTAAATTTCCTTATTAGAACAGCATAGCGACTAAGGTACTGGAAGAGACCAGTGGTTTAGCGCTGCGTCGTCGTGCGCTGTCGTGTGAGGCGCGTTGTAAAATCGTTGGGAGCACTACGGCTCATGCTTCTGTCCCACCGCATCCACCCTTTAGTTTTCTTACTCTTCCCCTTCTGCAAGAAATCCGTTTATAACAACAACAAGCTCCCAGTCTATCATTATTAATTTTCACTCGAGCACTCGACTGAACTGCATCAATTCTTCACTGAGTCTGGACGGAAATAGTAGAATCGCCACGGGGCGGTAAGTAAACATTAAAAACACGCATTAGGAATTGGTGCCGGCGCTCAATCGGTATCTGACGAGTGCAAACATACGCTTATCCTTATTCAGCACACCCTTTTATAGGTCGGTGGGAAAGGGACGAAGCACACCAAAGATTGGTGCAATGTATTCTGAATTCTCATGGCGCGATTACATTTGGTCGTTAGCCCGAATACGTGTGGCAATGGAATTCGGGTAACGATTAATAGCGCGATTACATTTTGGTCGCTAGCCCGAATACGAGTGGCAATGGAATTCGGGTAAACGACTACGTATAAATGAACGGAGTAAAGTACACCCGTATTCGAGTAGTTTTCGTTTTGGTTATCTGCCACCGTCTTCCTACTCGTATTCTAGTGTAAATAATTGCTTCGAATGAAATGCCCGAATTCGTGTAATGTCTATGGTTCACCCAAATACGGGCTCACGACCGAGTGTAATTGAGCCATCATAATGAAATGTATTTTTTTTGGGTAGTAAAAAAGTTATGTTTTGAACTCCTTGGTGCCGGCTCATCAGCATCTGTTGTCGTTATCACCCACCAATCCGCATCCACGTGGTGGGTCGCAGCCCTATCTCCCTATTCCATTCAGAAATCAGAAATCAATATATCTTTATTCAAATTGGATGTATAGTACAACACTTTTGAATCGTCCATACATTTTTTTTCCCTACCACTCATTATTGGACATATTTTTTTGCTGCGGAGAAAAACGAGCGAAAAAAACTCCACAACATTAAAAGCATAATGTAACAACATTTACAAATCATTATGTTGTTACAACGTCAATACAATCATGATTTATTTAATATAGAAAACCTGTTGGAATGATTGGAACAGTTCAAACCAAAATAAGTTCAAAAATAAGTGCTTTTTTTATACTATCTTTGTTATCTTTTTCAATAAGTATTTTTTTTTATACTTTCATTCATAGTCAAGAGCTGTGCCCAGACCCGTCTTTCCCAATGGACACTTTGGGCAAGTGCCCAGCGCCCCGCGATCGTAAGGGGCCCCCTCAGATCAAATACAAAGTCCCTAGTTCCTGTTAAATCACCAAACGGAAGTCATAGGGGTCCCATTATTCTAATATGCCCAAGGCCTCCAATAGGTCAAAGACGACACTGGCCGTGCCCCAGCAGTGGGGACATTAATAGGCTGATTATGATGGTTGATCGGTTACAGATACCCCGCGGCATTGGCAGCCGTGTCCCGCGGTGCGGTGAACTTGGCTCCGTTCATAACACACCATTTTCCCTTCGAGAGGGTAAAGGAGGCTATGGAAGTCGCCAAGTCTGGGGCGGCCATGAAGATTATCATACATATGAAGTCTTAAGCCCGTATTATAGAAAGATTCTCAGTAATGAATCTAGTCTTGAGCATAGTCAGAAAGAGATGTCGCTATATACATATAGGACATCCCTATGTGCATCCCTCTCTAACACTACTCAAGTAAAGATCAACACTTAGTTGTCATTCTGTAATACGAGACTTAAATTCCGCGACACCCTTGGATAGGTTCTATAGTTTTAATCGTCATTCATCATTTTATCGTGGACTGTCATTTCATAGCAAATTATATTGTTTTATGAAATCAACTCTGCTGTGTTTAATAAAAACTTACAAGGTCCTTAAAAACGAAGTTCTTTTCGTTTCCCTAATGTCATTTTTACTAGAAGAGTTGAGCGAACCGATCGTGAAGGCATAAATATACTTAGCTGTCGTGTTGTTATGACGCGATCGGTTTCATACATTTATTACAGTACCCTTAGCACGAACCAATATCGAATTCGTAACGTTTGCGAGTCCGAAATGTCATTGTTAAATGTGTACTGATTTTTAGTTCTCATACAAATTTTGACATTGATATTTCGCACTCGCAAACTATTCGAATTCGAGAATGGTTCCTGCTAGGGGTACAAGTCGCGGCATGTAACTCTAGCGCTGAACAAAACGCTGGGGGGATAGCTGCACTTGGGTACGACTGGAGAGAAAATCGGCGCAACGTACGCCCACCCGCGCACCTCGTTTCCCCCCAACACATCTTAATTTTTACTTCTGCGCAATAACGGTCAGCGCTAGAGTTTCGTGCCGCGACGTTTTTTTTATAATTTATTCATGACCTTGGATACAAGTCCTTCAGTCGTAGGTATACATAAATACAAATTTTAATCTTCTTTTTTTTACATTAGAATGTCGGTGTGACGCATTCTATTGTTTCTTAGAGTGTTTGGCACGAAATGTATCAAGTTGGTTTTTTTCGATAAGCTTCTGTGAGGTAGTCAACACTACAACAAAGATCTCACGTCCACTTGACCGGGAATGACTTGGGAATAGCGTATATTTTAAAGATTCCACTAATTCTTCAGCTGCGCAGATGGTTGTAACACAAAATCACACCAATTTTATTTCACAATACCCACTATGAACGAATTTAAGAATAATTAAAATAAGATGCCAACCGCACTCGATGAAATCCCGCCAAAAACTCCGCGAATTATTTAGTTAAAATAGGGTTGCCAGATGCAAAGGCTTATCAATTCCGGGACATTTGCACCCCCTTGAAAAAATAAAGCATCAAATCAAACCCCCCATTACCCCCCAGAATTAAAACATTAAGCAGGCCAGCGGTGTCATTCGCTATTAGTTTATTTTGTTACGAAACTAATACATTATCGGAATCCGGGACAATAAGGTCTAATTACTAAACACGGGAGAAGACGCAAAATTACTATACCGGATTTCCCGGCCATCTGGCAACCCTAGCGTTCTCACTCTAACCATACTAAATGAATATAAAAAGATAGTTCTCTGATGCATCACAACACGACAAATAAGAGTAGTTCTAATATTGGTAATGTTAATACAAATACAACAACGATACAAGTATACAGTGCGATCAAGATCATGTTGCGCGTTTCCGAAATCGGAACTAATTTGCGGGAAGGTATAAAGAAGCCCTTTATTTATAGAGGTAGTAAGTGTTGACGCCAAGGCTATGAATGATCTGCAGCGGCAAATTCTTTTATATTTCCTATTATTATTGGTCGAAATTGGTCGCACTGTAAAAGAAGTGGGCAGCAACGTGAACTGAACGAATTGAACTTGATTTCAGTACCTTTAGCATGGACCAATATCGAATTCGAATAGTTTGAAATGACACTGGTGTCGATTCTAGCATAATTCTCTAAACCTAAACTTAAATTTGACAGCAGTATATCCTTGTCATTCTCTATACAGAATGAAAAGGAGAGACTGATGTTAAATTTAGTTTTAAGTTTAGAGAATCACGCCAGAATTGGCACCAATGTCAAATGTGAACAGTCACTCGTTGTTGCGTCCGTTATGGCGCTGCTGTTCGTGAGTTAGTTAGTTTCCATACACAATTTCGCTCGATTACTGTTTATATATATGTACAGGTGGTACTACGAAAAAAGATATGAATTTTTTAAACCTCGCTGGCAGAAATCATTAGAAATACCCAAAAAATATTATAACTCGAAAACTAAGAAAAATCGCGGAACATACATGGGGTATTTTCGGATACACCCAGGTGCGAAGAATCTAAATGTTGACGTCACTAGTTGGACCATCCTGTATATAGTAATCTAGTATCTAGCTAAGGTAATCGTGGTATTCTAAAAAATATAGGTATCTAAAATAATAACAATGCATACATTACAAAAATAATTTATTATTATTACCTACCTATTTATTTTTATTATCATTAATACCCATAACAATGATCAGACCGTGTTACGCGAAAAAAATCAAACATAAACCAGAAAAATGTCACAGAACAGCGTTGAACATGTAAATGACAATATACATATAAATTCTAATGTAAATTTCATTCCTTATCTTTATATTCTCAAACCCCCTTATTAATAAACGCGGAATAAGCTTAGACTAGTTACGCCGTGTTTTGTTCATGTTACTCAAATGCCATTTGTCATTCAATGACCAGAGACAAAAAATTAAGTAACTTATCCAAGCTTCGTTAATTAATAAGGTGGAAACAGTTTATCGGTTTCAATGATTCCTGCACAACAGGATCTATAATTTATTTAACAAAAAATTAAATTAACTAGTTTATCAGATTTATAATTTCCTCACTTTTTATTCCTTTGCAGCTGTCAATGCTGGCATGATTCTCTAAACATAAAACTAAATTTAAGATCAGCCCCACCTTTTCATTCTGTATAGAGAATGGCAAGGATACACTGTTGTCAAATTGAAGTTTGGATTTAGAGAATCATGCCAGAATCGACACCAATAAGTATATCGGTAAATAATACAACAGTTACTTTAATGTCCTCAAGTAAGGTACCTCACCTATTCTATTACAATAAATATCTAATATCAGTAGTTGAAATATCACATGGATCGTTCGATAAAAGAGGTGGGGGCATCACTAATATTGTCAAGAGAATATATCTTTTTTTTTATTAACTTATATTAGTTGACTTATAAGAAATATACTCTATTCTTTTTCCCCTGAGACAAAAGGTAATCGAATAAACCAATGTTTCTTAAACGTTTTCAACTAGAGAGTTGACCGGTGTAAACAGACAGATAACAATTTTTCACATTTTAATTTATATTATTTGCTTTATTAATACTCTTTAATTTAGTAGTATTATAATGTGTTAGAAGCTTGAGAATGACTACAATTTTAAGTCTATTTTACCCGACTGCGCACGCAAGTAGCGCGAAGATCAACGCGTAGACAGGGTATTGAGTCTCATGCCCCCTCTATAGATGGATCACCACGAGCCCACCATATGACGACGTCTCAAGGTCATTTAGTCTGTGTCCATTCTTGACAGACGCAACTCGTACGCACACAAAATAAAAAAATAAATGTTGAGATTCTTTGCTGCCGTTACTATTTATTAATGCGGTACTTTCAACTAGTACTCGAGGTGCAACGCAGCATAATTATTAAAAAAAATAGAAAAGAATAGGGTGGTGGCTGGATTCCACAGGTCGGTTTTCAGCTTGAATACTACTTAAGGAATTTAAATATTTCGGTAATACTCATAAAATTAGCCATTTCGGCGAACGTGAGTAACAAACGTGCAAAAGTTATTTCAAGCACGCGTCCACTCTCATTTGCTACTCCAGCTCCAGCCCCCCTAGCATGATCACCGCGATATGATATATGACGCTTATTTATCACGTTCAATTATTGTCAAATTACTATGAGGTTAAACTGTTAGACGCGATAAAAAATGTGATATATTGTAAATTGGTGCTCATGCCATGTCCCTTTAGGACAGGACTACTCATGCGTCGTGAGACGTGTGGACAGTCACGCTGGACGTCAGCCCTGAATCCCTTTGTTGCGTGCCACAAAAACCGACCATTAATGGATTGATGGTAGACGCATTTTTTTTTATATATAGGTCCGACAAATGACTCCACCCCACCTTATGTTAAGTGAAGGTGAAGTCCAGATGCGAAGATAGCTGATACAGCAGTTCTACCTGCCACACCAGCCATCCTCACCCTGCCGGCAGGCGGCCTGCATGTTGCTTCTTCGCGCCTCTTTTAAAGGATCCCATGTTGTAAGAGGGAGGGAACACGTGAGCGGGCAAAGCATTCCATTTACAGATAGTGTGACAAAGAAATGAGTCACCAAATTTCTTTCTACGCGTTGGAAGTGTGGCCACAGTTAGACGGTGACAAAGTAGGCCAGCGCGCGTGGTCCTCTGAAGGAAAGGGGAAGGTGTAATAAGAGAGAATAACTCCTCAGAACACTCGCCGTGGTACAGACGTTATTGCGGACGTTAAATAGGTACCTACCCCAGACGCGCGAACTACCCCGTCTACATGTCAGCGGACGCATCCGCAGATGCATCTGTCAACGTGTAGAGGGGGCATAACAGACAAAGCTAGGGCTGCCATCCGTCCGGGTTTCCCCGGATTTGTCCTAGTTTACGGGGCGTCCGGGGAGCGTCCGGGCGGGGTTTCATTTGTAGTCCGGGTTTAAAAATTTACGGCAACGCATGAAAGACCCTCGGTGCTGCAAGTGTCCATGGGCAGTAGTGACCACTTATTAACCGTTTTTATTGGTCTGTCCGGGTTCTGGGCACCAAAATCCGGGGTTATCACGCGTCTTATCCTGGTTGCCACATTTTAGAGATGGCAGCCTTAGACAAAGCTACTTAAGTAGTCGGGACCCCTTACTGGAGAAATAGGATCCATTCTAGAACATAATGGTGGGTCCCGACTGCTAAAGTAGCGTTGTATTATAATTCTGTCGACGCAGCATGGAAAGGATGCGAAACGTTAAGGAACAAATAAATTAACGCATTTAACCTGTTGAAGCTTGTTTTATTTAATGGGCGAAACCTAAAAAAAATACTCTTTATGGTTTGTTTACCTTTTGTCTCAAGAGGAATCTGGAGTATAGATTTATACACAGTTCAGGAAAACGAGTGTGAAGGTGAAGCGCTTAATTATTGACACACAAACGCTAACATAAAAAACAAGGATTCAAAACTGCGTCACACGACAAAGGAAGTCTACCAGCGACTTTTAGTATGGTGCGATCCAAAATTTGATGGCAGGTGTGAAGTTAGCAACGGACAAAACTATGTGCTGGTTTCAGTTCAGTGACATCCCGCACGCGCCTACATCATCCTACATTTAATTTACTGCACCGCGACTTGCGCTAACTTCACAGCCGTCATTAAGTTCGCATCAGATTATATACACATTTTATGGTTTCGAAATAAGCAGGAAGCGCAGGTATTATCAGATGGATAATTTTAATTAATACCGCACTGCTAAGTTTCGTTTACTGAGCAGTGACTTGCGCTAACTTCACAGCCGTCATTAAATTTGAATCTCACTGTACTATAGGGTCAAGTGGGGGACAGTGTAACAAGGGGCACAGTGTAACATAAGGAATATTTCTGATATTTTCTTATATTTATTTTAAACTTTATTGACCAAAATACAAAAGTATGGTACAAAAGGCGGACTTAATGCTGAAAGCATTCTCTCCCAGTCAACCTTTGGTAAAAAAGCAAAACTCGAACGGCGGTATAAAGCTAATTATACACATAAATATAGACCTAAAAAATAATACTAAATAATATACGACTTAACATATATAAATACATACTACGAAAAGAATATACGTACATACCACAATTATGTTCAAATGATGATGATCAATAAAATGACTATTTAACTTCAATTTTATAGCAGATGTGTGAACATTCCTTTTAAATATAATTTTACAACGAGATCTTTTGATGGAGTCGGTCATTCCACAGCCATATGGCTTGAAGAGTAAAGGAGGAGTTATATGTCTACGGTCTGTCTTCACGTGTTCAATTAATTACATATGCAGCTATATTAAGCAGCTGTCATCATAAATCAAATTGTCGGATATAATACTGAGATATTCTTTACGTTACACTATGCCCCTTGTCGAAGACAGACTCTTTGATTGTAAATATCTATATTAACACTTATCTATGCCACGCCGTCCTAACTCTATTCTTGTCACTCTCTTGTCTGCTTTTTTTATAACTGCCTTTATTTACTGTCTTTTCCTTTTATTTCTGTAATATTTGTATTTAATAATATAATTCTTTACCCTAACCACCGTTTCCTTTGCTGTCCTCGACACCTTTAGTTATACTGTCCCCACTGGACCCTAATCGTTTCCGTGAAAAGAGCATAGTATAGTTTCTTATGAATTTGTTTAAAGATGTGCCTATAAGAGGTTGAGTTTGGACGGGTTGAATACCCCAGGCCTCGTGTTGATGACTGCGGTGTTGGTCCGCGGCACAGGCATACTGCCCAGTTTGTTCCCGCTCCCGCCTAACACAAAGTTTTATATGTTAATGAGGGTTTTGTTAAGAAAACGGACGCCACTGTGGAATGACGTCTTTTTGGCGTGAATTCATGACTCAGAACAAGACATAAAGCACAGATAGAGATGAAATTCAACTCATTAAATTCCATTCGTAATGGTGTCGATTCTGGCATGACGTTACGATCTCGTGATCCCCGATGTGATCTAGCATGATTGCGTCGGGGCCACCAATTGTTGCGGGCTCCGTAGTTAAACAATAACACCACTGGTTAATTATGGGTCACCACTGGTATTGGAGTATAATTTCTGACTAGATTTTACAACTAAAAATACAGGTATACAGGTGTTACAAAAATACAAATAAAGCTTGAAGGGCGTTGAAGTACATCATATAAGGAGTCTTCTCTATTTTTTTTTTAAATATTTGCATGAAGTTTAAAATTTAAAAAAAAAATTTTTAATGCTTAATAAACATATCGACCTTTTTAAGACACGTAAAACACACGACAAGACACGACAAGTAAAAAGTTAAAACTTCATTCATATATTTTAAGAAAATTAGAGAAGACTTCTTGTATGATGTACTCAACGCCCTTCAATTTGTATTTTTATAACACCCTGTATATTAAAAGAAATTATTGGGGATGATATTATGCTGACTGCAGAAAGTCACGAAACAGGAACTTATGATTCTTTTTCTCATTATATCACGTTATTAACTATTTATCAGGAATGCTACGTGCAATGAATATTGTGCTGACGGCACACATGACGCTAAACTTAAAACTAAATTTAACATCAGTCTTTCTTTTTCATTCTGTATAGAGAATGACAAGGATACACTGTTGTCAAATTTAAGTTTAGGTTTAGAGACTCATACCAGAATGGACACCATTGCTATGTTATTTTTACATATAGACCAAAAAAGGAAATCTATGTTGCTATAAAGTAAACTATACCATGAACAGCGGGCGTTGTACTATACAAATCTATAGAGGATACCTGTACGAGCAAGCGCGTACATTGCCGACGCAGCATATCTTTGTTGGCCTAATTTACTATATACTTTTTGGTTGGGCAATACTTTGTTTAGAAATCTTTTCGTTAATCCATTGTCTATGGGAGTGTACGCTCAAACGTTATAGCATTAATTCTATGCTTCAGTTCTTGTTCTGAGATTCATGATAAATAGTCAGGTACAACATGTTTGTCATTTTAACAAGCAACGCTTCCTTATATACTAAGGCAAAACGGTTTTAAAACACCAACGTCCTCTTAGGGGGTGATTCTACCCATCAACAGGAACAACTTTTACTATGGGACCAACGTTGAAATCGCGAAAAAAATATCAGCTGTTTCATACAAAAGTGCATCAGCTAATCGACCGAAAGCATGAAACATCTGTTTTTTTTTCGCGATTTCAGAGTTGGTCCCATGGTAAAAGTTGTTTCTGTTGATGGGTAGAATCACCCCATAAGAGGTTGTTGGTGTTTTAAAATTAACCCTGTATAGAGAAAAAGAATAGTTGAATAGTACTGACCGGCGGCTCGGTTAGAGGCGGCAGTGCGAGCGAGTTTTGTAGCGGCAGTTTTAGTAGCGGAGGTATTGCCGCGTCCTCGCGCACTGAAGGTACTGCGATACGCTTTCTTCTTGGGCGACGACGTGCGCTTGCGTTTGTACCTAAATGACGTAACATAAATAAATAATAACAAATATTACCAACACTCACACCAATTAGCCTAGCCCCAAAGTAAGCACTGTAAGGCTTGTGTTATGGGATACTAGGGTAACGGATAGAATACATATCGAGCCCTTACCGCCAAATTATAGTAAGCGACACTTTTGTCGAAATGCGTTTTTTGTGGAAACTAATATTTTAAACCGTAACGGACCCATCTCTGTTGATATTTTCCTCCAAAAGAACACCGTTATAATATAATAGAGGGAAATATCAACAGAGATGGGTCCGTTACGGTTTAAAATATTAGTTTCCACAAAAAACGCATTTCGACAAAAGTGTCGCTTACGATAATTTGGCGAGTGTCGCTTACGATAATTTGGCGGTAAGGGCTCGATATACTGATACATACATAAGTATCTATAATATAAAAATGAATCGCTGAATGTGTTGCTAAGCGCAAATCTCGAGAACAGCTGAACCGATTTCGATAATTCTTATTTTAGAATATTCCTTGAAGTACGAGGATGGTTCTTACGTAGAGAAAAATTAAAAAAAAATGCCTGATAATGTCCAAAAACAACACTTTTCTATACTTCTATACAAACGATTCGTAATAATACTTAAAAGTCAATTTGAACTTTAATACCATACCATAAATTTCAAATGTTAGTGGAGATATTCCGGGAACTCAAAACAATTGAGCGAAGTAATGTCAATAGTTTGAAAAAGGCAAATATACCATTTTCAGTTTATGAAGAATTACTTATATGAAGAGTCATTTAAATCTACACTACAGCTCTACACCGAAGCGAAGCGAGGGCGAGCCACTAGAATTTATATAAAAATACATATTAAACATCCATGACTGGAGTACAAATGCTTGTATTCACCACACAAACATCTGAATAACATCACGAACCCGGTACCTCTCGAGTCGGCGACACCTGAAACCCGGCGTACAAACCACTCGGTCACGGAGGTCGTCAACATCGTTAGTAGGGATGGATTCAAGGCCAGGGGCCACCACATGAGAGGGGCCGTCGCCATAGATAAAAACAACCAGTGAAAGGCCCTCCGCCTTGCAAATTGTAAACGATCCAGCCCAGATTTAGGCCTTCCCTACTTAGTTGCTCCAGGGCCCTCACACCTCTTAATTCGACCCCGATTGTAAGTACAGATTCTGTCACGTAAAAAGGCCGCAGCAATAGTGGAGGGGATGTGTTTGCGCATGACTGTCGCGGTCGAAAGTATTTTTTTTGAAGTTATACTTCTTTAGCCGCGTTATAAAAAAATTATGAGAGTGATATTTTAAGATGCGCGCGCATCACTGTAACACAAATGTAACATAATGAAGTTAGCCGCGGTCGCGTTATGAAAAAATGATGAGTGAAATTTTAAGATGCGCGCGCAACACTGTAACAGAAAAGTAACACCATGAAGTCGGCCGCTACACCGCACATTACTCGTAAGTCTCGAAATAAAGCTTCCAACAAAATAGTAATAGGATCTCTAGGTCGCACATGTTGGGACGCTCGTCGCCTCTGATCACTGTTTTCATATTTATAATATTTATCCACATGTTTCTAGTTTCTATATTCTTAACACGTGTTATAATGTTATACAAATGTGAAATTTATATGTGCTAATAAATTTTATTCAGTAGTGATTCAAATTGAATATTTTGATTATTTATTAAATTTTTCAAATTAAAACTGAACTTTATTGACTGCGTTGACTATCCTTTTCCAATCCTTTTATTATCTTATAGTAATTAATTATCTGCATGCAATTAAAAACTATTTTTTAATAATTCCAAAAAGAAGTATATCTTCTCACGCGCGTACTTAAGTGCGTGTACTTAAGTACGCGCCACCCATATTTTTTTTTGTATTAGGGTCTGGTAGAATTATTGTAAAACAAAAATAGGATTTTGTACGTCACAGAGAAGAATCAATTGCTTTATACATATAAAGCCAGCGGGCATTTTACATAACGAGACCTATACTACGTCATCTCAAGGTGCTCGATGGCGCAGGTGGTTAGCGCGTTCGGATTCCGATCGCGGAAATTAAGCATTAACATTAACTTCCGCATTGTCGGCCATTGGATGGGTGACCAAAAATCTTCTATCTCGAGTTCGTCCGTGTTTCGGAAGGTACGTTAAACCGTTGGTCCCGGCTGCATCTGCAGTATGCGCACCACTTGGTGGGTCATGGCCCCAGGGCTTGTTTACCGGTTAATTTTCAAACCTAAATCAATGTCAAGTACATTAGGAGCGTTTTATTTAGGTTTGTCTCTACCTTAACCTTAAAAAACGGTTTTCCTAAAGAGCAAAATCAAATAGGTTTTGAATCAATTTAGCGGTTTTTAAAGTTTCATTTGGCTCTTTCTGACGGCATCGATAATAAATGAATAACTTGACTCACTAGACGCTAGCAAATGTGTCAATAAATGCGTCGATCTCTGAGCATTAAGAAGTTGTGACTTGATTAGTTCAAACAAAACAAAATTAAAGCGATGCCGACGCGTGCACGTGTGTTTCTTTGGATTAAATCGGTTTATTAAGGTTTTAGGTATCGCTTTCATTTCGGACGCGTTCCGAACGAAACCTCTACTAAAAACCGGTATTAATCTTTATTTACCGGTATTTTCGAAACCGGTTTAAGCCCTGCATGGCCCTATCTCCCTATTCTATCCATTGGGAAGGCCTTTGCCCCAGCAGTGGGGACATTAATAGGATAATGATGATGATTGGCTAAAGACAATACTCACCGTTTCCTGACGCCGCGACTGTACGAAGGCCTAGGGGCAGGGGCGGGGGCTCGCGCCAGCCCCGCCCAGTCTGTGTCGGAGTTGGATCCGGACTCGTGGCCATCTTTATCTTCTGGAGGATTGTCTTTATTGCCCTCCTCCTCTAATTCGTCTTGGTACTGCATTAGAAGACCTACGACACAAAATAGAGAGTACAGGGTCTCAAGCGGATAGAACTCCCGCTAGCACTGGTCTGAACTGGTTCGAGATATCGTGTCCGTGAGCGGTGTCTATGTGTGCGTCCGAGCGCACTTTTTATGTAAATTACTTTCTGTAGGTACTGTTTGACTTTATTATTTATTATAATTATGTATTATTATTTATATATATATATATATATATATATATATATATATATATATATATATATATATATATATATATATATATATATATATATATATATATATGTATAATATTTATATATTATTATTATTATATCTGAGGAGCTCGATGGCGCCAGTGGTCAGCGGGTTCGGCTGCGATCGTTGAAGTTGAGAAACTTTCGCAGTGGTCGGTCATTGGATGGGTGACCAAAAATTTACTATCTCTAGCTCCTCCGTGCTCCGGAAGGCACGTTAAGCCGTTGGTCCCGGCTACATCTGCAGTCGTTAGCACCCAGCAACCCGCACTAGGCCCGCGTGGTGGGTCATGACCCAATCTCCCTAATCCATTCATAGGGAAGGACTGTGCCCCAGCAGTGGGGACATTAATAGGCTGATGATGAGATACTGTTTATACTATTTTATGCCTGAGACAATTTAGCGTAATCAATGTTACCAATGATATGAGGAGCTCGATGGCACACGTGGTTAGCGCGTTCTTCAAAGCTCGGATCCTTAATAAAAACCAATAAATGTAAGAGCGGACTTAATTAAAACTATAGGACATTATAATAAACCCATAAGAATCAATCAATAGATCAATTTATTTTGATAAAGTTCCACGAATCTATAACCTACCTAATTTTTTATGGTCATAGTTACCTACTGATTTATTTAATAAACTCCTTACAAAGTATAAATGGCGCCTATAAAGAAACGAATCAAAATAAAGACGCAAGACATTTTGTCCCTCTCGCACATAATGTAAGGAATAATATGACTTAAAAGTAACTAGTAGCCGCCCGCGACTGCGTCCGGGTTAACTTAATTTTTTGTAGAATCCCACAGGAACCTGACATTTTTCTAGGGAATTTGACAAGTTTTTAAAAACGATCTCTCGTTATTTACTTATGTTTATGGAGTCCATAAAAAGTGGATCTCCATTATTCTGTTATGTATTATTAATAGTAAAATAAATTAAATCAAAAATTAATTTCCAAGTTGCCGCGAAAACGTTTCTCTGGACACTATGGCCTCTCACTAGTGTGTGACGTCACACAACTTTCATTAAAACGTAAAACGATACAATGTAATGTCACCGACCGGAAGTTTACTAGCGTATGACGTCATTGTAGTTTTCGCCAATCCCAGGCGTTTTTGCTTACGTGAGCGTAGAACAAGAAAATAATTTCGATTAAATGTTTTTTTTTACAAATGTTATCAATTGTTTGTTCTCTCGCAACAGTAAAATCGCTGCTAATATTCATATTTAATACAAATACCAGCAATTGGTACATTATTTTTCACACTGTCAAATAGCCTATTTTTCATACAACACACAAACATACATACAAATTTTGAAATGAAATGAAAACCTTTATTGGCCATCTTATATACAATAAAAAAAAACTACTAATAGCAACAGAAAAAAAAAGAAAACTTAACCTAAGAACAAAAAATAATCACTAAAACTAAGGCGGCCAATCAGGACCCTGCTTCAGCTTATGCTGACACACTGAGAAAATTCAAAATTCAATATCGTTTATTCAGTCTAGACTGTTACAAGCACTTGTGAATGTCGAAAAGCTACGCCATCGGTTCGCAAATCTACGGCGGGAGACCTTGTACTGAGAAGAACCGGCAAGAAACTCAGCAAGGGCTGTTTTTTTTATCCCTGTACTATATACAGAGTCGTCAAATTGAAAAATGACTTCAATATGAGGTAACTCATAAAGTCACTTTCCATTACAAACAAAAAATGCAAATAATATAAAAATTTACAATAAATTAAAAAATATATATAAGAAACTGGTTTAACAAAGTTCAGAAATGCCGTGTCCTACTGTTTAGGCAAAAAAATACTCTCTCGCTGTATCAGCGCTGGTATTCTGGCAGAGCCTGTGCGAGGACGTGTAAGACGCTAAAAAGAAAACAAAACAACAGGTACAACTTTAGCATTTATAATATTAGTTGGATATATTTACCAATTTTTTCCACTGCGTACGCTGAGGTAATATTTAGCAGCGAAGCACCAAATTTATCATAGTTGGCGCGTGTCAAATGCGGCAACGCCAGCATATCATCGGCAGTTTCCGGCAACCTTACTGACATCGCCTTCAACGCCGCTTGAGGTAACAACGCCGTTAGTCTAGCCCCGCGAGACTCGGCTATCTCCCTAATAATTGAAATACAACTTTATGAATGTGGTAATAAGAGTGATTTTATCTTAAATCGTGAATAGTGCAACCCTGCATCAGTTGTGGTTGGTCCGTCAACCTTTTTATTTTTCATTACATACCATTGACTAATATTGAAAACAAACAAAGCTCATTAATCATGTATGGTTTCGTCATCTATGGCTCATGTATGGTATAAGAATTTCATGATTTTTAAGTTAGGTTAGGACTATTTTTCACCATTTTGAAACAAAAACACGAAAAACCTACTAAGCTTAAAACTTTAAAATTCTTTAAATTAACTTAAATAATAAATTCTTTAAATTACTTAAAATAAAAATTCTTTAAATTAAATTAAAAATATATCATTCTTTAAATTCACTCTGTTAACAAACTGAACGCAGAATTCGAAGATTTTTCTGTACCCGTGAAAAAAATGCATGCTACAGAAAAAAAACACGATTGTATTTTTTTTTAGATAGAAAAAAAAATGAATCACTAATTAGGACTGTTACTAAGAGAAGCGAAAGTGCTGCAGCAGTGGCCTAAGTGCCGCTGCAACTTGATATTTTTCATGAACAAAAAAGAAATAAATAGGGATGGAGGAACTAAGACAGAATAATTTATTAGTGGAAAGCATAACATTACCGGCACGCCTCCACTAAGTCGGCGTAGCATCGTCCCTGCAGCCGTTGTATGAGCGCCGTGACACTAGACTGTTCAGGCGTAGAGTTAGAAGCCGGGGCAGTCACTACACTCGGTTTCGGTTCGCATTTCATAGGGAATACCACCCGTAATCCGCCGCACATTAACCTGGTAAATAATGTTTATCATCATCATCATCAGCCTATTAATGACCCCACTATGGGGGCACAGGCCTTCCCTATGGATGGAATAGAGAGATTGGGCCATGACCCTCCACGCGGGTCTGCAGATGCAGCCGGGACCAACGGCTTAACGTGCCTTCCGAAGCACGGAGGAGCTCGAGATTGTAAATTTTTGTTCAACCATCCAATGAACGATCTCTGCGAAAGTTGCATAACTTCAACAATCGCAACTGAAAGCGCTAACCACCTGCGCCGTCGAGCTCCTCCGAATAATGTTAATAGTATTAAGATAAATAATAATAGGGAAGATGCAATATTTTTATTTTTGTTTTCATTTTAAAGAATTCCATGTAGAATACACCACATATATATATAAAAATTAAAACATTGTAATTTATCGAAAAAATGCGGTTTTAAATTGACAGTTTAAATTTTCGCGCGAAAAAGGACCCATGGGTCCTATGACGTCACTCCTGTCTGTCACTGGTCGTACTTGTTCGTCGCTGGCTTTCAAATTTCATACTTTTGCATATTTTTTCGACTTTCGGTATATTTTTTGTAAAAATTAAAAATGGACTATCCATTAACATCAGGTGATCATAACAATACCACTAATATTCCGAAAAAAGGCCGTGTTGGCTCATGTTTTGTGCCAATCTACTTCAACAAAGTTTCCAAATAAATTGTTTTTGACTGAAACTTCTGACCCAAAACGGAAAAAAAAGTGGTTTCAAGCTGCGAAGAGCAATGACAATTATTCTCCAAAGACCATTATTCGATGCTGTGAAGATAACTTTGACGTAAGTCGGCGAATATATTTGTTATATGTTTAATTAATCTGCTTGTACGTAAAAACGCGTTAGTAACCTACCTAATACATACAAAACCTGTCTATAACAGATTTTTAATTTTACAGTTGGAGAACGACGTCGATAATTGGATAAAGTTTAAAATGTGTGGCCCAATCTTCACATTGGACTGAACCAAGCTTTGCGTTTCATTTAAAATAACTGTAACACGATAACTTTCTTTACGTACTTTATGCTCCGGAGTAACTCGACTTTTTACTGTACATAATTCTCCATCTCTTTTAATTTGGACATAGCCGATTGCGTTTACGCCGTAAGATTCTCTTGTTGAGCTGAAATAACTGCTATGTGTAGAAGCCGTTGAATAAAATACAGTTTAACAACTATGATTTATACCTACCGTAGTAATTTAGTCCCTTTCATTTCTACACTTGAAAACCCTGCACTTTGGACAAAAAAAGTTACAACCATGTCAACACTAACTCTTGGTAATTTCCTGGAATCTGCTTTGATAAACCCAACTTCCATTTTTATAAAAAAACGAAATTCCAAATATTCCCATAAAATAATATTCACTTGTATAACCATAATCTCAAATAAGTTGTCATAACAGGAGTGACGTCACTAAAGGCTGTTTGGTGTTTTAAAATGCTTTTTTTTTTCAAGTCATTTTTATTTCGTAATTATTGTTAAAAAACCGGCCAAGTGCGAGTCGGACTCGCGTACCGAGGGTTCCGTACAAAAATATTCAAAAATATTTTTTATTTTATGATGTAACTAAAAATTTACGGTTTTCGCAATTTTTGCTTTATCTGTACTATAAGACGTTACTTCGTACCAAATTTCAAGATTCTAAGTTCAAGGGAAGTACCCTGTAGGTTTTGATTCCCGTGCGAGTTTCGAAAATTTGCGGCATAAATGGCTGTATCTTTTGATTGCTTCGGCTTAGAAGTTTGATTTTTTCATAGCTCCAAGGGACAGTAGACCTGAGTATAAGGTATGAATTTCAGTTTGATACCTCCACGCGTTCCTGAGAAAAACGGTCTTGACAGACGGACGGACGGACAGACGGACAACAAAGTGATCCTATAAGGCTTCCGTTTTTTCCTTTTGAGGTACGGAACCCTAAAAACAACATTATGTAAAATAAAAACGCTGGAGTGGCCTTTCTTTTATATTTTTTTAACATTTTAATCATAAAATTTTCATAAATATTATATTTGCATCTTCCCTATTGGGTTTACTTAAGGGAATGAGAAATAAAGGCAGCTTTCTTTGTTGACCCGCCCAAAAATGTAACGTCTGATCAATGAGGGTTTTCAGACAGACTGGAGCCGTAACGCGTTACGTAACGGTTTAACCTTCCATACGAAGTTATCAATATAAGTATATTGTAAAGAAGTTTCACTTCAATAATATAATGTATCCACTTACTTATCGACGTTGGGCCCGAGCACTAGGTAGGCGGAGGCGATATCGTTAGTAATAACGAGCCGTTCAGCCAGTAGACCGCGCACCACCAATTGACGCAGCAATCGTTGAGGATCGCCGCGCTGCCACGACTTGCAACTATCAAAGCAAACGATCGATTGAGAATCGTCCCAAAAATACAATGAGAAACGAATGCACTGATTGATTAAGAACGTACTGTACCCTTTGTTATATAATAAACATCGAGATGATCTTTGAAATCTGTTGTTTTATTGTCATGGTACAGTAAACAAAATTCTATTTAGTCCGTCATGTCAGTTAGATGATCAAAAAATAATGGACACGTATTTTTTCTTTGGGCAATCAACCAAAAAATGACAAAGTTATAGCGCGTCAAAGTTTGGGAGTAGGGGCTCGTGACGTCACTTTTGAGTGCATTTTCACTTATAAGTGTACTCAAACGTGACGTCATTCGACTTTTCAAATCAATATATCTCTGCAATGTTTATATTATGTGAAAAAAGAAAAAATACGTTTCCAATACTTTTCGATAAACTACCTGATAAACGAAGAAAAAAAAATAGTCATCATCCCTATTATTGAGCACTTAATATTGGTTTATTCAGTGATGTTGTTGCTGCTTCAATACTCATACTCGATTTTGACTCTTGAAATTAACAATATTAAGTGCTCAATAATTATTCAACAGATTTCAAAGACCATCTCCATGTTTATTATATAACAAATGCACCGAGTGATTAAGAACGTACCATAATGTACCCTGAGCACGAACCAATATTGAATTCGAACAGTTGAATTCGATCTCGATACGCGATAAACGTCAAAAAGTTCTGTACCCCTAGCACCACTAATATCGAATTCGTAACGTTTGCGAGTCCGAAATGTCATTGTCAAATGTGTACTGATTTAACGTTCTCGTTACGTACTTTGTGCCGCTGCTGTTCAAATTTCCCTACAAAATTTGACACTGACATTTCGGTTTGCAAACTATTCGAATTCGATAATGGTTCGTGTTAAGGATACAGCTCTTTAAAGTCCGTTAGCTACGATAAAGATTCCTTTTACTTTAGAAAAGGCAATTCATGTATAGGCCCCGTCATGTAGAAAGTCCGCAAAGCGATAGGGGTGGGGATGAGTTTGCGCATGATTACTGTCACGACCAAAGGTATGAGGATTTTTTTTAGTTTAAGTGTCAGGTAGAATTATTGTAGAGGAACAATAGGTTTTTATATGTAACAGGAAAAAATAATCGCGATAGTCGATAAATCGCGGAGTGCGCAGCTATAAAGCCAGCGGGGATTTAACGTGACGCAACCTATATAGAATCATATTTTAATTAATTAGATAACATATTAATTCAAGTCTCACAAATTGTGAAAACCATTCATATAGGTATAATGTTAACACATATTGTAATGAGTGAGAGGTAGTGAGAATGAACGAGACAGCAACAGACGCGATCGAACTGCTCTGTTTTATGACCGTCAGAAAACGCCTTTCAGAGAATCGATGGGATACGCAAGCTTTATAGTAAACGCTCATTGAGCCACCAATGGGGGCACTAAACGCGACCACTGGTGGCTCAGTCAAGCCACTAGACGCAGCCACCAAACGAATCGAGTGAAATCGAAACGCTTGGTTTGCGCCGATACTTTGCTAAGCATATAAGAAAATTCGACCGCAGCTTATGGACGCGTTTAGTCGTTAAATGTGCGTTTGAAATAAGCCAACAGCAGTGGAAGCGCTGATGTCGCTTGCAGCCCCGCATCGTGTCTGCTATGAAACAAATTGTAATGAGTGCGCCATAAAGTTGATATTAGAACATTACGAAAGCGCTAACTGAAGAGCGCTTTCACAATACAGCGCTAAGTTCCGCTAGACGCATCCTCACCGGCCGTGTATGGCGGCGGCGTGCAGCGCTTGCAGCCGCTGCTGCTTGGAGCCGCGCATGGCGTCGGCTATATGCAGCAGCGTGTAGCGGCCGCACCTGATGATGGCAGTAAATACAGCGCTAAGTTCCGCTAGACGCATCCTCACCGGCCGTGTATGGCGGCGGCGTGCAGCGCTTGCAGCCGCTGCTGCTTGGAGCCGCGCATGGCGTCGGCTATATGCAGCAGCGTGTAGCGGCCGCACCTGATGATGGCAGTAAATACAGCGCTAAGTTCCGCTAGACGCATCCTCACCGGCCGTGTATGGCGGCGGCGTGCAGCGCTTGCAGCCGCTGCTGCTTGGAGCCGCGCATGGCGTCGGCTATATGCAGCAGCGTGTAGCGGCCGCACCTGATGATGGCAGTAAATACAGCGCTAAGTTCCGCTAGACGCATCCTCACCGGCCGTGTATGGCGGCGGCGTGCAGCGCTTGCAGCCGCTGCTGCTTGGAGCCGCGCATGGCGTCGGCTATATGCAGCAGCGTGTAGCGGCCGCACCTGATGATGGCAGTAAATACAGCGCTAAGTTCCGCTAGACGCATCCTCACCGGCCGTGTATGGCGGCGGCGTGCAGCGCTTGCAGCCGCTGCTGCTTGGAGCCGCGCATGGCGTCGGCTATATGCAGCAGCGTGTAGCGGCCGCACCTGATGATGGCAGTAAATACAGCGCTAAGTTCCGCTAGACGCATCCTCACCGGCCGTGTATGGCGGCGGCGTGCAGCGCTTGCAGCCGCTGCTGCTTGGAGCCGCGCATGGCGTCGGCTATATGCAGCAGCGTGTAGCGGCCTCGACCGCCGGTGCTGGCGTCGCGAACGCATCTCACGATCAACTTGCATTCTTCGGTTACGTCTACAGGCTGCAAATAAAAGGATTAGTCAGTTAAATTGTGTTATCATCATCAGCGTATTATTGTTCCTACTGTTGGGGCACAAGCCTTCTCTATGGATGGCATGGGGAAATTCTGCCATGATCAACGACGCAGGCCCAGTGTGGTTTAGTGGATGCTAACAACTGCCGGGACCAAAGGCTTAACGTGCCTTCCGAAGCACGGAGGAGCTCGAGATATTAAGTTTTAGTCACCCATTTAATGACCGACGATTGCAAAAGTTGCTTAACTTCCACGATCGCAGGCTAACCGTTCTAACCACCTGCGCTATCGATCTCCCCAAATTGTTTCATCGGGAGGGTATTCTACTACTAATGTAATAAATGATAATAATATAAAATTTTAACATTCTGACATGTATCCATGTTTGTTACTCAACCTTGTAAAAACGTCTAACATGACATAGATGAAATTTGACACACATTGTGTACCTTGTAGATACTATGTAGATTGAGACAGTTAGTTTTTATTGCCAAAAATTCAAGTTACTTATAATATTCTCAAAAAAAAAAACAGTGACGCGATCGAACTTGCAGGTAGAAGCTTGTTCTTTAGTCAATTAGTCTTTACTTTCAAACTCAAACTCGCTCAAAAACTAAAATTTCAAAATTATATATAAATAACCTAAAGTCTGTCCTTTACAGACGAAAATTGCTTGTATTGAAGCTCGATCGTCTATACACTGTCCTATCATTGAAAAGCGGGATCAAGCAAGTTCCGCCTAAAAGAACTAATCGGCTACACCATAAGGTTCACATTTCGTCGCGCTCCTGCCAGTAGACACGAGAAACGGCATACAAGAAGGCATCCGCTTGTGCCAAACTTTTTTAAGTAATACCTCATAAGCATGTGACACTGGCGATACAAATTTTCATTTAATGTGTCATACTACAGTGATGTCACACTGATGTGTCCAATCACACGAGGCTTGCTTTCCCCAAACATCACCAACTTCAGGGATTTCGATTTCGAACAAATATTTAGTGATGTGGACTCTAATAGGGGTGTTTTGAATAAATGAATATTCTTTATTGCACCATAAAACAGTTACAATCGTCTGCGCAACTGAAGAATTAATGGAATCTTTAAAATATTCGCTATATCGGTCAAGTGGATGTGAGAACTTTATTGTAGTATTGACTATCTCACAGACGTTTATCGAGAAGTTGACTCGATACATTTCATGCCAAACACTCCAAGAAACAGAAGAATGCGTCACACCGACATTCTAATGAAAAAAAATAAGAAAAAAAGAAGAAGAAGAAAACCTACTACAAAAGGAATAAGCCATTTGAATATTATGTTCTAAAATCAAATCAAATAACGCGCGCTTTCGCGACTTCCTGTTACACACTTCCGTCCCATTTCACGGAATCACTCCCACAAATTGCAGGAAAGCGAGAGGAAAGATTTGAAACATTAAAAAAAAGCATCGCTTACCTTATAGTTCTGCTTATTAGTGCAGGTATCGCAGGCAGCGAGCGGTCTCGCGACGCATTGTTCCCGCGGGAACCGTTCCCCCAAGTACGCGAGAACCTGGGTCCGTCTACACTCGGCCACGGCTTCGCACACTTCCACCATTCGGAGGAGGTTCTCTTCGTGCACGCGTCTCGCGTCAGGGGTAGCGTTGCGTTCCACTAAAGAAACCAAGGTGTAGATAAAAAAAACTAACCAAGCGCTAGTTAAATGAAGGGTTCCTGACTATACACAAAATTGTTAGGAGTTAGGGGTAGGTCGAGAGAACCTCACCTTACACACACTGCGGAACGTTGAAATAACTGATATGGCGTCACATAACGTGACTCGTGACATGACGTCACACATTGTTCATCGATTTATAAGACATTATCACGTCAAAAAGGAAAAGAATGAATTGATAAAGGGACGTTGACATTAAAAACTAGATCGAGGTAAAAACCGGCTAACAAATCACGGTTCAGGTATGGAGATTGGAGACCTCTATATTTTTTTTAATTAATATATTTTATTATTGCAGCGTGATAACAGCCTCGTGGAAACAGTTCCATACGTATGTGTGATTTATTTTCAACACAGTAAATTCTTCTACAAAATAAACTTCTACTAGCTTGGTGTAGATAAATACACTACTGTGTACTGTAAATATACCGAAAACCCCATCCAAATCGTATCAATAGTATTTGAGATAATCGCGGACAAACATACATACAGGTCAAACTAAGAACATCCTTTTTTTGAAGTCTGTTAAAAATCTAGCCAAGCGCGAGTTAAACGAAGGGTTCCGGACTATAGTGAACACAATATGTGTAAGTTGATTGAGAAAACGTGCCAAAGACACGTTTTTTTGTTCGAAGGCAGACGAAAAAAGAAAAAGAAAGAGGGCGGAGGTGGGGAGGGAGAAGGGCAGAAGGGGGATCGAGGAATCCCCTCGACCTCACCTTACATAGACCGCGGAACGTTTAACTAAACTGACATGACGTCACATAACGTGACTCGTGATATGACGTCACACTTTTTCGTGTATGCAGCCGGTGTTCGGCGATTTATAATGCGTATCACGTCAAAAAGGAAAAGAAAGAATTAATAAAGGGACGTTGATTTTAAAATCTGGGTCTAGAAAAAAACAGTGTAACAAATCACGGTTCATGTATGGATAGCAGCCTTGTGGAAACAGTTCCCTAAGTATGTGAGCACTTGGAACCCCTCGACCTCACCTTATACACACCGCGGAACGTTGAACTAACTGACATGACGTGACTCGTGACATGATGTCATACTTTTTACGTGCATGCAGCCGGTGTTCATCGATTTATAAGAAGGTTTTACGTAACATATCCTGTGCGAGGGAGCGAGCAGTTTTATTTTATTTTTATTTACTACGACGCGAATTGTGCAGTGTTCAGAGCGGACTGGAAGATTGGCGCGATCTATATCGCACGTCAGTGTACGAATAGTACAGTAGACATGTTGCCAACTCTCCGTCTCTCCCTGCTGTGTGAGTGAGATATCAATATATCTTACAGTCGAACAGTCGTCGGTACCGCACGACGTCAGCATAAGAGTAATACAGTAGACATGTTGCCAACTCTCCGTCTCTGCCGGCTCTTCCAGCTTCCTGGTAGTATCCTTCCACAGACTTGGGCATGCTGTGGTGGATCACGAATCGGACGTCTGCCTTGTCTACGCCCATGCCGAACGCTATAGTCGCGCATATCTAAAATTTAATAAAAAAAAATAGTTATCTGCAGTCAGTTTACGGATGATAATTATAGGTCATAACTAGAGATCGGACAATCGGATGCATATTTATCTAAAGTTGAGATTTTGACTATTATAGAAAGCACTTTTTTGTCAAAAAAATCGCGCGATTCCGTAAAATTTTAAATTTACTCCGTGAGATGTAATAGAACTAGACTGATACAAACGACAGTTTGTTGTAACACAAAAAATATTGTGTAAGATGTCCTTAATGAATAAATAAATTTATATATCTAAATTTTCTTATTATTCACACCACCATTTCTCTTACACCTTACATACATTTGTATGGGAAATCAAATTTTAACTTTAAGAAATAAAACATCTGATTAGTTATGCAATGCCTGATGGTAACATAGCCTACTGACTTTTGAGATACAAAAAATATCACTCGGGTCGTAGCCTAGATTGACCCAATCTCTTACCCTGTGAAGCCCTGAATCCCCACTCACCGACAGACACGACACCACCAAAAGCTAGTGTTATTTTACTGTAGTCTTCTGTAAGGCGGAGGTTACTTCCCCAGACGAGCGTTCCAAATCGAGCGGAAAATCCGCCTACCCTACCTATCTCTTAAATAAATGTAAAATATATATATTTAGTAGTTGCCCAGCGAAGTTCGTACCGCCATAAAAATATAGTTGTATGTATTATTGTATGATGTATCATAAAAAAATTAAAAAAAAGTTGTCCAAAAAAAATTAAGCGTGTACCACCCTTAACATTTAGGGGGATGAAAAATAGATGTTGTCCGAATCACAGACCTGCTGAATATGCATTGTAAAATCTCACGAAAATCGGTCGAGCCGTTTCGGAGTAGTTCAATTACGCACACCGTGACACGAGAATTTTATATATTAGACTAGCTGACCCAGCGTACTTCGTACTGCTTACAATAATTTGATTTATATGGACAAATGAAATTGTATTTTACCTATGTTCCTCGCAATTATTCGATTTTTTCTCACCTTTTAAACCTTCCCTAGGCCTCCACGAAGATTTCAAGACTAAGATAAGTTAAATCTGTTTAGCCGTTCTCTAGTTTTAGCGAGACTAACGAACAGCAATAAGGTATTTGACAAGTTTTAGAAAACGATCTCAATTTATTGAATAATGTTTATGGAGTCCGTAAAAAGAAGAAATTCATCATTCTGTTGTGTACTTCAGTAAAAATAACCAAATCAAAAACTTAATTTTCAAGTTGCCGCGAAAGTGTTTCTCTGGACAATATGGCGTCTTACTAGTGTGTGTCGTCACACGACTGTTATTAAAACGTCAAAAGATACAATGTAATGTCTGTTACTTTAACCGGAAGTTTACTTGCGTACGACGTCATTTTAGGCCCGCCAATCCCAAACGTTTTGTGTCACTTGACAATAGTTATGAAAACTATTATCTTCCTCGTTAGTTTTTAGTAAAATTATGAATACTTTTTTTTGTAAAAATAGTAAAAACCCCTGCCAATATTCATTCTAAACACAGATGCTAACAATTGGCACTTTATTTTTGACACTGTCAAATACCCTATTGATTTATATATATAAAGATATATTTTTTATGTATACGCACCACTTTGTGCCTGTCAGCGATCCAGGCGGCCTGCACCTGTTCTCGTTGCTTGTCAGAAAGTCCAGCGTGATATGCGGCCGCCTGTATGCCCACTTTACGAAGATCTTTAGCCAAGGCGTCGCATTCCTTGCGTGAGAGGCAGTAAACTATGCCTGAATCCCTACAATAGAAACGACACTAGAGTCTGTGCGGAAAGAGAATGGGATTAAGATTGGAGGGCGCTGTAGTACTTTTCTACCGTATTTGTAAGGTTTTACCCCCTTTAGACATGATTAAATACAAAAAAACCGCTTTTACAAAAAAAACTTTTTTTTCTGTAGAAATACATATTAAACATCCATGACTGGAGTACAAAAGCTCGTGTTCATCACACAAACATCTGCCCCTACCGTGATTAGAACCCGGGACCTCTCGGATAGGCGACACCATGCAACTGCGTACAAAACACTCGGCCACGGAGGTCGCCATAACAACAATGACTCGGGAAAATACACATGCATATATCATCACATCTTCAACTATACATTACTAGCTGACCCAGCGAACTTCGTACCGCTATAAAAATAGGGGCAGGTGGTAGAAGAGAAAATTTAGGGTTGTATGTATTTTTAATACCACATTATAAATGTCCAAAAAAAATTTAGGAGTGTGTAACCTATAGTCTGTCCATTACATTATTATCTTTTTGACACATCGATCGAAATAAAAATAGTGACACCCTATCACATCACTTGTTCGATTTAAAGCTATAATCGATTTTATGCTAGAACATTGTTTAATCGATTATAAGTATCGAAATTATTTTAGTTATCGAAAAAACTGGTGTTTAATAAATTATTACAAAATTTCATTAGATTACCTAGTATTATTTTACCTAGTACAAATATTTGTGTGATGAGCACGAGTATTTATCTCTGGGTGTGATTTATCTATATTTTGTATATATACAAAAAAAGAAGTATACTTTTTATATGCTTGTTTATTCTTATACTACTACTAATACTCTGTACAATTAGATTAATTGGTGTAATTAATAATTTCATTTTAAAAAAGGTTTATAAAAAACTATATCTTTAACTTTTTTTTTCCTTACAATTTGGTTGTACTCATTTATTTCTACCGATTATTTGTAATCTATGGCACAATCTTAGTAATCATTATGTGTGGCACATCACTAAATGGGCGGTACCTGTCCATGAAGTGCAATATAATTGTATGACAGTTTAACGTAAACAATACAAAATTTCATGGGCGTCGATCTGTCAAAAAGATAATAATAGAATGAACAGACTATAGTGTTCTATCAATTTCCTGGGATAACATTCCTCCTAACCCATATGAGAACACTACGTTACAATACCCAATAGTTTGAATTTTGACGCGAAGGCGCATTGTAGGTTTCAGAACACTACTTTACAGGTGGACAACCATTATCAATTAAGGTTATGGAAAATAGATAGTAGCCGATTCTCAGACCCACGGAATATGCATATAAAATTTCATAAAAATCGGTCAGGCCGTTTCGGAGGAGTATGGTAACTAACATTGTGACACGAGAATCTTTATATATATAATTCTTCTGTGAGTGTGTATGTCACTGAACTTCTCTTAAACGACTGGACCGATTTTGATGAAATTTTTTGTGTGTGTTCAAGGGGATCTGAGAATGGTTTAGATTCACAATTTTGTCCGCTGAACAACCCCTATTTTTTTAGGGCGGTACGAAGTTCGCTGGGTCAGCTAGTTTTATATATAAGATTTACCTGAAGAATTTTTCTTTAATGATCGTAGCAATATCCTGGTTGATGCTCTTAGGCTTCTTCTCCATTATTCTATATATCAGATTGGGCCGGTTGAAACTGCTCAGGAACCATTTGCATTCGGTCACCTATTTCAAATTGATAATCAATAAATATGGAAAGACCAAATATTGTATGATATTCACATAATGACGGCACTTCACTTGGCTATTCGTGTATGCTATTTGTAAACTTGACAAGTCTGTTCCTGTCATGCTTTATAATCCTAATCATAATAATCAAAATCATTTATTCAGTTTAGGCTATTACAAGCACATATGAATGTCTAGAAGCTACGCCCTCGGTTCGTAAATCTACGGCGTGGAGATCTTATACTGAGAAGAACCGGCAAGAAACTCAGCAAGGGCTGTTCTTTTCTACCTACTTTATCATTTACAGATTCGTCAAGTTGAAAAATGACTTCAAAGATGATTCATGAAGTCACCTTTCATTACATAATGTGAAATTATACATTAATTTTTCACCTGCATTTTGATTGCTGTGTCATTTAAAAGGAATAATAAGGACAGATTGATGTCAAATTTACATATAGCGAACACACGTGTTTATTGGATAGCCAAGTGAAGAGCCAGCATAATATATTCAAATGGTTCAAAGAAAACTCGTGCCTGAATTATAACATTGTTGACGATACGACTTTTTGTGGCGGAGTGAAAGATATGAGGTTTTTGTTTTTATTACATTATCAGAGAGTAATTTTGGTACAATCGTTATTTTTGATTATAACTACATTTTTTTTTGTCTTTATTTGGGAAACAAACAATGAAATAACACTTATACCTAAATCTAATTAACAAAAGATACATCGGTAAACTGTGTTATATGTTGTTTCCACTACAACATATAACACATAAAGGAGTTCATATTGTTAATACAACATGCATACATACATGAAAAAAGTATTTCATAGACGTAGAGTTCTTTAGTCGCATAAAATTTCGAACAGGTGTTTATGCAGTCTGGGGACGTAGTTGTGCTCGTTAGCGCCATCTATTGGAGCGGAGAGGAGAAACGGAGAAATATTACCAATAGAATTGCACAAAATCTGTCTACTAAAAAGAAGCGGAGATTTCGTGCAATCCTATTGGTTAATATTTCTCCGTTTCTCCGCTACGCAGCCTCGATCAGCTTCCGTGGACTGGCAGCCTTAGGCTTAGTTCAGATGATCGTACATTCTAACGCGCATAAATAGTTTCTAAATGATTACATTGGACTCGTCATTCTATTCGTCGATGCTCCGTCGCAGGTACCTTGATACACGCGTAAACGCGCACTTACGCGTGTATCGAGTTCCTATAGTCAAGTATCGGCCTGTTTAGATAATCCGCGCAACTTGTTGCGTGCAAATGATCCATATGTTTGTATGGAGCAGCGAAAATGGATGAGGATAGCCGTGTGTTACCGCTTGCCATCTGATCTCTTTTGTCGCAAGATTACGCACGTTGATGCGCAATCATATGAACTTAACCTTAGTGACAAGATAGTGAATTGTTTGTAAAAGGAGCACGGATTAGTTCTGTTAATTGGCCCGTCTGACGTTGAGCTGGCGAGGGACGTCGTTTAGGACGCGAAGAGCGGTCAGTAGCGCCTTCTTTTAATAAGAAAAAGCAGTAGAAACACATGCTTATGGAGAGTATCTTGTGGGGGGGGGCAATATATATAAATAAATAAAATAAATAAATAAACATTACCAACACTCACACCCATGCCCCAAAGTAAGCACTGTAAGGCTTGTGTTATGGGATGCTAGGGTAACGGATAGAATACATATACAGTACATATATAATTATATTTATATAGAAATACATATTAAACATCCATGACTGGAGTAAAAATGCTCGTGTTCATCACACAAACATCTGCCCCCACCGGGATTCGAACCCGGGACCTCTCAAGTCGGCGACAGCCATGAAACCCGGCGTACAAACCACTCGGCCTCGGAGGTCGTCGAATATATATATATTTATATATACTAGCTGTCCCAGCGAACTTCGTACCGCCATACAAAAATAGGGGATGGTGGTTGAAATTTGCACAAAAAAAAATTAAGGGTCAATCCTTAACATTGAGGTGGATAAAATAAATGCTGTCCGATTCCTAGACCTACTGAATATGCATATAAAATTCCACGAAAATCGGTCGAGCTGTTACAGAGTAGTTCAATTACGCACACCGTGACACGACAATTTTATATATTAGATATATCAATCAGGACGCTAGATGTGGCCAGGGAATTAAGGCAGAGCAGGCGGAACTGTGGTCAAGAGGCCCTCACAACAGAGATAAATAGCAAAATTTCGACGGGTGACCAACCAGAGGGTTGAAGCGGGAGCAAATGGTAAGTGGTCCAGTGTTCCAGATTTAGAAATAGGCCTCCACACCTTCGTTGCCCCAGGGCCCTGGCTGTGGCTGAATGAATGAATGATCACTTTATTGTACACTATTAAAATTTTTAAATTACAATCAATTAAGACTGCAGCTTTTAGCTTTCAGCGCCATCTGTTGTTGTAGGAAAACAAGAACAATCGCTAAAAGACAGTATGTAAAGCTCTAATTACTTTGAGCTGATGCAGGATATCCATCCGAACTCGGGGCGTGGCCGTGGCAGTCAGCGCCATGATATTGGTGAAGGGAAATCTTGTCCGCAGCAAGAACAAACGCTTGTAGTCCGGGCGGAAGTCGTGACCCCACTGCGATACGCAGTGCGCCTCGTCAATCACAAACCTGACGGGAATAATAATATTTTAGTTATAATTTTAATTTTTTAAGCATGCAACTGTTCGATGTTTAAATCTAAAGAAAATTTTACTGAAAAAAAATCCCAGGCAGCAGACGGGACTAGAACCCTTCGCTATCCGGGCGAACGCACGTACTAAATATGCTACCGCGGCCCTGACAGCCGTGTCGAATTCTTTCTAGCCTTTCTTAATCTGCAAGGCAGCGCCATCTTTCGCATTGTAGGATTTCTTTCTAGTAATATTTTCTTTAGATTAAAAAAAATATATAATTTAAATACTAAACAACGGATATCATCACCATCACCAATCAGCCTTTTAATGTCCCCTCCCAAATGCTGGGGCACAGGCCTTCCCTTTGGATAGAATAGGGATATTAGGCCATTACCCACCACGCGCGCCCAGTGCGGATTGGTGATGATGCTGATGCCACCGGGACTTGCGCTTAACGTACTTCTGATGCACGGAGGAGCTCGAGATAATACCTAAATGTTGGCTCACCCATCCGATGATCGACCACTGCGAAAATTGTTTAACTTCCACGATCGCAGACAGAATGCGTTAATCACTTGCGTGCTCCTCTCTAAACTGAACATATAACCCTAAATTTTCACCCTCCTATCACCAACTCCTATTTTTATGGCGGTACGAAGTTCGCTGGGTTAGCTAGAATTTGTATAAACACATGCTGACATGATGATGAAGAAAAAATTTTTTTTTTAAATCTCGTAAAAACTTTTTGCTCAATGGCTTTTATTTTTAGATAGGACCCGTCAACATTTAAAATGCTAGGGTGGGCTAATGGATATGTCCGGAAGTATTTAATCATCTGGCGATTTTCCCCCGCGAGTATAGTGTATCGACCATCGTCTAAAACTTGGGCGAGTTGCTGATCTTCTCGGGCGTCACGTACAGCAGCTTCAATAACGGCTCCCTCATAGACAGCTTGTGGTTATTTATATAACCATACGAAGTTTGCTGGGGCAGCTAGAATATGTATAGATATATAATTACCTGGCGATCTTCCCCCGCGAGTATAGTGTGTCGAGCATCGTCTGAAGCTTGGGCGAGTTGCTGATCTTCTCGGGCGTTACGTACAGCAGCTTCAGTAGCGGTTCCTTCATAGACAGCTTGTGGTTATTTTTATAACCATACGAAGTTTGCTGGGTCAGCTAGAATTTGTATAGTTACATAATTACCTGGCGATCTTTCCCCGCGAGTATAATGTGTCGAGCATCGTCTGAAACTTGGGCGAGTTGCTGATCTTCTCGGGCGTTACGTACAGCAGCTTCAGTAGCGGTTCCCTCATAGACAGCTTGTGGTAAACTTCGTCGGCCGCCGCTGCTGAAACGTCCCCTGATAACTGCGCCGCGGGGATCTGACCGTACAGACAGAAGACTGAGTATTCCTTAGAGCCAGTTCTTAGGCATCGAGTGGTCCGTGAAGTCATTCAAAAATTTTAGATAAGGAAATTTAAGGCGGATTAATTTGAACGCAGAGTACTAAGTTCGTCATTGGAATACTTCATGCTTTATTTCTTGTTCCGAGGAATAGACTTGAGTATTCCTTAGACAAATATAAGATAAATTCAAACAAAAAGTGAAAGAGATTCACACTTTTCTGCCCGTTGGTAGGACGTTATTGATTTCTCTCTTCCTAGAAAGTAGCAATGCCATGAAGATATTGCTTTGTCCATCTACGCCTAGGGATCTGGTCGGCCGCCATAATAGGGTATTTGACAAGTTTTAGAAAACGATCTCACATTATTCACTAATGTTTATAGAGTCCATAAAAAGATGGATATTCATCATTATATTGTGTATTTCGGTAAAAGAACTAATTAAAAACTCTATTTTCAAGTTGCCGCGGAAAACGTATCTCTGGACAATATGGCGGCTCACTGGTGTGTGACGTCACACGACTGTCATTAAAACGTCAAACCATACAATCAAATGTCACTTTAACCGGAAGTTTACTTGCGTGTGACGTCATTTTAGGCTCCACCAATCCAAAGCGTTTTGGGTCACGTGACAATAGACAAGAAAACTATTATCTTTATCTTGGGTTTTTAGTAAAATTATGAATATTTTTTTTGTAAAAATAGTAAAAACTCCTGCCAATATTCATTCTAAATACAGATGCTAACAATTGGAACTTTATTTTTAATACTGTCAAATACCGATTACATCGAGAGAAACTTCCCGAGACACCTAATCTGTTATCGGAAGAAATAACGTCCGTCATCGGCCAAACAGGGCGGATCGAATCAAACGTATTGTCACAAACGCTCTCGAATCAAAACCACGAAAATACTGGAGACAGATTTTGCCAGAACACCGCCGGTCGTTCATTCTAATATGAGCCTTATGCAGTGCAGCGTAAGGGAGAAGGGGCAACGACATTTGAACTTGTTTACAACTTATGCGCGTTACGTTAGTAGTAGCAAGTAGGAACTACGCACTCGCGGGTGCTAGTTAACTCTCAATTTAACGGGACTTTTCTAGAATATGTCGATTGGCTTATAAGCGGCATAGCGGACAGTTTTACTTTCAAGGCGATAACAGTTGAGTTTCAACAGCGATTTCGGAACGAATACAAAGGCAAGTAAAGTGTTCAAGTTCGATTGTTTAAAGACTTGTATAGTGAAGGTGTTTATTTGTCAGTTTATTGTGTGATAACTGTGTGAATGTGTTAATCAGATACTGTCAAGCGTGAACTGGCATATAATTTCGAAACTCATCCAGACACGTAACAGTATGTAAAAGAAAGAGTGCGTAAATTACTCCAACCATCAACGCCGGTGAGGTCTGCCCGATTTCATACATTTAAGGTATTCAATCGGACGATAACGGGTTAGGTGTACTCGAACACTTGCGATCTCACCGTCCCCACATCCGATGACACAGTAAGTCATCTGCCATCAACTATAGTAATAAAAACTAAGTAAAATAAAAAAATGACATTTATGACCATAATGAACTAGATGTGCGAAGCATTGATTCAGATGTGGTCTTTACTTACATCGAGAGAGAGGAGTTTATTCACTTGGTCCATGATTAGGGACTTCAACGGCGATATGACGATGGTCACCCCTGGAGTAAGAACGGCTGGCAACTGGTAGCACAGCGACTTGCCTGGAAAAATGTGTGACTAAGGTCCAATTGCAATTTGAGTTTTTTTTAAACATACCAATTAGCCTGGCCCCAAAGTAAGCACTGTAAGGCTTGTGTTATGGGATGCTAGAGTAACGAATAGAATACATATATAAGTATGCTAGCGGCCCGCCCTCGCTTCACTTCGGTGTAGAGCTGAAGTGTAGACTACAGTTTTTGTTCCCAGGCTTGTATTATACACAATGACTTTTCATCATGATTCTTCTTATACCTACATGCAAAGTCTCAGCCCGATCGGTTAAAAACTGACAAAGTTTCATACAAACTTTCATTCCCTATTTTATCCCCTTGGAGGTAGAATTGATCAAAATCCTTTCTTAGCGGATGCCTACGTCATGATATCTACCTGCATGCCAAATTTCATCCCTCCAGTGTTCATCACACAAACTTCTGCCCCCACCGGGATTCGAACCCGGGACCTTTCGAGTCGGCGATACCATGAAACCCAGCGTACAAACAACTCGGCCACGGAGGTCGTCAGAGTTGTGCGAACCTCAAGAACAAGGGCGGATCCAGCTTTGGCGCCAGGGGGGGGTCATATAGTCGTGGTATATTAAATATTGAAAGTACTAAAATAAAATCCCCCTGGGTTTGGTCCATCTGTACCCAGCCCAGGGGGGGGTCATGACCCCCATGATCACCCCCCCCCCCCTGGATCCGCCCTTGCTCAAGAAAGTATACATATTTGCACACTTGCGATAGTTTCAAAACGATTTAATATATACGTCTTGAGGTGCGCACAACTAAAGCACTGCAATTAGATGCAAGTGTGTTCTAGCTCTTATAAGATACATAAACATATATGTGTAACAATTACTTTATCACAGCTAGTGTTATTTGTGACTGCTCTAAAATTTTCTTCATTAGCCTCTCGCCTGTGAGCCATGTCACCAGAACCATTATGTCTGTCTATTGTGATGGATGATTTCAGCCACCTCATTATCTCACAGATAAAGAATTGTCACTTGGTTCTGTTCACAAGATCAGAAAAGATCAAGAGATCAGTGAAGATCAAGAGGGCAATGCTAGCTATAAAACTTCCTTAATGGTAATGTCCTTAGCTACTTTTTTTTACAGTGAAACAGGGATCTAAAGAAAAATACCACATACTTACCACCACCAGTGGGCATCAGCACGAAACAATCATAGCCAAGTAGCGTGGCGTTGATGACTTGCAATTGGTTAGGGCGAAACGTTTTCAGACCAAACTTTTCCTTAAACATCTCCATCATCAATTCCGAGTGAGGAAAGTTGAAACCATCAAATTCACCTGTAATCAATAAATTCACAGCAGTATTTGCAAGAGATTTCTTTTATCCTATAACATCACTGATACACTGATCATACATAACAAATAAGCAAATCCCAATAATAGAAAGGGTTATAATAATTGATAATCTTTCTCACCTGTGATTCCATCATTCTTAGTTCCAGCATGGAAATCTCCCATACCTTCGTATTTTGGTTTAGCACTATCTTTAACAATTGTATTATCCATCAAGTTAATTACATCTGGTTCTTTTTTTGTTAATGCTTCCATGTCTTCCTCAAAGTCTTCAGGTCTATACTCTGGCCAACCATCATCATCCACAGGTATATCACTGCCTTCCTTTGAGGCACTGGGCCCAGGAATAGAATCACTTATATTTATTACACTCCCTCTGGAAGCTTCCGGTAGAATGTCAGTATCATCGTCCATATCAATAGGCACTTCATAGTCATTTACTTCATCATTATCATCACAATCAGGACTCTCTTTTACTAACGGAGAGACAGCTGTACATGGTTTATTCATATTAAACAAAGAACTCTTACTTAACTGCGGCGGTTGAAATTGTACAGAACTATTCCCAACAGGTACATATTTTGATGGTTCTTGAGGCACTATAGGTTTAAGTCTTTCTGAAACATTTTTTAACCTTTCCAATGTACTAGATGGTACATCCCTGTTGGGAGTGGAAGTTTTGCTGCTGTCAAAGTCATCCACTGCTGTTCTAGATGGCCTTTTAAAAACAAATTTTCCTTTGCTTTTGTTGACATTGTCTGATATATCTAAACTGGCAATATCTGACAAATTCTTAGTAGAATCATTATTAGTAGAAAAAACATCAAATGATAATGACTTTTTTGCTACTGAATCAGAATATATTGTTTTTAAAGATCCTGGTTTCTTATCAAAATTTATGATATCTGGTGTGGATGTTGCTGGTTCATTTATAGAAGTAAATGGCTTTTTACCAGGTACTTGACTAGACTCTAGATCAAAATCATTAAGATCATCATCATAGTTTTGTAACATAGATGGACTACTATTATTTGTGATGTTCATAGGTGACTCTGTCATATGCGAGGTCTGGTCTTGATGTATTTTATGAGAGTCTGCTTTTCTTTGTATTGCAGATTTTAATTTAGTCTTTAAATATTTCATCTTGGCATATGTTTTTTTATCATAACCAGGAAACTTTTCTTTTATACAATTTGGTATTCTATCAAAAGCATTACTTATCTTTTCTAATAGTTCTATGTACATAGTTTTACATTTTTCAATGTCTTCCTGTTGAATATTATTTTTGTCCTATAAATGAACAACACATTAAAGAAATTTGGATGATGATAAATATTATAACTTATAAATAAGGTTATAAAGACTTACTCTATCTATATGCTTCAAAGAAGGATTTTGAGCAACCTCTGCTAAAAATGCTGATATTGAACTGTCTAGTTTCAAATTTTTAAGCGGATCTTTATCTTTTTGAGGGCTAGACTTTTCTGGAGTCTTCAGGCTTTTATTGTAATTAGATTTCTCACCAGACCTTGTTTTTGGAGGAGTAGGTGTTTCACTTATTCTGATAGATGTGTTAGACACTTCTGGTGAAGGAATAGTGTGCTTTTCATTGAAAATATCAGGTGAGTCAGGGAATTCATCCTAGAATAAAAATACGATATTACCAAATGCTCCATAATTCAGGTGGAAAAATAAAAATACTCATACTGTAAACATTATGCATCATCATGTTCAATAAATGTTATTTATCATAATAAGTATATGTATTTTCAATGTTTTTTTTTAAATCTGTGGAGATTATTTTATTTATTTAGTAATTAGCAAAATTAATATTTACCACATCCATAAAACCCAATGGATTAGTTTTGTCATCAAGATCATACTTATAACTATCTGTGATTGATTTGAAAGAACCCATTCTTGCAGATGACTGAGCTAAGTCTTTTGATGCAATTGTTTTCTTCTGTCCCTCCTAAAATATAAAAAAGAATAAATATATTACATCCAGAACTTTTTTGCAAAAGTGAAAAAGAAAAACATAAAAGTACTTACATTTTCTGCATCTGCTTTAAAAGGGGGTATGACTGAAACAGAAATCTCAATTTTAAGCACATAATACAAAAATAAAAAAAATAAAGAGGATAAAAAAATATTTTTCACTGTGAAGTCAGTTTAATAATAAATGATAGTGGTACATGCTAAAATGTAGGTAATACTTACAAGAGTTATTGGTATTTGATTTAGACTTCCATACGAATTTTGACTTCTTTTCACAAGCCAGCTCACTAGACTCACTGCTAGTAATGAAAAAAATACAATATATGAAAGAAACTATTATTCAGTTGTAGATTCATGCATTTTATTCGCGAGAGTAAGAGCGTCATTTAGCGTCTTAGAACGAGTGCCAAAAGTACTACAAAACCTCTAAAAACTAAGCCAATTGGTTATAGATTTACAATCATTTTTCAAATATTACAATTGGCTATAGTTTAACACAATTTCAGGATTAAAATCGTAAATAAAAATTAAGCAACAGATACCTCAGACTGGAACAGCGGGATTCTCCATTGTTTTTCTTAATAAAATTCATAAGTGTTGACTGTTTGTTGTTATTATTAGCCTTTTTTGAAGCCATTATAAATCGATAATAAATTAAATGAAAACAATTTTCTTTAAATTTCTAGGACTTAGCCTGCCTATCCCGCGCACATATTTGTTTACAATTTTATGACATTGACATTGACGTGTGTTTTCTTAAATTCTCCTTTATGAAGCAAAACATAGTTTGCACGCACTCCTTATCAAAGGTCATTTTTGTCACTCATTAAAACCGAAATACGCACATTTTGAGTGCATCCCCATCTTAACCCCATATATTTCCAACAAAACTACATCCTTGGACAAGACCATAAGAAACACAGAGAAATCCGACAGTAAGCCTAAGCATATTACGATAATTCGGTTAAGCAAGAGGAACTGAGAACTTCGTCATTGTGCTTATCGTAAAAGATATATCGCATTATAATAATAAGTAGGAAAAGTTATGAAAATAATGACGTGGCTGCGTGAACTTTGTACCTTTGCCCATACTATGATGATGTTTTTATGATTCTCCCTTTTTTAGATAAGGCAAAATGACAATGCCCATACAACTAAACTAAGTCTTTAGATAAATAAATCTTCTTTTCTTTACATTAGAATGTCGGTGTGACGCATTCTAATGTTTCTGGAGTGTTTGACACGAAATGTATCGAGTGGGCTACACTACAATAAAGTTCTCACGTCCACTTGACCAAAACAGACGCTGCTCACGAAAATAAGGTAATTTTGACGTTTGAAGTTTTGTGTTGCTAAAAAAATAAAAGCACTCCATTTACTTTCTCCTTAAAATTTTTAGTATTTGATTGTTTTAAACTGTTTAATGATAGTATTTTTTTTTTATTTCTCTCCGTTTATTTTTCATTAAACTATATGTCTTAGTATTTTCTGAATCTTCTCAAAATTGTTTCTTTTCTTTTGGCAGATAATAAAATAATGTCTATTTCACTAAAAGTTTTTGATTAAGAATCGAACAGCAGCGTAGATCTCTTTTTTTGCACAAGAGAAATTCTTGAATCTTCAAATCATTTACACACAAATGCGATTAAAGTGCAGTTCAAATTAATAGCGCGCAAACAGTGCACATAGCACCGTATTCAATTCGGACCTATCATTTGCACTGTTCGTAACATTTGCAGTGTTTTCGCAATTCGGACCGCAGGGCTTGTTGTGACAGTAGATGACAGACTCAGTGACAGTGACAGTGACAATTCCCGAATTTCGTAAAATTGTTCGGCTGTTGTAAGTTCAATTTTTCAATGTGAATTAATTTAAAAATGTCTCTGAAAAAAGGATTGTATCTTACTAAAACTATATGTTGTGCCAATGTAAAACTTCAAAACACGAATTATTTGCGACCCAAATACAGCCAGTATACATTGAATTCAATAAGATTTTACTCAGCCGATCATATAGGTTAGTTTTTTTAATATTTCGTTGTATAACCATACTGTATTCCAAATAAATACACTATAATTCACTATTTAATATCTAAAGAGAGTTTTTGTCTTCACATTTATATAAAACATATTAGTACTTAATGTTTTAGGAATGTTGAATAATACGCATGTATATTCCGCTTATTTGCAGTAATTATTAATAATAATCATTTATTTGTGATAAGAAGTAAAAATGGTCAATGCTAGGGCCTTTTGATGTCAATAAATCAATTTCCATAATGAAAGTAATGTGTATTTTCAATTCTTAAACTATTTCAGGAGATAAAAATAAACATGACAAAAGTCCTGAAAAGGTGGACATTTTGGGACGTTTCTTCCCTCAAAATCCAATCACTCCTAATAATGCACAAGAAATTAAGAAAGAACAAGAGGAATTTGAAAAAGAAAACAAAAGAAAGACTGAGGAAAATGAAAAAAGTTGGAGGAGAATGAAAATGGGGTAAGATATATTTAAAGCCTAAATAAATCTGAAAAAACACTATTTCAACTAGATAAATAGTTAAGGAATTCAGTAAACAAAGAATTAAAAGTCATCATCATCAGCCTACTGAAATCCCCTCTACTGGGGCATAGGCCTTCCCTATGGATGGAATAGAGAAATTGGGCCATGACCCACCATGCTAATACGAATTGGTGGGTAAAAATGACTGCAGTTGCAGTCGGGACCAATTGCTTAACATGCCTTCAGTCATCCATCCTTTGACCGACCATGGCGAAAGTTGCTTTACTTTCACCTTCACCATTGAGGGTAAATTAAAATATAAGTAAAATACATAACTCAAACTTTAAATAAATATATTGTCTTTATTTTGCAACTTCCAGTTTTGCTGTATTTGGTGGAGCTCTAACAGTAATGGGTGGATGCCTAGTTGTGGAAATGGGAGCCCCGCGACGTGGTGAAGATGGCCAGCCATTAGAAGATGAGTTCTCTGGGCAACCTATTGTATTGCAGTATCTAAAACGTACATGGAAAGAGCTTACATTCTATGAAAAGGTTTGTTATAATGTACTGTTTTTAAAGTTACCTAAGTAATTAATTTTTAATCATCAACCAATGTGCTCTTGGCTTATGTGGCCTGTTCTCTCAATATATGTCACTAGTTGGCACCCCTGTGACATGAGGTCTTTTGTATGAAGTTTTTGGCATGAACTAATTGGAACGAGCATTTAAATTGATCCATAGACTATGAAGGCATATGTGATTCAACAGATGAGTAGACCTTTCGTCTCAGTACTGCCACCTGGTGCCTGTCATTCCAGAAAACCCTCATTCTATCCAAATCTAAGGCCTGTGTTCCAACATTGGGTACAATAATAGACTGATGATGATGATGTTTGATACATAATAAGGAACCTAACCTAATCTATACATCATTTACTGCATTGAGTAACATCAGAAGAGCTCTATCCACTTTATTAAAAAACATAGACTAAAGTTAAACCTAGATCAAAACTGATGCTGTCACTTTTATTTGCTAAAAAGAAGCCAGAGACAATGTTAGGTTTAAACCAAGACTAACTTTAGTCCACGTTTTGGAATAAGGGGGTATAGGTCTAATAAAGTTCAGGTCAACAAGGTTTTAATGTAACTATTATGACCTCTACAGAGATCTTTTTCTTATTCTTCTGCTCACAATAAACCCAAGAGGAGTTGAGTTGTAGAAAAAATAAGTAGGAATTATAAAAAAATATTTACAAATTCTTTGATAATATTAGTTTATAAGAGAATTGCGATGCTCCTCATAGGGTTCTAGAACTAATCTAACAACAAAAATGTACAACAAGAATGTTAAATCAATAAATTGTGATAGAAAATATTTTTGATAACCTGTAGAGGCAGATATTGATGTCTATATTAGCACAAAATATTAAAATTCCTAAAATTCTCGATACAGAATGTAAAAGGAGAGACTGATCTTAAATTTAGTTTTAAGTTTAAAGAATCATGGCAGATTGGACACCATTGTATTAATTATTGTTCAAGAATTTGATGTTGTATGCAGATGATAAAGGAGCCTTCCCGTGAAAAGTTGCTACCAGATCCTTTGCCACCACCATATCAACCTGCATACACATTAGTGCTGGAGTTCACAGATGTACTTGTACATCCAGACTGGTCATATCAAACTGGATGGAGGTGAGAATAATGTACCATAAAAAGAATTTCATAAAACAAAACTACAAATAGGGTATTTGACAGTATTAAAAATAAAATGCCAATTGTTAGCATCTGTGTTTAGAATGAATATTGGCAGGGGTTTTATTATTTTTACAAAATAAATATTTATAATTTTACTAAAAACCCACGAAAAAGATAAAAGTTTCCTTATCTATTGTCACGTGACCCAAAACGCTTGGAATTGACGGAGCCTAAAATAACGTCACACGCAAGTAAACTTCCGGTTAAAGTGACATTACATTGTATCGTTTGACGTTTTAATAACAGTCGTCTGACGTCACACACTAGTAAGACGCCATATTGTTCAGAAAAATGTTTTCGCGGCAACTTGAAAACGGAGTTTTTGATTTGGTTATTTTTACTGAAATACACAACAGAATGATGGATATCCACTTTTCATGGACTCCATAAATATTAGTGAATAACGTGAGATCGTTTTCTTAAACTTGTCAAATACCCTATTAGGTTTTATTGTTACTGAAGTACAGGTCAAATAAAACTAAAAACACTTGGACTAGGTGCCAAACCAATTAATTAATGGCAGCTAAAATCTATTAATGTTTTTAAGCATATAACACCAGCTCTGAATGTAGTTAAAAGTTAATTTTATTTTAACTGTACTTTAGTTACATTGAACTAAAGAATGTAAAAGATGATGGAGTAATTAAGCTGGCGTCAAGTCCTCGCGGCGTCAGTTCAACGTATTCTTGCGAACAAGTAGGCGATTTTTACACTATGCTGCGGGATACAGATCTGCATCAGTATGCCAGAGTGAAGATCTGTTATAGATGCGTGATCTGCAACACTGTGCGTGAATTCGTTTTGAGTGTGTTGCACTACGCGTGTTTCAATTCAAAAAGAGGTATACATCCCGGCAAACTTCTTGTGCAATGACCATAGACAAGGAAGCCTACGCAGTAGTAATTTTACATACACAAACGTCTACTGCGCAAGTTTTTTTTGTCTGTGGTGTTTAAGAAAATAGTCGCGACCTATACTTGTAAGTAAGTACAGTACTGTGTACTTGCAAGCGAGGAGCTTGATGGCGCATGTGGTTAGCGCGTTCGGCTTCAACGATCGTCGTTGAAGTTAAGCAACTTTCGCAGTGGTCGTACATTGGATGGGTGACCAAAAATTTACTATCTCGTACTTCGAAGGCACGTTAAGCCGTTGGTCCCGGCTGCTTCAGCAATCGTCAGCATCCACCAATCCGCAATGGGCCCGCGTGGTGGGTCATGGCCCAATCTCCCTATTCCATCCATCGGGAAGGCCTGTGCCCCAGCAGTGGGGACATTAATAGGCTGATGATGATGTACTTGCAAGCTACGTAAAACACGCTCCCCTGTTCTAAGCAGGGTAGTGCGTGCCAGTCTCAGAATCGCCGTACAATGTAAGCCGGCCAGCGTCGATGTTGCGCGATCTCTGGCACGACGACGACGCTGGAAAGACGCTATTGTTGGGACTCTGTATATTGTTGATTATGTGCTTAGTTCAAACATATATATTTTTTTAAATGTAAATTGCTATATCCCGCCACCCCCCTTACCTCCGAAACTACTGCGTCAGAACAGAACACCTATAAGAAGTTGATAGTATGTAATTGAAATAAAACAAATAGTGCGCAACGGATTAGGATGTAATTAAGTACGTATATAGTTTACGACCTGGGTTGAGACTTAGAATACTTTTTTCTGAAAAAAAAAAGCTTCTGTGTGATTATCAAAAAACTAAAGCCGCGGGCGGCCGCTGCACTAGTAATCTAACAAAACCATAGCTGTTAAATTATCAGAAGCAGAACTCTTACAAACGTTTGAGCCAAACCGCCTTATTCCAAAACGCGGACTAAAGTTAAGTCTTGATTTAAACCTAAAGTCTTTTTAGCAAAAGACTAAAACTGATGCTGTCACTTTTGCAGCATCAGTTTTAGTCCAGGTTTAAATTGAGTCTACATTTTGTGATAGGGGGCGGTATATGTTTATTTAATATTATTTTCAATAACATTCACACTGGCAGAAGAATAAAATAAAGATAATAGACAACAAACCTCTGTGAGACACTGAGAGACAGAAAATTTCTCTCACTGTGTATTTGCTTGTAGCATTCTTCAACGTAGCTTAGCATTAATTACATAATTCACAATTACAACATGCAGTAAATCTAACATCATATTTTTCCATTCAAAGATTCAAAAAGCGGCCAGGCGTAGACCAGTTCCTGCAGACGGTGGCCAACTCCAACTATGAGGTGGTGATATTTACGTCGGAAAACGCGTTCATGATATGGCCAGTCATAGACAAGCTGGATCCGGAGAACAAGCTTATATCATACCGCCTGTTTAGAGACTCGACGCATTTCATTGACGGAGTGCACGTCAAGAATCTCGACGGCCTCAACAGAGACTTATCAAAGGTAAGAATTTATTGTTGTATTAATTAATATTAATGCATGCAATGCAATGCATTGTTAAACATTTGCATGCTATTGTAAAAGGCAGAATGGGCCGAACTTTGTATTTGTAACATCTCCAGTGTACCCCTATTCTAATGCAAATAAATAAATAAATTCTATCATATATATAAAATTCTCGTTTCACAATGTTAGTTACCATACTCCTCCGAAACGGCCTGGCTGATTTTTATATGCATGTTCCGTGGGTCTGAGAATCGGCTACTATCTATTTTTCATATCCTTAAGTGATAATGGTTGTCCACCTGTAGTGTACTGAAAGGTACAATGCGCCTTCGCGTCAAAATTCAAACTATTGGGTATTGTACGTAGTGTTCTCATATGGGTTAGGAGGAATGTTATCCCAGGAAATTGATAGAACACTACGTTACACACCTCTAAAAATTTTTTTTGGACAATATTTTTTTTTATAATGTGATATTAAAAAATACATACAACCCTAAATTTATCTTCTACCATCTGCCCCTATTTTTATGGCGGTACGAAGTTCGCTGGGTCAGCTAGTAATTCTATAAAATACACAAGCAAAATGAAATTGCTCCAGTCATTATGGCGCGATTACACTTGGTCGTTAGCCTGAATACGAGTGCCAATGTAATTCGGGTAAACGACTAAGTGTAAATGAACGGAGTCGAGTACGCCCATATTCGGGTCTTTTTCGTTTTGGTCACCCGACACCGTCTTCCAGTCCGTATTCTAGTGTAAATTTTGCTTCGGGTGCCCGAATTCGAATAAGGGCTAGCGACCAAATGTAATCGAGCCGTCAGACAAGTATGTAATAAAAAGGTGTCTTGGAAAAACAATAAAAAGTGTATAAAAGCTATTCTAGTGACAAATCATGTCACATCTTTACGCGTGTTGCTCACTGACCGTAGTTAGCAGGGCAAAACTTTATCCCCTGTTTTTGGACTTTGGCCCTCCGTATAAAATAGATTGTTTTCTTATTTTGTGCTATTCCTTCCGCAGCCCTTATTTGACGGAGTTATCGACTAAACACCGAAAAGTTTTGTTTCAATACTTGTCTGTTTGCAGACCAGTTAAATTTAACCATTTTTAAAAAACTTTGGATAAAAATCTCATGACAATTACAGCTTTAAGAAAATCTTTTAATAAAAAAGGGCGTGTGCGTTCGGGACGCACGACAGAAATGATAACTTAAACTGCGGGTTAGAGTGAGAGAGGTGTCTGTCTACCGCTGCTGTATACGTCAGAGGAAGCAAAGCCTGACTGGCGCCCTAACTAACGCGTAACCTTGGTTATTACTTCATAAAAGATTTTTTTCCCGCGTGGGTCACCGCAATTTATCATCTCCAGTTAAGCCAACGCTAGCACCCGCCAATCGGCATTGGGTGAAGCAGGGTTGCCAGATCGCCAAACCTAATAGCCGGGCAGATTAGCCAGTTTGGCCGGACATTTGCTCGGCGTTCGCTCGTTATCGAAATGTTAAAAAACCTAACAAAAACCGGACCTCGTTTATTTTGGCCGGGCACGCAATCAAAGTGCCTATGTCCGACGCCTGGCAACGCTAGGTGGAGTTGATGACTTTTAATATCTCTTATCTATTAGACAAGTCCGTCCGTCCGTCCGTCCGTGGTGCTGTTTCAGCGGCCAATCCGTAAGAGATAGATATAGAGAATGTTTAAGTTATAAGTTAAGAATAGTCTGATAAGACTACAAACCGGATGTGAGTAACGTAGCACTTCCGGTTTTCGAGAAATCACGTGATTTCTATTTCAAACGAAACCACACAAAATCTCCGAAGTTCTCAATTAATTATTTTTTTTTTCTTTTTTTCGTGAACATTTGGTTCACTGGTTTGCTAGTTTTTTTATATTTTCGCTAAAGAACCACCCCTTCTCATGTTTATTGTGTACGCAGACTGCGGCTGACAAATGTAGCGCTAATTCTTGCCCGCTCTGGATTATTATTCGCCAAAAGAACCGCTTTATCCGATAGCCTGGCAACGCTATGCGTGAGCCATGGCCGTATCTCCCTACTCCCATCTATAGGGAAGTCCCACGAGGACATTAATAGACTGATGACGATGACGAATTGACTCTGTATAATTAATTGCAGGTTATTGTAGTAGATTGGAATAAAGCAGCCACAAAGTTTCACCCGGAGAACTCGTTAATACTGCACAAATGGAAGGGGGCGGACGACGACACCTCGCTACTAGACCTAGCTAACTTGCTACAAAGTAAGTGTTTTATTATTGTTATTTCATATTTTTGGGGATATACAGTCCCAGTAGAATTGTATTCACTGCAACCTAAAAGATCTATTGTGACTCGCCACCGAGTTAAAGTATCTCTTTTAGCCCAACATTATTAAATACCCTAGATACACCAACACGAACAAAATCATGCCCGAAACCTGTCCAAAAGGTACATTGGACGATCCACGGAGCCTAAAATCTTGTAGTGGTAAAGAACGTCTTCTTTTGGGAAAAATAGACTTGATACTTTTAATTAACAGATTAATAAAACATTCCAACTTTAAAAAAGAGGAAAGTACTTAATAATACTAACTATAATATAATACATTTTATTTTTAAATCCGCCCTGACCCACTAGCATGTGATATATAACGTGTTTTTATCACGTTCAATTGTCAAATTACTATGGAGTTTGACAGACGCGATAAAAAACATGATATAATGTAAATTGCGGTGCTCATCCTACGGGGACTGGTCCGCAGGTCAGTAGTGGACACATTAATGAGTTGATGACATTAACGTAAAAACAAGTACACTTACAATCGCGCTGTGTCGGAAGCAAAATTACGCACATTCGTCTATTGTAGATTATGCAGGCACTTCACTTGGCTATTTGTATTTGCTATTAGTAAACTTGACAAAAGTATGTCTTTGTCATGCTTTCATCATCATCAGCCTATTAATGTCCCCACTGCTGAGGCACAGGCCTTCCCTATGGATGGAATAGGGAAATTGGGCCATGACCCACTACGCGGGCCCAGTGCGGATTCGTGGGTGCTATCGACTGGAGATGCAGTCGGGACCAACGGCTTAATGTGCCTTCCGAAGCACGGAGGAGCTCGAGATAGTAAATTTTTGCTCACCCATCCAATGACCGACCACTACGAAAGTTGCTTAACTTCAACGAGCGCAGCCGAACGCGCTAACCACTTGTGCCATCGAGCTTCTCTACTGTCATGCTTTATAAGGAGTAAAAAGGACATACTGATGTCAAGTTTACAAATAGCCAAGTGAAATGTCCGCAAAAATTTTAAAACAGTCGTGTTTGAAAATTTTCGCTCGCATGCAATTTACATTGAACCTTACTGCCAGAACATAACGAATATGTTATAAACGTAGTAATTTACGTAGATCGCTGCTCGGACGGTTTTTGATGCGCTCTTGTTGGGCGATTGGGAGTCCACTGGTTCTTCGTTATACGTCAATGGCTGTTGATGAAGAAATTGAGATTGTGTAACAACACCTTGAAACCCGATGTACATACCAGACGACCTAACCGAGTATGTACACCGGGTCTCAAGGAGTCGTCTACTGGAGAGGTCCCAGGTTCGAATCCCGGTGGGGGCAAATGTTAGTATACGCATTTGTGCCTTATGGAGGCCATACACATTAGGTTTTTAATGATGGTTTTACTCGTACATGCATAACCGACAGATCTCAATTTTTATTTGTTGCGACGGTGGAAGGTCACGCGCGCGAGCACTATCGCGTCGCTTTGAATATGGTGAGTCGCAAGCGCAACGTCACATTAGAAGAATTCATAGAAATTTATAAGTCGGCACTTTGTCTTTGGCGTGTAAAGTGCAAAGTGCGAATATCACGCCAGAGACAAACGATAGGCATAAGATAATATGATTATAAGCGTTCGGGAAGCTGCGGAACATCTTCGCGTCCAAAATTAACTTCAGACGAAAGTCTTTAACCAGTGTGTGTTGCCAGTGATGACCTATGGCAGTGAGGCGTGGTCGTTTACTATGGGTCTCATAGGACGGCTCAAGGTCGCCCAGCGGGCAATGGAGAGAGCTATGCTTGGTGTTTCCCTGCGTGATCGAGTCAGAAATGACGAGATCCGTAGGAGAACTAAAGTCACCGACATAGCTCGAAGAATAGCCCAGCTGAAGTGGCAGTGGGCGGGACACATAGCGAGGAGAACCGATGGCCGTTGGGGCGGAAAGGTTCTCGAATGGCGACCGCGTGCCGGACGACGCTCAGTGGGAAGACCCGCTACAAGGTGGACCGACGATCTGGTGAAGGTCGCGGGAAAACGCTGGATGCGGGCAGCGCAGGACCGATCGTTGTGGAGATCCTTGGGGGAGGCCTATGTCCAGCAGTGGGCGTCGTACGGCTGATATGATGACGCGATTATCTTTCGCAGCTCCGTGGATCGTCGAATGTACCTTTTGGACAGGTTTCGGGCAAGATTTTGTTTGTGTTGATGTATCCAGGGTATTTAATAATGTTGGGCTAAAAGAGATACTTTAACTTGGTGGCGAGTCACAATAGATCTTTTAGGTTGAAATGAATACAATTCTACCATTGTGTACGTTTTCACTGTCATGTTTAATGTCTTGTATGTCCTGTGAGGTGTATGTCAATAAAGATTATTATTATTATTAATTTCGTTCATAGTACTTAATAGGCGTTCTACATACTCCATCACGTAGCTCAACTGAGAGTAATGGCAAAACTGTGCATGCAAACCCTAACGTGACGTCACGAACGATAACACGGTCGTTTGCTTTATCCTAATATTAATGTATAAAATTCAAACTCGTCTCCATTTACCGCGTAAACTGTATGTACTGTATGAAAGTCGGTTATGCATGCACGGTTAAAACCATCATGCAAAACCTAACGTGTATGGCCTCCATTAATCGTGAATGTTTATATACTTATATTTTTATGAGGGAAAAGACTGTCAATTTTTGCATGCCGGAAACGACAAAATGTGAGAACGCTTATTATTATTGACTGAAAATCTTTATAAAACCACATTTAACGCAAATAAAAATATTCTATTCTATATAAATATACTTATATATAATGCGATTCAACTAAGAATAGGACCGACTGGGCGCCATATTTTGACGTCATAGCTGTCAATTCAAACCAAATAGGTGGACAGAGTGAGCAAAAAAATGTTGCTATTTAATAAAACTTATTTACTAAGATTAAGTGAGACAAAACATCAGATTTTTTAATAAAATTAATTTACTAAGGCTGAGAAAGAACACAACCGATTTTTATTAGTATATCTTTATTCAGACTGTGTGAAAAAAAACATTAATCAGAATCTAGCTCTTCAATTTCGCTCATCTCCGCATTACCGCCGGAGAAGTTATGAATAATCATGCAAGTCACATACACACATGTAAACGAAAGTTTTGACGTGACAACGTCTTAAATTAGGTTGCGGCTGGGAGTCACTTATGAAAAAGTGTAACGCTCGGTAACGTTACGATGAGTCTCTCGTGTTAAGTTTAAGTTTACATGTACAATGTTTTAGTAAACAAAATATATTTCTATAGTTAAAATTTGTGCAATTCTTATTTTCATTCAATTCCTTGTTCCTATTGTGCAATTTAATTATATTCATATCAATAAATATTCTACCGAGAAAAAGACGTTGTCACGTAAAATCTTCGCCCGTAAAACCGACTTTACAGGCAACCATTTTTTTAAATAGAGTTTCTGAACGCAACATAAAGTGTCATTTGGTTACGATTTAGGTTATTAACCATTCATAGCCAAAGCTCAATAAATGAAAAAAAAAACAACTAATATTAATTATCAACATTTATTATTGTTTGTTTAAAAATGTTTGGTTTTTATTCTAGAATCGGCTGAGTGCTAAAAAAGCGTTCCGAGATTTTTTTGCAAACCGTACTTTTCAAGTGACATTTGACAGATGGAGGTCATTGACTTTCCTATTCTTATTTGAATCGCATTATATGTATTGTAACCGTTACCTTAGCACCCCATAACACAACCGTTACAGTGCTAAATTTGGGAAAGGCTAATTGGTGTGAGTGAAAAAAATGGTCTGTATGTTCTTTACATGCCGGAAAATAAGAGGCAGTCGTTCGTAATGTTCTCAAGCGTTTTATTAGATATATTTATCAACATTTTGAACATTTCCTCGCAGCTATCGCGATGTCAGACGTTACGGACGTACGCGAGGTGGTTTTATACTACAGCCAGTTCGACGACCCCATAGCCGCGTTCCGCGACAACCAGCGCCGCCTGCTCGAACAAATGGAGGAGAAGGAAAAAGAAGGCAACATTTCCAACGCCCCCCTCACCAAGAACTGGCTGCGTACGTTCACAAGACGCTAAATAAAGCAAATAAATCTAAGACTTCCACTATTGGGCGATACCAAACCTTTTTGTTTTTCAAACTGCCAATCTTTGACCAAACGGCGAAAGCGACAAGAAGGCGATTTCGCGAAATAACTTTCCCATCATTTTTTTTAAACCTACAATCTACTTTTTTCAAACACTTTAGCCATAGCCAGTATCCTTAGATTTTCTTATTCTGATACTCTTCATAATCAATACAGAAGATGAAGAGTATCTCTGTAATAAGATGTATCTAATCGCCTTCCGCGACGACCAGCACCGTGTGCTCGAACAAATGGAGGGGAAAGAGAGAGAAGGCTCTACTTCCAACATCCCCTCACCAAGAAATGGCTGCGTACGTTCACGCGACTCTAAATTAATAAAATAAATCTAGGAGTTCCTCTATTGGGCGATAGCAAACTATTTCGTTTTCCAAACCATTGACCATACCATGCAGGCCGGCAGGGTGAGGATGGCTGGTGTGGCAGGTAGAACTGCTGTACCAGCTATCTTCACGTCTGAACTTCACCGTCACTTAACATCAGGTGGGGTGGAGACATTTGACGGACCTATCTATAAAAAATAAAAATACGGCGAATGCGATCACTCATAAACGAATGCAATTTTTGTTGTACCACAATGCTACTGCCTCGCAATCGCCTTAGCAGTGTTGTCGCGACCATAGTTGTGTAGATATACATACATGTAGACTATACTGGCACAAATATTTAAACCCTTAAAGCAAACTTTTGGCATAATAGTTTGCCTTGTGACCTGGTCAATAGGGTAAAAAAAAAGTTGAACTTAATAAGTGCGATGTTATTGTAAAAATTCATTCGAGACCTTGAATGACCGAACCAAAATTACCGAAGCCCACCTCATGTATTTCAGCATAAGATTTAAAATGTGAGCTGTTGGACAAATATCCAATATCAGCTCGCAAATAATTGAATTAACAAGCTATTTTGATGTCTAAGAGGCATTTAATAAATCATTATGTATTCAATAACGAAGTTCTGTGTTTTCATTAAATAAAACCAATGAGATTGGTTTTGCTGACACTTGGATGAAATATTTGTATGTGTGCACCAGTTCCCCATCTAATTTTATCAAGATTGGCTTAGTGACTAGAATGATTGACTATCGATATTTCAGTTTTAATGTGATTGTTGAGTTCTAACCTTTTTATTTACAATTGACGAATGTAGTATTACTTTTGTCCTGGACTAAAATTAAACTTAATGAAAAATTTAGAAGAAAAAATTAAAAGTGACTTAGACAAAGCTTAAAATAAAGACTTTTTAAAATACATTGTAGTGACGACGAGCAACTCCGGAACCCTACACTGCGCGATATGCACTTAGCCAGTTTTTTTATATTATGCTGATTAAGGCCTTGAATTTAATAGTTCAATGTTATGGTACCTATCTTTAAAATTTTACATATTATACCATACATACTTCTGTGACGCAAAACTTTTGTTTTACAAACTTAATGACTGAAGTATAATTTAAATTGTTTAATATTTTGTACACTTAACTATTAAATAAAAGCAAGTCATTTGGTCAAAATTACTATACTTTTTATAAAACATTGATGACCTAGTAAATAACTATGTACTAGGTTAAAGAAAAATAGAAACAAACCGTAAACTTATTTTGCCCTTGTTATATTTTTATTTTAAGCATTTTACTATTAGGTATTTAATTTTTTTTTTCTAGTACAAATTTCTTGTAGGTTTCACAAACTGATTGGATTTTCTTTAGTTGTAGACACTCAACAGAGCTCAAACTTTTGTACATAGTCCTACAAATTACTATCTAAATATTACCATTCTTCAAAATGATTTGATACAGTAATATGAAAATCGAGGCGTTTCGTCCGAGAGCCCACATTCGGTGAGTTGTAGCGTTCGACTTACAACAGCTACAAATTTAGACATCTGATTGCAATTTTTTTAACGGTCCTGACAAATGTTTGTGTACAGTTTGTGGACAGGGTTCATTTTGAAACATCAACAACCTCTTAGGGGGTGATTCTACCCATCAACAGAAACAACTTTTATTATGGATCCAACGCTGAAATCGCGAAAAAAAATCTGCTGTTTCATACAAAAGTGCATTAGCTAATCGACAGAAATGTATGAAACAGCTGATTTTTTTATTCGCGATTTCAGTTGGTCCCATAATAAAAGTTGTTCCTGTTGATGGGTAGAATGACCCCCTAAGCGGTTGTTGGTGTTTTAAAATTAACCCTGTAGGAAACCTACGTTTTCCACAGCGCACGAACATTCACCTCCCAGCCTATATCATTAGTAGTAATACTAGCAAACCAGTGAACCAAATGTTCACCAAAACCTGATTTAAAAAAAAATGTATTTAATTAATTGAGAACTTCGGAGATTTTGTGTGGTTTCGTTTGAAATTCGTGATTTCTCGAAAACCGGAAGTGCTACGTTACTCAAATCCGGTTTGTAGTCTTATCAGACTATTCTTAACTTATAACTTAAATATTCTCTTTATCTATCTCTTACGGTTTGGCCGCTGAAACAGCACCACAGACGGACGGACGGACTTGTCTAATAGATAAGAGATACACACTAGAATAGAACCATATGTTTTTCCTGTCACAATGCTAGAGATTGAAGGGGAAGATGGCAGACCAAGACGCGATTTTTTTTTCTATTGTGTATTACTTTAGTTCTAAAAATTAAATATAGATGTGTTACGAACATGGTCGTAGAATATAAACAAAACCGAGTACCTACTATTAAAAATTACATTATTGAAAATTTACTTTGTCCAATAATAATAATCAGTTTAATATTTGGTGTGGATTATGAACCACTTTGAATAGTCCCTTAAAATAATGAAATGATAGGTAGGTGAAATATTTTCATTTTGTAATGGAGTCGTAAAATTTTCCCTTACATGATGATATAGTTTTATTATTTTAATGTGTGGTAAGTGACTTTTTTGGTTGTTTATATGCGTCCTTTATAATTTCGGCAATGTTTTATCGCGCATTCCGGCATTTCAAAGCAATAATTTCAACACGAATCTCTGTAACTGACGTGCGTATCGCTCAGCGTTATATTGAACACTAGGTGACGGGAAAGGGCATTTGGCTCATATTTTTGTACCGTCGTCTGCGCTGCCACGCCCTATCTAGAAGTAAATAATCAAAGCCATGTATCTAACTATGTTTTACAAACCGCTGCGCCGAATTTGATATTTTTTTATATACTACTCTCGAAAAAATGTACTTAAAACAGGTTGACAGTTTTTGGGATATATGCATGCCTTTCACATCATAAAAACTTAAGAATCATGAAATTGTATTAAATCGCCGTCCTTACGGCATTTCTAGTCCTGAGATGTAAATGAAGTTAACTGGTGTTCTTCCTTTGAAATGGCTACTGTATTATGTCAAAAAAGAAAAAAATATAAAATGATTAATTTTTATAATGTATACCTATAATTGCGTTAAAACTTATTCAAGTCTTTTAATTCATTCATTATTGATGTTCAATAAAAAATATAGAAACTCTTGTGATTAATCCTCTTATTAAATTTGCTTTCGATTATAATTCACTGAACTTCCTTAAAGTACCCATGTAATAGATTTGTAAATAAATGAAGAAACTTATCGTATTTATTGTTGCATTCATAATGTTTACTTGGCCATTGATATATTAAAACTTGCATTTTCTTTTAATCTTTACTTGACATATTGACTATAAAACTGGACTCAAACTTATAGTTTAAAAGAATTTCTTATGTTTTTACGAAATCTTTGTATATAAATAAGTCCATCGTTATTTAATGTCAACCAACTGTAATTTTAAATCCTTTTTGTGCCCCCGTAGAATATATCAAAATCCATAGTAATTTGAAAACTTTGAGAGTGGATAAAACGAGCCATGTATCTTACACCTACTCATGCTAAGGGGGCTGGTGTACCAAAAGTTACTAAGGAAAAGATTTAAAATTACATTTAGTACCTTTAAGCATTTGTTATGTTATGAATTAATGTTTATTGTATGAATGTAATGCGAGTTTGTGGGGATGAGAGCTGAACCTTATTTTACTTAGGCAATTATAGTTGTTTATGAAAAAAAATACCCATTTTTATTTATTCATCATCACTATCTTGAAAATGCAGCCTTGACATTATTGAAGACTGATTTCCAGTTTGATCTGCGGCGGCGATCTGTGCGGCATCACGCTCGACGCACCACGCATCCAGCAACTCTGGGATCAACTCTTCTTTTTCAAAGGATTCGAAAACCTTTGATTCATCAAAGTATTCCTTAATATTCTTGGGACCAAAATTATAACTATCAGGCACTTTCTTTAATTTATGCCAAACATTTGCTATATTTCTTAAAGCAGAAACTTCAAATATCTTTATATCTGTCTTATATGATTTGCTCCAATCGTGTAATCTTTGTACACTATCATCTTCTATAAAACTTTCCATGTACTTAGGGTATAAATTTCTAGCGAAAACATCTCCCAGTGAGTTTTGTGTCAATATGCAAAAGTGATCATCTATTTCAGTCATAGCTTGGCCAGTAATAGATGTTGAGAGTCTCTCCTCAATAGGTCTGTAGAGGTCGATGCATTGCATGTTCTGTCGCGCTTGATTCAAGACGTCTAATATGTTTGGGGGATGGTATGGCATGGTAACACCACTAATTTCACATGAGTTTATTACACTATTGGCATAGTTACTAATTACGCACGTATCTTCGCACCATTGGCTGCTCAGTGTGATGAGCTCTTTGTTGTTGGCCGCTTTATTGATTAACATGTATGTCGGCGCACACTTCATACCATGTGTCCAACGCTGCACAGCCCTCAGGTTTTTACTCTTAGTGGCTCGTGTATCCATCAAGAAAGCATAATGATCAGTTGCAAAATATAGTGAAGGGCTGTCTTTACAGTGTTTAGCAGCAGATATATTGTTACAATGTACTGTGTCAACAATATCTTTAACTCCTGTCCAAATATTTACTTTACTGTTTGTTCTCTTGTCATATAAAGTTATTGCACCTTTTTCGATGTGCATATATGTGCATCGTTCTGCTCCTATGATGCAATTCCAATTGTTCAAAAGTGAATCACTATTGTTCTTTAACTTAACACTTCTTCCAGTCATTCTATTTATGTTTACTATAGTCAATTTGCTATCTAAGGTTGTTGCATACAAGATGTATGTGTGATGACTATCAAAAGATATACCAGTGTATATTGAATTTGTTTCAAAATGTTTTAGTTTCTCAAAACACAATTCATTATTAATTTCAACAATTTTTAACAGGAATATTGTGTGTTTAGTCCTGACTGCCACAATATTCTGAGAAGAACATATTGTCTCATATATAAGATTATCCTTCCCACAATCAAAACTTGCTGAAATTTCCATTTCTTGTGCAATACGATCCTTGTCAAATTTTGATATATCTAGAAGGGGGAAAACTAGTATAATTTTTATAAGAGTGAACAGAGATATTATAAAAACATTAAAGCAATGAGATTTTTTATATATGAAATAAAATAATAACATGAAATAAAACACATAAAAAAATACTAGTAACTAGATTACATGTTCTATAAATGTAGCAGTCAACCGAAGTCCTAATTGTAAATTATTTGGAAAATATTATTTTTCTGAGAAACTTACAGACAGTGCCAAATTCACTGTGAAGTGTATAGTCAACCCAGTTAACACAAATGATCTGCATGTTGCCGTTGCCTGCATAATACCAGTTGAAGGATGCATCAAAATTTGGATCTGGATTCTTCTCCAAGCGTGTTGCTAAGTCTATCAGGTACTGCGGAACCTGCATCACTTCATCATTGAACTGATGCTCGCATTTGTCACGCATAGCTTTTACTACTGTAGACAATATTCAAATACTTCAATTGATAGAGAACTTGTTGCAATTAAATTAATGTGCCTTGGCACATTAACTTCCAAGATGTAAAATAAAATAAATGGAAGTCATAGCAAATGGGTGATTTTAAAAAATAATAATTTTATTACTAAACCCTCTAAAAACTGAATAGTAAAGTAGGTGTAGTCTAAATTGGTCAAACTATCAACAAAATCACTTATTTACACCACAGCCATTAAACCATATAGGTACCTCATTTCAGTTATACTTACAGCAAGCACTTGCTTTTATTACCGAATTACCATGATGCCAATCACTTTTTATTTTCATAAGATCAGTAACTGGATCATATTTATCAACATTTTTCATTTCAGTTATTACTTTTGGCATTGTGCTTTTATATTGAAATTGCTCAAAGAAGTCTGTGCCTATGTTTCCATCCCAGTCATCTTTGAAATACTTTAATGGATGTCCCGGTGTAGTGTAATGAATATCAAGACTGTGCAAAGCCTTTCGTTTACCCAACAATTGATGGTAAAACCTATAAGCCTTGTTATGGTACTCTCGTTTTAGAAATTCCTTTACAATGTGTGCTATAGGAGCGGTACTATCAATGACTGCTTCACTATCCAAAGCAGCATCTTCATGGGTTCTCTGTGAAACAATATTAAACTGTATGTAAAACTTTTATTGTTCTTCATTTAGGAAAAGTCTAAACTCAGCATGCCTTCTAGAATAAGCTACCTTCAGCTCACTCTATTCTTTGGCTCGTTCTGGCTTTGGAATTGTCTCAACCTCTTTTTCCATTCCATGGGTACCAATAAGTAGAGGAATTTTAAAAATACTAAGCTCATGTATGGTCCAATATTATATTTAGGTTGGGACCAAGAGTCAGTGCTGCGGCAGAGTTTGACGATACGCAGAACATAACTATAACAATACTTTTTATAGACCCTCTTTGCACATATTAGAAATAAATTATGAGTTTGAATAATAATAAATTAAGAAGATACAACCTGGATTACCTACCTTTAATCCATTTCTTTTGTGACTCATGGTTATGCCATGTAAATAATTTCTTAGTTCCTATTTATTAAAGGGAAATTAACATTACTATAATCCAGCTTTTATCAAAAATATCAGCACAGCACAGAGTACCATAAATCTTTTTTTTTTTTTGTTGAAGTTCTCCCGTTTTAGGAAAGGCAAAGGGAACAATGCCCACACAACCTGGTCTTTAATCAAATTAATGTTCTTTTTGTTTTTACTTTTTACATTAGAATGTCGGTGTGACGCATTCTAATGTTTCTTGGAGTGTTTGGCACGAAATGTATCGAGTTGGCTTTTTCGATAAGCTTCTGTGAGGTAGTCTACACTACAATAAAATTCTCACGTCCACTTGACCGGAATAGCGTATATTTTAACGATTCCACTAATTCTTCAGTTACGCAGACAGTTGTTACACAAAACCACACCAATTTTATTTCACAATATCCACTATGAACGAATTTAAGAATAATTAAAATAAGACGCCAACCGCACTCGATGAAATCCCGCCAAAAACCCTACCATAATATCAGTTTGTCCTTTTTTTTTGGTTAAATTCTCCCTTTTCAGAGAAGGCAAGGGGAACAATGCCCATACAGCCTAGTCTTAAATTAAGTTATTCTGTTTTTCCTTTTACATTAGAATGTCGATGTGACGCATTCCAATGTTTCTTGAAGTGTTTGGCACGAAATGTATCGAGTTGGCTTTTTCGATAAGCTTCTGTGAGGTAGTCAATACTACAATAAAATTCTCACGTCCACTTGACCGGAATAGCGTATATTTTGACGATTCTGTTGAAGTTATGATTTTATGTAAAACCTTCTTGTTAGCGCGACTCGATGGCCTGTTCTCTATGTCACCGTTACTTCATTCTAGGACTTTGCTAAATACGTCAACGGTGTATACCTATAAAAATGTAATGTGATTGGGACTACATAAACTAAATATTACGAGCTGATTGTCTTTCCTTTCTACTATCCACTTCCTCAACATGGTAGCAAAGGAGAGTTGTTGAATAAAATAAATAGAAAGAGGAAGATAAGTGGAAATTATTTGACAAGGTCAGTACCGAAACAATTGAAGACGTAAGGTACCGAAAATGGAAGTAAAGATAGGAGAAGTGGGCATTCAGATATTTGATGGTGCAAATTATGAAAAATGGAAATTTAGATTAAAGTTGTTGTTACAAATGAAAGAATGCCAAGAAGCTGTGGAAAATGATATGAAACATGAAGGTATGACGGACACGGAATGGAGAAAAATTGATTTAAAGGCAAGAAATATTATAGTGAATAGCGTAAATAATACTCAGCTCGATATAATAATGAATGAAAGTACGGCTTACCAAATGATTAAAAAATTGGACGAGATGTATTTAGTAAAAGGCAGTGCTAATAAATTATTAATTAAAAGGAAATTACTAGAAACAAAATTCAAAGATGGCGACGATATACTAGAATTCATACAAACATTTGAAAAACAAATCAATGAATTGAAAAATGCTGGAGAAGTCGTGTCGGAAGAGGATAGACTGAACTATTTATTGCTTGCATTACCTGAGAGTTTTGCACATATTGTAAATATTGTTGATGCGATGCCGACAAAGGATCGGACAGTGGAGTACGTGAAGTCCAAATTACTACTTGAAATGAAAAGAAAACAGAACGAACAAGAAGCTCATACGTTCAGTTCTCGATCAAATCAACACCAAGATGGGTCCAGGAATAATGATAACTGCTTTGAATGCAACCGCCTAGGACACTACAGGAGGGATTGTCCTAAGTTAGAACGTCGTGGTCATGGTCGTGGTAGAGGACGCGGATATGGAGGCGGACGACGAGGAACTCACAGAGGATATAGAGGAGGATACAACAATAGAAGCGTGAATACAGGACAAAGTAGCAGCACCAGTGATGGATTTGGATTCAACGTAGAAGTAGAAGCGATGACAGGAGCTACCGAAACGAAAGCGGATATAACATGGTTATTGGACAGCGGATGTAGCGATCACATCGTAAATGACGATAAATTCTTTCGTGATTATAAAATTTTAGAAACACCTGTGAATATTAAGGTAGGTGATGGATTTTGTCTTAAGTCGGAGAAAATAGGAAATGTAACAATGTACTGTAAAGCAGGAGGTAAGTCAAATAAAATTGATGTTTCAAATGTATATTATGTTCCAAATATGAAAAAGAACTTATTAAGCGTTTCATGCATTGTAAATAGAAATAATACAATTCAATTTAGAGGAGAAATAGCAAATATATATAATGTACATATAGGTTTAATGGCCGTCGCACGCAAGAACAATAAATTGTACGAATTAGGTGGCAGAGTTAATTTAGGTGCAGGTACAGTAGCATACACAAGTGGTAACATTATGTCAGAAAAAGAAAAATGGCATAGAATACTTGGGCACCCTAACTTTAAGAAACTAAATGAAATGTGCAGGCATAGGGTTGTAGATGGGTTACCTATCACTTTAGGCGAGGGTTACGTGCAATGTGAAGTATGTTTGATGAACAAAATGACAAATCTACCTTTTGGAAATCAAAGACGACGGGCAACAGACTTGTTAGAGATTATCCACACGGATGTGGCAGGCCCGATTACGCCCACTGGATATAAGGGGCAACGATACTTTGTGTCATTCATAGATGACTATAGTAGGTTAGCTTATCTATGCTTAATTAATAACAAGAGTGATGTTTTTAATTGTTTTAGAGATTATGTAAATATGGTGGAAAATCAAACAGGTAAGAGAGTGAAAGAAATCAGATGTGACAATGGCGGAGAATATATTAACAACGATTTCTACACTTACACAAAGCAAAAAGGTATTTATTTAAAACCAGGGCCAGCTTATACACACGAGTTGAACGGTGTAGCTGAAAGATTCAACCGAACCATAATGGAGAGAGCGAGATGTCTGCTTACAGAAGCAAAGATAAATAAGAAATATTGGCCTGAATGCGTAATGACTGCAGCATATCTAGGTAATAGAATATTAACAAATACTTATGAAAAAAAAACGCCGTACGAAATTTTTATGGGGAGGAAGCCAAATGTAAGTAATTTAAAAATTTTCGGATCACAGTGTTATGTACGAATTCCAGACGAATTACGCACATCAAAACTTAACCCAAAGGCTACAAAAGGTATATTAGTAGGATACACAGATACGGGATACAGAGTATTAATAAATGAAAAAATAGTCATTAGTCGTCACGTTACATTTATAGGTACGAAAGAAGAACAGATAATAAAGATAGTAAATACTGAAGATGAAACTGATGAAAACGAAGAATTTTATGATAGTGTTGATGACTCAAAGGAAAAATCAAGTAGAGCTGTGACTGAGGAGGTGACGGATATCCGACCAAAAAGAGATAGAAAAATGCCAGAGAAATATAAAGATCATGTTGTATATATAAATTTTAGTGATGCACTGGTACCAGATACGTATGATGAAGCAATAAAAAGTCCAGATGTAAATAAATGGAAAGATGCAATGAAAGAGGAATTGAACAGTTTGGAAAAGAACGAAACATGGATTTTAGTTGATAGACCAGAAAATAAGAAAATAATAGATGTTAAATGGATCTTTAGGATCAAGTCGAATGGGAAGTATAAGGCAAGAGTAGTCGCACGAGGTTTCCAACAGATGTATGAAGAAAACGAGGAAATTTATTCACCAGTAGCGCGAATGACGACAATGAAAGCTTTATTATCAATTGCATGTGTAAGAGGATGGAACATTGAACAAATGGACGTTGAGACAGCATTCTTGAATGGGAGTATTAAGTCTGAAGTTTATATTTACCCACCTGATGGATATTGTACAGAGAATAATAAAGTGTGCAAACTACAAAAAGCTCTTTATGGATTGCGAGAAAGCCCACGTGATTGGTATGAATGCTTTCACGAATTCATGTCAAGCATTAATTTCAATAGGTCAGACTATGACTATTGTTTGTATACAGGGTGTGTAAATAATGTAAATATATATCTATGTCTGTATGTGGATGATATTTTGATTTGTGGGGAGAAAAATGAGGTAATTGACGAAGTTAAAAGGCTATTGAACAATAGATTCCGAATGAAAGATCTGGGCAAAGTAAAACAGTATATTGGAATAGATGTAGTTTTTGAACCAAAAGAAGGCAGAATGACTTTAAGCCAGGAAAAATACATTGTAAGTTTAGCTGAAAAGTATAACGTAATCGAATCAAAGAACTTTGAGACACCAATGGAAATGAATTTAAGCATTGATTCAAGTCAAGATGTCAGTGCAACGTTAAAGTATAGAAACTTGATTGGAGCTCTTCTGTATGTTGCGAGTGGAACACGGCCAGACGTATCTTATAGCGTTAACTATTTGAGTCGTTTCCAAAATGCTTATAGTGATACTCATTTCAAATATGCCTTGCGAGTTCTCAAATATCTTTACTGCACGAGACACTTGAAGATGAATTATGACGCCCAATATAAAGAACAATTGGACGCTTATGTAGACGCTGATTGGGCCGCAGATAAATCGGATAGGAAGTCGACGACAGGAATCCTTATAAGAGTTTTTAATAATCCGATCATGTGGAAGTCACATAAACAGAAAATAGTGTCAAGAGCATCAACTCATGCCGAGTATTATGCTTTGGCAGACTGTGTTGAAGAAGTACTTCCGTTAATAGGTGTGTTATGCGATTTAGACGTTGAGATTAGGGATCCAGTAAAAATTTACGAAGACAACAGCGGGGCTATTGCGTTGTCAAAGAACGGAAAGTTTTGTAAAAATCCTAAGCATATTGACATAAGCTACCACTTCGTATATGACTACGAGAAAAAGGGCATTATTAATATAGTAAAGGTTCATACAGAAAAACAATTAGCGGATATATTGACCAAGGCATTAGGAAAAAATAAATTTATAAAACTTAGAGAACTGGCAAATGTCAAATGAAATGATAATGACAGATAGTCTTTTGTTAAGTGATTTATTTATTATGTTAAGTTGTTATATTGGTATTAAGTTGTTTTTGTTGTTTTCTATAAAATCAAGGAGGTGTGTTGAAGTTATGATTTTATGTAAAACCTTCTTGTTAGCGCGACTCGATGGCCTGTTCTCTATGTCACCGTTACTTCATTCTAGGACTTTGCTAAATACGTCAACGGTGTATACCTATAAAAATGTAATGTGATTGGGACTACATAAACTAAATATTACGAGCTGATTGTCTTTCCTTTCTACGATCCACTTCCTCAACAGATTCTACTAATTCTTCAGTTACACAGACAGTTGTAACACAAAATCACACCAATTTTATTTCACAATATCTACTATGAATTAATTTAAGAATAATTAAAATAGGACGCCAACCACACTCGATGAAATCCCGCCAAAAACTCTGTACTTTTTTTTCTTATTGGTTTTTTTTTAAGTTTTACGGCCGTGAGTTTCTCCATTTCGGCCATTCATTAGTTCATTAATCGCACGGTTAAGGATGAAACGATACGAGAAAATACGGCTAACTACTCGATACTTTTCTTTCGATACCAAGTACTTTTGACATCGATCGAACGCATCTTTTCTACTGCTTCGTTGACAGCCTAGCGTATGATTTATACTTATTCCAATTTTTCAGTCATTAATCGTTCATCGCGTGGCATTAGCCGTTATTTTGTTTTTGTCAAATTAAAACTGTTACTGAATTTGTAATTCTAATATCGTTCGTCAAAATTTTATCGATACAAGTAAGTATCAATATTTTTCATCGATACCGAGTAGGCATCGTTACTTAATGACCGATACAGTATCGAGTACCTAGATGGTATCGTTTCATCCCTACGCACGGTTTGTGCATTTAGCCAATGTCGAGTGTTAAAATGTTTACAAATACTATAGCACTCGTGGTCAATTTAATAAATCATGTCAAAGTAAGTGGCAGTCAAGTCAATCCCCCTTTCCCTAGGTTTCAGCAAAAGTGTGGGGATTTACTGGAACCTACCCGTGGACTCCTTGAGGGCACGTCGAAAGACAGTTTCCGCTATTTTATTTCACTTGCTAACACTTGTACATGTTCCCGAACACTTAGTGGTTAATAATCCACCATTATTAGACACTAACATCCGCCAAAACATAATTTTTAGCAAGAAAAAAAAACGCTAAAGTGCCGCTCCCAGATCCCGCCAAAAAGTTCACTGTTTGTACTTTCTTCTACTTTTTTTTTAAATGGCATGCACGCATTAGTATAGGGTTTCCCTACTGTATAAAAAGGACAATAAGGACTGTAACGGGATTTACACTACCCAATTTTAAGCGCCCAATCGAGAGGGTGGGCGTGGCCAGGAACGAACGGTCCCCTTACTCCATAACTCACATTACACCACTAGTCCAGTCATTATATACATTTGGAAATGCAAATGAACCGAGAAAGCCAAATTTTGGATATTACGTGGGGGGTGGCTAGAAAAGCTTAAGTTCAAATTGTCGACCAAAAAAACCTTGTGGGTTTTCCGCCATCTTGAAAAAAGGGTTAAACTCAGTTTTTTTATCATAACTCGGTTCCCCGTCGAGATACGAAAATTTTTATGGAATACTTTTTTGTTGCTCTTTGTACGATCTACAATTAAGGTCCTATACATTTTTCGCGTATCGACCATCGTTATCGAGATATCGATAAAAAAAGCCACAAATTTTGGGAGAAATTTTTTTTTTCGCTATTTCCTTCTTTCTCGCGAAAAATATCGAAAAATGTTTCGAATAAAACTTGTAGAGCCTGTTCAGACCTACAAATTCGTTTTTTAATTTTTCATTTTCGAGAAAAATTACGACCTCCAGCGCGCCGCAAAGTGAGTAAGACTGTGCCCGGTTTCGATTTAGCCGCTCGCACGGTTGTATCCACAACGTAAAAATTGATTAATTATTGGTTAAGGGATTTATTGCTATACAAAATAAATGAATAATCCAGCCAAATTATAAATCAAACACATGAAATTTATTAATCAAAAAATGTTTATGCAGCAAAAATAATAATCTTACACGTGGTCATTTTTGTCACACGTTTTCCTTCGTTTTGATGGTCCTGGCTGCTGTTGAAGTTCCTCCTCGGTACACTCTTCGAGTCGGGTAAATTCTTCAATCGCAGGAAATGATGCTGTGAAGGTCGAAAAATCGTAATCTTCATCATCGTGATCGTCATTGAGTAATATCTCGACTTTGGCGACATTGTCGCATGTCTGTCCACTACAGAATTACGAACGACGAACGAATTTTCGAAATGAAATAGAAACAGAGTAAGGAACGTGCGATATTTCGATCGAAATTTCGTTTTTCGTTGAAATAGAGTAGGCCTCCTGACCCATGCCGACACTCCAACCGTCGCACGTCCGCCATGGCGCGACGCACATTCCGGCGTCGGGCGCATTGGCGCCGACTTTGCGGCGCGCTGGAGGTCGTAATTTTTCTCGAAAATGAAAAATTAAAAAACAAATTTGTAGGTCTGAGCAAGCTCTACAAGTTTTATTCGAAACATTTTTCGGTATTTTTCGTGAGAAAGAAGCAAATAGCGAAAAAAAAAAATCTCTCCCAAAATTTGTGGCTTTTTTTATCAATATCTCGACAACGATGGTCGATACGTGAAAAATGTATAGGACCTTAATTGTAGATCGTACAAAGAGTAACAAAAAAGTATTCTATAAAAATTTTCGTATCTCGACGGGGAACCGAGTTATGATAAAAAAACTGAGTTTAACCCTTTTTTTCAAGATGGCAGAAAACCCACAAGGTTTTTTTGGTCGACAATTTGAACTTAAGCTTTTCTAGCCACCCCCCACGTAATATCCAAAATTTGGCTTTCTCGGTTCATTTGCATTTCTAACCCGATTTTTCCGACGTAATGACTGGACTACACCCTAAGTCCGGATTAGGGTCCCTTATTGGGTAGTGTAAATCCCACATGAGTACTATAAAAGATCATGATTAATCACGGTTCCTCCTGATGTTTGAACTACTCAAAATCAAAGTTAAGGCAATCCTTTATGGTATAAGAAAGGGATAAATATAAGGCATATTTATCCCTTTCTTATTCTCTATTTTGTTCTCTATTTCTCACTTGTCCCGTTTTATCGGCGCATATAATCGGGTGCGGCCAGAGTGCACTCAGATTCAGATTCTGAAAACAAGCGCGAGAAATAAACAGTGTAGTCGAAGGTTACGGCCAGATTGCACTCCTGATTCAGATTTAGATTCAGACTCAGAAAACAAAGCGCGAGAAAAAGCAAGCAACCTGCTTAGACTACACTGTTTATTTCTCGCGCTTGTTTTCGAAATCTGAATCTGAATCTGAGTGCACAGTACGTCCATGGTATTTTCATATTTTGTTTTGTAGTCTATGGACTTTATTTATTGTGATGATTTAATCATTCATCATAATTTTTTAAAATTAATTGCAGTACAGTGCACCGGGCTTTTTAATATGGGTATTAAAGAGGCGAATATTTATCTGGATAATCAATTTAATACGTACTATGCAGGTCAAACGGTTAATGGAAGAATTGAATATGTTTTTGATAGTCCAAAAAAAGTTCGAGGTAGGTGTGACTTTTTGTAGTTAGTAAGGTGTTCTTAGTATTAAGTTAGTGACTCACACAGCTCAAATGCTAATTATTTAATAAAGATTTGCAGCATACATGTTACTTACTTGCGAGCCTACCAACAGAACTGAAATAAATTCCAGATAACTCGCAATGGTTACATCCATTCAAATCTAAGCAGAGTTTGTACATAGGTCTTTGTACAAAATAGGTCGCAATGCGATTATAATCACTCACTCACTTATAAATGCCAGACAGGTTATACGCCAACATTAGGTTTGTTTAGTTTTTCCGGGCAGTTCAGGAAAGCAGCCTTACAGCCGTAGACTCCTGCAAGCTTCCGGAAACTATTCTGGTGACTGGAGAAGTCGTGCCTGTTGGTTGGCCTTGCTCCTGCATTCCATGATGACATGCTGTGGCGTTTCTTCAGCCTCCATGCAGCCTCTGCATAGGGGGCTGTCTGTTACTCCTATTGTATATAGGTGTTTGGTTAGGGGACAATGACCACTCATGGTTCCTATAATCCTGTGAAATTTGTCCCTATTTAGTCTGGTAAGGGTGGGGGCAAAATTTTTGTTTGCCATGTTTTTCTTTGCTGGCATCCATTTTAATAGGCACAAGTAATCCCTGCCCCAACTATCCTTGGCAACAGCCGCACTAAAGTAGTCTCTTTCAATCTCATGCATAAAGCAGATTTCGTCTTTTCACTCTTTAGCCTTCACGTGTCAGTGGTGTCAGCACATGCTCAGTAGGTGTCAGCAACTGTCAAAATAGGTAACCACTAAATATTTTAATTTCTTTTATTCTGTACTTAGAAGTTAAATGACACATGTTTTTTTAGTCTTTAATAGGTCCCGTGTAATTTGTTGCTATGTAAAAACACACTTTTTATCTGGAAATGGTTTTTTGTCAGGAAAAACAAAAAATAATTACATGTTGGAGTGAAGTGTAGCCGCAACGAGAAAGTGTGCCATCACCTGACATTCAGAAGGGTGTATGACGTATCTATAATTATAAAACATCATAGAGCAACAATTGCGGCTAGGACTGCTCTTATTATAACAGCTATCTTAAAGCACCAATTTGTTTCAACTGATTATCACTAACAATCCTGAGTGTTGTTCCAAATGAAATGCAACAAAACTATAATTTATCGTCCAATATTTTTTTTTCTACCCTTATAGGACATCTTCAGTTTGAATCTTAATGTGTGTGAGCCCAATGCTTTTTAGTAGTTTTAATTTACAGAAGTTTCGGGATAAAAAAAATGAAGTTTCCTTTTAATTCTAGGCATCCATGTCAAAATCAAAGGTGAAGCTCACACAGAGTGGTGTGAAAGTAAACAGGAAGAAAATTCACAGGGAAAAACTGAATCAACCGATACTATGCATACTGGTAATGAAGAGTACTTTCAAGTCTCTTATTACCTCCTTGGAAGCAATACAGGTATCTACAGAAACTGGCTAACTTTATATGAAATAATGTAGTGTATTATATTTGTTAATTTTTAGTGTTAGTCTTGTTTTGGAAATCCTGTCTATATCTTTTTTTTTGGACGGAAAATTAAATTCCATACAATACCATGCAGTATCACAACCTCTTATGTCTATGCAGTCTCAATATTTGTTTGGCTCTGATATTCTATGTGTCTAATTGCATTAATATAATAGAAATAACTGATTCATTTTAACATTGTTCTACTCTAATTCTATTTTTTTATTATAAAATATAGTTGAAAAAACCGTAGGTCATTGTCATTTGATATTATTATTTATTTAGATATGTTTCATTCTATTTTTCTAAAATGTCTCTCCTAAATTTACAGGCAATGAGATAGAAATTCCACCTGGGAAGCAGGTATACAACTTTACCTGCACATTACCACCGGTTCTGCCTTCGTCATTTGAAGGAGAATTTGGTTATGTTAGATACACAGTAAAAGTTACTTTGGATCGCCCATGGAAATTTGATCAAGAAACTAAAATGGCATTTACTGTCATAAATGCATTAGATCTGAATCTAAACCCATCCTACAGGGTAAGGACTACATTTGTCGTATTCATACTGGATTATTTTTACCCAACTTATTTATCTTCATATATTTTACTTCATAAATCTGGACAAATTTTACAGGAGGTAGTAAAATTTTGTACCTATAATTTAATCAAGTATGGTAATCATTTAAATGGAATTGTGATTTTTAGAGTAAATCTACTAGGAGTATCGAGTCGAGAGTATTTATGGCTTAAAGGTGTTCATATTTATAATTAACCTGTTGATACATTTGGCAAGAAGATGCATCTGTTATAATTACAAAATTAATTCTAGTTTGAAAGTTGTATGTATCATAATATTTTATTAACTTACAGGAACCGATTCACATCCAGTTAGAAAAGACATTTTGTTGTTTCTGTTGTGCCTCACCACCAATGTCTGTGGACGTGCGAGCTCCTGTGTCAGGTTACTGCCCCGGTCAGACCATACCAATAACTGTGGACATTGAGAACAAAAGCAATGTGCAGTTGCATCTTGTCAAGATTTTTCTGCGTAAGGTAAGAATGACAACCATGTTTCAAATCACTTACGCAAACCATTCTTTGAATAGAAGACAATTTTTTTTTTTCAATCTTTTCACTCATGCCATTTATCCTAGTCTGAATAGGAAGGCCTGTGCTCTAGCAGTGAATAATAATAAGTTGATGATGATAATGCTAGATGAAGCACTTCAATTCCAAAAGAAAAAGAGCTGTGACATAATTCTCATATAGAACTATTATCATATGAAGAGAGATAGCATTATTGATGAAAAATACTTTTTTAGGTAGTTACCTATCGAGCTACATCACCATCGACTGTAACGAAGAAATCTAAAGCTGTGATTCTAACAGTCCAAGAAGGTCCAGCACCTGCAAGCACTACAAAACATTGGAACTTGACATTGGAAATACCCCCTATTCCTCCATCGAATCTCGTCAACTGCAATATCATTGATTTGGATTATGATCTGAAGGTGAGAATTGCTATTAACTGTAGGCAGTTTAAATAACAACAGGCTCTATGCCATTCATATTCTTTGTCTATATATAATCTCTTTGTATCTCTGCAATGTAATGCACATATTCATTCTGAGCAGATAAATCAGCAGAATTCCGTCAAATGCACCCGAATTCGCGTGTCTTCTTTTCATCACAGAAAGCAAAGAAATATGTAGGTACATTATGTTACAGAGATTATAGTGAATTTGCTCTGTTTTATTTCAGAGTCGTTTTGATGCGCTTCTACTCTGCGCTATAAATTGACTATTAGTGAAATGTGAATCAATAATGAATACATCATGTAAAATTCTACATAATAGGCTATTTGACAGTTTGAAAAATAAAGTACCAATGGTTGGCATATGCATTTAATATGAGTATTAACAGTGACTATTCTGAGATAACAAATAAATAATAACTATATATAGATATATGTATATTAAAAAAATGAGTCTGCTTATTACCACACGACTGAAGTCAAACTTCTTTAGCTCCATCTGTATATAATATAGATATATATGTGTGTACAATATATACATGAATGTACATATACATATTTCATTTACTAGCTATAAGAGAAAGATAGAAAGAAAATGTGCGCGCACATTGCTATCTCTTGCTTATATCCCCCACTTAACCCCCGTTCACCTCGCCCGAACACACTTTTCGTAACGCGTAACGCATTCGCCAGCTTACCGCCCAAGTCAAGCGTGCGTAAAGAAGTTTCACTTCAAAAAGTCGTTAAATAGAAATTATTTTTTTGTTCTATGGTCACGTGATCGAAAACGCCTGGGATCGGCGAAGGCTGTAATGACTTTACACGCTAGTAAATTCCCTCTCCATTCCATCATACTGAAGAAAGTGATGCAGAAGGGAGGTCACGACCCTCAGTAATGAGGAATGCGACCCAATGAGGAGGAAAATCCCTCTCAAATTGACATTATATCATATTTTTTGACGTTATAATGACAATCATGGTGTGACGTCACCTACTAGTGAGACGCCATAATGTCCAGAGAGACCTTTTTACGACAACTTGAAAATGAAATTTTTTATTTAGTGTTTTTTTTACTGAAATACACAACAGAATGATGAACATACAATTTTTATGGATTCCATAAATATAGCAAAATAACGTGAGATCGTTTTCTAAAGCTTGCCAAATACCCTATTATTGAGATAAAATTTTTCGGTCGTAGGTGGAGTGCGTGGTGTCTGGTATGCATATGAACATGAAAGGCAAGCGGTACGTGACCATCGGCACGGTGCCGCTCGTGGGGCTACCGGGCGCGGGGCCAGCGTCCGCGGGGCCAATGTCCACGGGGCCAGCGTCCACACAAGGCGGGGACTCGCCCGCCGTGCTGCCCGTCACGCCGGGATATCCGCAACCTTCCGTAAGATTTATCGTAATAATATGAGGAGATGGCGAAGAAATCAGTATAATTACATAAAATTAAATTATACAGGGGCTGTATAAAACTGAATGACATACCTACAGGTTTTGGCATGGTTTTTAATTTATAAATTTAATGATTTGAACACTGTTTTAGGTGGTTTTGATTGATAATTATTTGAGATTCAAATTAAACCTATTCCAAAAGAATACAAAATGGTCCTAACCCACTAGCAAGAACTTTGATGGAAAAGCAACCAAACAATACATTTAAGAGACTAAAGAGACGTGCTCCTCAAAATCTTCTCTAACACAAACACAGAAAAGTCAAAATAGATGGGCATATCATTGGATCATGTACCATGCACGACATTTTTATTCCAAATTCATAAAATCCAGCTTAATGTCGACAAAACAGATCGCATTAAACCTCCGGACTGTAAAAAAAAAGTAGTTAGACCAGTCCCTGTAGCATGAGCACCACAATCTATATTATATCACGTTTTTTATCGCGTCTAACTGTCAAACTCCATAGTAATTTTTCAATTGAGCGTGATACAAACGCGTTATATATCATAACATGGTGCTCATGCTAGGGGGGCTGATGCGCAGGGCCGTCTTTAACCTATTGGCCCTGGGCATATTAGGATAATGGGGCCCCTATGACTTTGATGTGGATTATGACTTGAAAAGGCGAGTCATACTGATGAGTGTAGTACTGATTATTTTTCTTTAAAATGAGTATGTGCTTATTATACCGAGAGACTAGAATAACTTCGTTTATGTAAAAGCTACTAAGTTGGTATTGTAGTCAATAATTTAGTTTCGATTTTATCGAATTATATAAGTTTTTTGGTAATAAATATTGGCTATCGTTTGGTTATCTGGCAGGAACTAGGGACTTTGTATTTGATCTGAGGGAGGTCTCTATCGATCGCGGGGCCCTGGGCACTTGCCCAAAGTGCCCACTGGGAAAGAGGGGTCTGCTGATGCGTAATGATACCGTTTTGTTCGCCAGCTCCTCATATACTGTTTTATAATAGTGATTTATGCAACTATTGTATAATAAATGAGGGCTATTAAAACACGAATGTCAGTCTAGTGATAATAGTATGACATGAGTGTTCTAATACCTTATTATAATGGTTGCATTGAAGACTTTACCTTCACCCATGATATGAAACCCCTATGGAAGATTCTGAAAGTATGGCGCATTGATTTTGATGTAATTGTAATATTTAGGCACCAACTTTTGGCTTAACTTAAATGGTTTTGATATAATTATATTATTAAGGTACCAACCTTTGGCTTAAATAACTTTACTTAAGAGAAAAAGAATGATTATGGTATAATTATAATATTTAGAGGAGCTCGATGATGAGGCGCGGGTTGGTCAGCGCGTTCGGCTGCGATCGTTGAAGTTAAGCAACTTTCGCAGTGGTCGGTCATTGGATGGGTGACCAAAATTCTTCTATATCGAGTTCCTCCGTGCTTCGGAAGACACGTTAAGCCTTTGGTCCCGGCTGCATCTGCAGTCGTTAGCACCCGCCAATCGGCACTGGGCCCGCGTGCTGGGTCATGGCCCAATCTCCCTATTCCATCCATAGGGAAGGCCTGTGCCCAGCAGTGGGGACATTAAAAGGCTGATGATGATGATAATGATGTAATATTTAGGCACCGTCCGCCCCCAACGGTGAGGGCGCTCCGGGAGGATGGGTGATGCCGGGCGCGGCCCCGGCGCAGCCCCCGCACCAGTCTCTGTATCCCACGCTATGTAAGTATCTTATAATTAACACTTTTAATTCAACTACAAAAGGCTACAATTAATCATTATGGTTTTCAGCCAAGCCAGTGTACTTGTCATTAAACTTTCTCATTACGAAAGTCTACAATTAATCATTACGATTTTAAGCCCAACCAGTGTGTTTGTCATCAAACTTTCTCATTACGAAAGTCTACAATTAATCATTGCGATTTTCAGCCGAGGCAGTGTATTTGTCATCAAACTTTCTCATTACGAAAGTCTACAATTAATCATTACGATTTTAAGCCGAACCAGTGTATTTGTCATCAAACTTTCTCATTACGAAAGTCTACAATTAATCATTGTGATTTTCAGCCGAGGCAGTGTAGTCATCAAACTTTCTCATTACGAAAGTCAACAATTAATCATTACGATTTTCAGCCGAGCCAGTGTACTTGTCACCGAACTACAATTACGAAAGTTTACAATTAATTATTACGATTTTAAGCCGAACCAGTGTATTTGTCATCAAACTTTCTCATTACGAAAGTCTACAATTAATCATTACGTTTTTTAGCCGAACCTGTGTATTTGTCATCAAAGTTTCTCGTTACGAAAGTCTACAATTAATCATTACGATTTTCAGCCGAGCCAGTGTACAAGGCTTCGCCTTATATCCCGAAAACGATTCAGGACAGAAACGACTCGAACCACACCAATATAAGCGGGACAAACTTCTCTCCATACTACCCTACGTATGCAGCGGTCCAACCGCCACCTCTACCTCAATGAAACACTAAACTGAATGCATTCTCAACTACTTTCTGAGCTTTTTGGCATTTATAACCAACTAATTGTATACATGTACTAGATCTTTTCGTATTAGTAGTATTAAGATCTTATATCCATATTTATAGATTTTATCTTAAAAAAAGACGTAGTGTGTTTATGTTACTTTGAAGGGAGTATGAATTAAATGAATTTATAAATGTAAATATAATTTTGACATTACACATGCAAAGCAAGCAAGCAAAATGTTATTTATGCATCAAATCACACATGTGAGCTGGCAAAATTATATTATCAGATTTTTTGCCGTTATTATAATGAATCTCGCAGTTATATTTCCAAATAGAGTATTTGACAGTATTAAAAATAAAGTTCTTATTATTGGCATCTATATTTAGGATGAATATTGGCAGCGGTTTATACTATTTTTACATAAAACATGGGTAATTTTACTATAAATATATTTGTCAAATACCCTATTATACTTTCTTCCACTAAAATTAAGACCGTCCAATTAATTTAGAGACCAAGTCAGTACTTACGTAACCTATTGGTTTTATGTTAATAAATGTAATTTCATAGATTTCAGAAAGTGTATTCCTGACTTAAATGTAATCTCAACAAGTCGTTTATGTTATCTGTAGACATCGGATGTAGGGGCTTTATCCTTTACCAGCTTCTATTCACTATCGCTTTCTATCACTCATTTTGAAGTAGTGATCTGAAGATGTAAGTTTTGAAATTATTATTGTTATGAGCAAATTAATAAGGCACTTACTTATTACTTACTGTTTAGGTTTAAAAAAAAATACTACATAATGTCTAAAATATGAAACCCAATTAATTAATTTTTAGGCTTTACTATAGGAGTTGACATACCTTGGTTGCAATCAGCAACTTCAGAAAATAGATGTATATTAAAGGTAGCAGGAAACTTCTTCAGCAAAACCATCGACAAATAGACTTGCTACTGCGCAAGTTTCCTTGTCTATGCTCGATGCTCAAGAAGTTTGGCGGAGTGAATACAACAAGATCCACTTATTTTTTCTATTATTCTTTTAAACACTTAATCAGGGTATTTGTGATACAAATGTGCGCTCAATATTATCAGCTTCTGATTGGAGTTTTAGGTAAATAGCTGTTCAAATATCCGATTTCTACTTATCTCTATGAAAGTGTTTTACAAATATCAGTGCCAAGAAACTATTATTGTATTATAGCTTTATATGCTCTATGCACAATTACTTCGTAATAATATTAGCGAAATGGTAATGCTTTGGTGCTTTTGGAATCTGATTAGTAGTATATGTGATAAAATGTTATTTTTATTATTTTATTATATGATTACTTCTTTTATATTGTATTTAAAGGTATAATTTATGAAAAAGAAATATATGATGTTATGATAATAATCTTTATTGATTTTCCTTCACAAAAGTAAACTATAAAATAAATCTTGCAATATAAAATAACCTTTTGACTATGGGTCAACAGAATAGTGTGGGTAGATACAACAGTGGTATACGAGACGTTACCCTCATTTCATACAATGTTTTGTAGGCGAATACGCAATCATCGGCTAGTTATAATATTATGGAATGCTATTTTTTTTACAAACATGATTTTCATGTTTATAGGTTATTATTCAACTAAATTTATAGTACAACCAGTTTCCAGTGGTATCGTGCATAATACAACACTACAACGGAGGGTAGACTGATTTTGACAGGGAGACTACCTCGCATAATTTCAGTTTTTCCGACACCAACGTACCGAAATAAACGTCTTTATTTATTTCGGTACGTTTATTATGAAAGCTTGAAGATATGAATGAATGCTGGAGACATATTCTCGTTTCATTTGGAATCAATATTTAGAATTCCTATACGGGTATATTTTCTACACATTTCGTCAAACCCACACATGTTTGGAGATCACTTTCTGAAATGACCGCCTTTGCATACGACAATTTCTGGTTTTGTTAATTTCTGGTAAGACTGCCTTATAATATGACTATTTCTGGATTCTGCCATTTCGTTTTTAGTCAGTTTTTTTTTGGCTTTACAAGAAGTGGTTATAATCAGAAAAAGACCAAAAAGAACAGGTCCGTAACCGTCTAACCCACTTGTGTCGAGGATGGCATAATGATTCCTATCGAATGTTTCAGGTTGGGGTTCAGTTCAAAGTGCGTAGAAAATATACCGCGTATTATAATCTAGTATTCTTGGATGCTGTTTGCTAAAGACTCATATTTAAAATATTTTTCTTTTGATAAGATGAAATAAATAATTGTTTACCTTAAAGGAGTTAACTAACCACAGGCGGGTTTAAAATGGTTTGAAAACGTCATATTTATTTATTAATCCTCTAACCGATGACTGCTAAGAAAAATACCCGTTTGTAACTAATAATACAATCACTACAGATTACAATATTGTACTAATACAAATATAAGACAGTTAATAGACTATAAAGAATTTAACATCAGTTTTTGATTTTTTATATAAACATATGTTGTGTATGTGTATACTTATTACTCGTGAAGTTTAAAAAAATCTAATTGCATATTGATTCAATAGATTGAATGTTATTTTTACGGTTTACATCAACTCACAATTAACCTTAATCTTGAGTGATTATTTAAATTATTAGCACTGTTTAAGTGGTGGTATACTCTAGTTTTATCAAAAGATCATAATCTTTGTAGTCTCAGAATAAAAAGGTTTGGTTATAGCTTGCGCTGGAGCTTTGATTATATACTGAGTAGATACCGGAAGCGGTACAAAAAATATCTACTACATATGGTAGATATGCTCGTAGTTACACACTCACACATTGACTGCTTTAGTACAATCTGATATCAGAGTCCTACACACATTGCGCGTAACATGAGGCGCTTTCTTTGGATTGCTCTATATAGGCATATAAATAACCAAGGCGCATGGAGCATGAATCAATTATGTCAACATACAACTACAAAAAAATTGCTTTTAACACCATTGAAAACTGACGAACCTATTCAAACCGTAACTGTAGTAGTAGTTAAAAAACTATCAACATGTTGGCAAATAAAAAAAAATAAAAAAAAGTTTTCGTATCCAAATTTTTACAATAAATAAAAACTATAACATACGATATATTTAATTTAAAGAGTGACTGACGGCTTTAACGCCAATAACGTAGTAAATTTTATTTACTGTTATTTTTATATTCGACTACAAATAAACAAATAATCGAATGCAGAAAAAGCCTGAAGATCATGTGCTAATAATTCAACCAATAATCAAGAAACAATTGCCAAGATAACGGTTAGGGGTCGTACGCACGAGTGCTTTTTCATGGCATTATTTTTGATGTTTGTAATAGATGATAGGGCTTTAACTTGGACTTTTTTTTATCAGTCCATGCTCCATTTTGATACACTGCATATAAGTCGAAAACTTAAGTGCGCGCGTAGAAAAAGCGCTCGTGTGAACGATTATTTACGATGCTAATTCCTAACATAAAAAAGTACGAACTACATAAATATAGTTCCTTTTCACATGAAATGACGTTAAATTATGAATTAGGCTATGAAAATGGCGTGCGCTATTATTTAACAAAACCTGACATTTTATAAAACAAAATTACCGAACTGTAGGGTTTTATTTAGCGTTTATCTGTAAGTGTAATAAAGATACTTCAATATATATTGGATTGAATACATCATTTTTTAAAACAACTAGGACAAACTACTAGAATGCGATATAATGTGTTATTCCATGCTTACGTTAAACAATATGAGAAGGAAAAACAACAACATTATCCTGCAATATTTAGATGAGTTTAGTGACTTATTTCGTTATGTACGATTTAAAACCATCGCCAAATTCTATATGAAGACAACGAGAAGTTTACGATGACGAAAAAAAAAACTAGTTTTACAGATATAAGTGTCGCCTAAAATATTTCATTCGCTCGCTTAAATTGTAAAATGTGACGTCAAATAAAAAAATAAAATAAAAGATGGTGTGATTTCGCGTCAGGCGATTCGGTTCTCTAATAGAAAATGCGCCGATACCGTCGATGTCGCGTTTAAAAGATGGCGGGACGGCTCGCTGCCGCGTTTTCGCTTCGAACGAGTCCGCTTCGCTGTACGGGAGGAACGTTGAATTTTCGACAGTTCCAAATACGAACGTTCGCGCGCTGTTCGTCCTACAGTGTACGGCGTGGCGACCGCGAACTCGCACCCTGTCTACCCTCCGGAAACGTTGAATTTGTACGCATCATCGTGTGTCGGCCGCGTCTTGTGTCGTCGCGGGTCGCGGGTCGCGGCATGTCTGCGGGCTCGGGCGGGTCCTGGCGTCGGCCGGGCGGGTCCTGGCGTCGGCCGGGCGGGTCCTGGCGTCGGCCGGGCGGGTCCTGGCGTCGGCCGCGCGGCTCAGTAGTGCGGCGCGCGCGACCGGAACCCGCCCTGGTACGACGAGTCCTGCGACAGGAGCCCGTCCACTTGCGAGGGGCACTCGCCCGCCGCAGATTCCTGAGACAACTCCGCCTGCGACGCGCCTTGCGACAGCGACAACGGCGCGCCTTGCGACAGCGGCTCTTGGGATAAACGCGGGAGCGGAGGACGGCGACGAGCGCGCGTTTGTTGTATCGGGTACTGAAGGAAGGGGCGGTGCGACGGGAAAGCGGCGAGGGGCACTGCAGTGTGGCCCATGGATGCACGCGGGCCTACGTAGGCCAGCGGGTCCCGCGGCGGTCTTGCGCGGTCGTAGATCGAACCCGGGACCATCGCCTCGCGCGCGTCGAACATCGACGTCGACATGAAATGCGATCCCGGATTCTGCGCGTTCACAAGCTTCTTCGGCTTCGCGAACTGGATAGCCGACTCTTTCAAATTAGACAGCGGCCCTTCGGTGAGCACGCGCCGCTCTTTGTAGAACGCGAGCAGGTGATTCCAGAGAGGTTGTTTACTGAGCACTTTGGGGTTGCCGACGACGATGAGGCCGTACTTGGCCCGCGTCAGCGCCACGTTGAGGCGACGCGGATCGCTCAGGAAGCCGATCCCCTGGTGCTCGTTGGAGCGCACGCAAGACATGATGATGATGTCCTTCTCGCGGCCTTGGAAGGCATCCACGCTGGCCACTTCGATCTCCTGGTATAGTTTGGCATGCAGACTGCCTTGATACTGCATGTGCTGCACCAAGTAGGAGCGCTGGCCTTCGTAAGGGGTGATAATGCCGATTTGCTCAGGCCGAACGCCCGCTTTTAAGAACCGCGTCGTCAGTTTCTCAACGTTGGCCGCTTCGGTTCGGTTCAGATAAGAAGTCCCCGATCCGGCGATTTCCTCTTGGCCTTGTGTCACGTAGAAGAACATTGGGCGGTCGGGCCGCGGCCAAGGGAAATCTATCTTGTGCAGACGTCTCTCTTCAGCACTGACTCCATTTTGGAGCGAACCCTCGTAGAAGAAGTCGGAAGGGAAGCGAGAGAGTTCGGGATGCATGCGGTATTGGACTTCCAGGCGGAATGGTCGAATGCCTAAAACGACCAGTCTTTCAAACAAGCTTTGGCTGAGGCCGGCTTTGGCAGCTTTCTTGCACATAACGACAGGGCCTAGCTGGCAATGGTCACCGACGAGGATTAGTTGTCTGGCTCCGAGAACTACTGGCACCATACACTCTGGTTCGGTGGACTGCATTCCTTCGTCAATGAGGATGGACTGGAAACGCATCCGAGCGACTCTGGGATCTCCGGCACCGACGCAAGTGGTGCAGACGACATCTGCAGCATCTAAAAGTCGCCTTTCTGCCGCTCGTCTTAAGGCCCGATATCTCCTCTCGTCTGCAGCAGACAGTTCCCCGGCTTCTTCTTTCAGCCGCGTCAGTTTTCGAAGTTCACTATCTGCAGAGCCCAATGCTCTGGCTTGTTCGTGAAGAGCCAAGAACGAGACAGAAGACTCCATAGCTTCGCGGGATTTGGCGCACAATCTGACCACTTTTAAGCCAGTCCTGTGGATCTTCTCGGTGAGTTGGTCGACGGCTGTGTTAGAAGGGGCGCATACTAGTACTGGTCCCCCGTTTTGTCTGACTAGTTGGTAGACGATGGTGGCTGAGGTGACCGTTTTGCCAGTACCAGGCGGGCCTTGAATCAAAGACAGAGGCCGCTGGAGGGCGTGTTTTACAGCATAAACCTAAAATAAATAAAATTGTTTATAAAATACAGCCAAATCCTTTTTGTTGTAAGACTTAATGTGTGGCAGGCAACGCAGAGCAATTTTAAGTTACTAGGACTTTAATATGACATGATAGTTAATGTTAAAGTAAGTTGGTGCAAATCACACTTAGCAGGTAAAGATTATATTGATTTCTACTACAAATAATTTTTGGGATTTATTTATTCTCCATTGTTATGGCAACAAATGGCGGACTTATTGACATTAGGCATTTTCTACTACCGTCTACTTATCAGGTTAAGCACAGAAAAAATAGATCTGTGGATAAATTTACCTGGGAGCGGTTCAGATCCGGCAAGTTGGGTGCACTGAAATGCTTGGGAAGGTGCACACGGAACAACACTTCTTCGACTTCGTGTCCAAGCAGGCGTCGGTAAATGTACCCCGATACAGATGAGTCGTCCACTGCAAACTTTCGCAGGGCTAGTTGCATTCTATGACAAAAACAATAAAATAAATATAAATATTTCCAACACACACCAATTGGCCTAGCTCCAAAGTAAGCACTGTAAGGCCTGTGTTATCAGATGCTAGGATAACGGATAGAATACATATACTGTACATATTTAAGTATATTTATATAGAAATACATATTAAACATCCAGCACTGGGGGCCATTCGCCTAACGGAAATGTTTTGGAAAACGCTAACGCTTACGATTTCATTTTGTTATTTCTAGCCGCATGAGGTTTTCAAATGCCTCGCGCTCTTTTTTTTTCTTTTGCATTGGTAATAACAATATTTTAAAAAATGAGCGTGAGGTATTTGAAAAGCTTCCGCGGTCAGAAATAACAAAATAAAATCGAAAGCGTTAGCGTTTTCCTAAGCATTTCCGTTAGGCGAATGGCCCCCTGGAGTACAAATGCTCGTATTGATCGAGTCGAGTCGGCGACACCATGAAATCTGATGTAAAAACCACATGGCCACGGAGGTCATCAACAATGGAGAGTTTTTATACTTGTTTTTTAGGTTTTCACGCACATGACTCATTAAATAAAACAAGTTTCAACGGTATAGTAGCACTGATCTATTTATTTACTTTGTCGAGCTATCTTCGAAAGACATTCATTTTTAAAACTTTTAATTAATATAACTATAATTTAATTTAATTAATAAATTAGAGTTTGTATATTAAACAGTCTTAGAAAACTAACTGACGCGATAGTGGAAGGATGTAGAAACAGAAAAAGGCCATCAATAAATTTAAAATAATATGGAATATGAATTGCGCTAGACAAAAGTTCCACGCAAACTGCGATCAAGGAGGTGGGGCGAATAAACTGCGATCAACGCGCCAATCATGGGATTGGTTGGGATTCTCGTTGAACGTTATATTATCCAATTATAATGTCGGACAGCCGAATTCATTTGCAGATATTTGATTTGTCAGAGTAGATATTTTATTTTGCACGTGTGCGTATCGCGTTAATATTGAAGTTTAGCTGTATGAGTTTGGAACCATGTTCAAAGCCGCACAAACCGACGGCCGTATATGAACAGAGTCATGATTGTGAATGTAGCGAAAGATGCGAGTACGGACCGTGCCTTATGGCGTTCTACTCTCTCTGCCTAACCCAACCGGGACTCGATGTTAAGATAAATATAAAACTCCATAAATGTTAAAATGTGAAACTAATATTGAAGGCCTATGATGGTTACTGTGGGATTTTTAAAAACTAACTGTAATATGGACATGTTTGCTATTGTTGAAGGATTAATACAGGCCTAAGCACTTTTTAGCTTAATATAATTATAAAGATGACAGATCAAAAGCCTTTGTAAGCTTGTACTTGTATAATCTATACTAATATAGATGCAAAACTGTATCTGTCTGCCTGTTACATCTTCAAAAACAAACCAATGAACCAATTTATATGAAATTTGGTACATATATAGTTTGGGTCCAGGGAAAGGACATGTGATAGTTTTTCTTCCAGAATAAAAAGCTCTCAAGCAATCTATTAATTCTGGAATGAAAGTGAAAGCAGCAGTGAAAGCAGTCTTGAGTACAATCTTGAGATGCTGTTTTGTATGAAAACAGTATCTCAAGATCGTAGTCTCAGCGATGAGAGATCTATTAATAAAGACCTTAATTTCCTCATTTCAATTATTTATTTTGATAATATACAATGATGGACAAAAGTAACCGTACCTGTCAAAAGAAGTGCTCTTCCAGATGAAGTCAACCACAAAGTTGGAGGTGCAGTCCAATGGGGCTCCGGCGCCGCTTTTAAGTTCAAGGCCTACGTCATCCCCATAGTTGTCAGGGACCTTTATAACGTGCCCCACACCCGACCATGCCTTGTGGAGTTCCCCTACATATCTGAAAATTATTGAAACTGATTTTATAACAATAAGTTGATGTCATATTTACGAAAGTAACATTGCCAAAGTGATTGTTTTCGCGATTTTAATACCGTTGTCACAAAAAGCTTTGCCGCCGTCGCGAAAGTGCGAAAAGCATACAAAAATAGTTTATGCAACAGTAAATGGAATGTTAATCAGCTTAACAAAAAAACGTTAATTTAATTTCTACATTCAAGAGGATTAAATAACACATATTCATATGTTACTAGAGGTAATATTTTAGATAAACTTTTAAAAAAACAAAAAGGTACCTCAGTCTCAATTCATCACCATGCATCAATTTCATATCGCTGTCAGTTTTAGCGAGTGTAAAGTAAGCAATAGTTTTCTTGTTGAGACCGACATCCCAGCGCACCTCGATTCCTTCCTGGGTCTGAGACTCTTTGAGTCTTTTATCATAATCCGCTTCCAACTTTACCAGTGGGCCAAAGATGTTTTGGTACTGGTAGCCATCTTCATACCTGTTAATAATATAGGTAAATTGTTAACAAAACCAAGGGGTCAGGTCAAGTAGTGGTTTATATAATGATCAAATCATCATCAATAATCGAGTATATGTTTGAAATTGTTATTGTTATAAATTTTCTTACAAGAACATTATTATTACTTAAATTAGGTATTCAATTATTTTACAAGGAAGTTTAATCATACCTCAAGAGAACCTGGTTAGGTTCCTCATCTACCCCAGGCTTTTCTAGGTCTTGGAAGGTTGCATCGACATTGTCACGCCATAATTCTTCAAGGCGGCCTATTTGCTGGGGCGTAACCTACAACCATTTTAAATAAGTCTATGTATTATAAAGTTCTAATTATACAAATATTGAAAGAAAGAAAAGTTTCTAAAATATTACCTGGCGTGCCCTCATCTGCTCTGCTTCTGATGGTACTTTGACCAGCCATGACAGGAAAGCACGATCAGCTACAATTTAATGCATTGATAAAATTTAGCACACATACTATTTCAAATTCCAATACCAAAACCTAGTTAATTATTACTGAAATAACTAAGTTAGTTAATAAGTGCAATGTTTATTTGGAAATGAAACTTAATTAAAAATACTAACAGCGGGAGCAGAAATATTTTATAGAACAAGCAATGACTTCATGATACAATAAGTTAAATAATTCAATGATAAAATGTAAAACTTACAAATCAAAGGTTTCCATTGTTCTTGATCCCAATTCATGTCCTTCAAAGAACTTTGTGCAGCACATGGTTGGCTGGAAAAAAAATAAGGAAAGTTATTATGGAGTCAAAGGTCTAAGCACAAAGTCTGACAGCTCCAAAATCATATTGTCATCAAATTTTGTATGATAAAAGCAAGTTTGTGCTTACGGCCAATGGTGCTGCTTAGCTTTAATATAAAGCTTTAACTGAATTGAATTTTCAGTAATCTGATTGTGCAGAAGACAGAAACTAGTAAGGTACAATGCTATTTGTCTGATAAACTTACCGACACAGCAGTACTACAACAGAATCTGCTTTAGCTGGGATGAAACCAAGCACAAACACATTACGAGCCCCACATGAGTAGCATTCTAGAAGAGTTTCACCCAAAGGCCCATCTCGGTGTAAAGCCGCCTCTTTATGTTTGGCTCGCACCAAATGGTTGATGATATGAGAGCCTGAAGTATTACCCCGGCCATTGCAGAACCTATTTGCAGAATAAAACAGTTTTTAAAATATACCAAAGAGGAAATTGTTTATAATTATCAATATTTGTGTTATTTTAGCTCAAGAATGCCAAAATGTTATGTAATTTGCTCTAAAACATATCAAATATTAAACTTAAAAAAAGAATGGTGTTAAATTTCACATATAAGTAGAATTATTAACATATTATTTCTATTTAACCACTTTTAAACACAAAATTCATATTATTTTGTTAAAATTTCAATCATCAGACTTATTTGACAAAACAATTGACTTGCCAGTATAAATTTCAGATCTGTCAATAAAAAATCGGTAAAACTGTACTTCTAGGGCCCAAAAGGTGGTACTTGTTTTTTTTTTGTAGAAAAGGTCTTTTTAAGTTTTTTTTTCTGGCGCTTCGCCGGCCGCTACCTCTGCATGCTCGCTTTGCTCACTCGGCTCGCGCTTTATGGTCACAACAATAACCGAACCTAACCTAGTGTAAAGTATCACCACTTGATAAGAAAAGTAAAAATTTTCAGTATTTTTTTCTAAAAAACTACCAGTGCATAAGTGTGTCATTTTTTTAAATAATGTGGTTAACAGAAACCTTTTTAACAACAAAAATGCGAAATTAAAACCAACAAAACTGTGAAGTTTTTACTTTTGGGCCCTGGAAGTACAGTATATCCAAAAAATCTTAAGTTTCATCTGTGTCTGATTTAGCGCTGTCATTTTTTAAGAGCGCGTGTCATAGTTACAATTTCGTTTTTGCGAAAGTATGCTGGACTGCATTTGTATGCATATTCCTGCCACCCACCCTACCTGCAAAAGCTGCCGAATGATTTCAGTAGTATTGTCATTATGGCTACTCTCCTAGCCGTGTCAGCTGTGTTGCTCTCTAGTATATCCACTTTACTTTGTTTATTAACTATCTAGGAGTTAATATTCTAACAGGTGTCAGTCCATCACAAATAAATCTATGGAGTTTATTTAGGTTATGTTTCTTAGATGACTCACCATTTATTACAAATATTACACATAACCACAGTAGCTGGATCGTGGATGCCACAGTATTTACACGCATGGTCCGGGAGTTCTTTGCTGCTATATAAAGTTTCATCTTCCTCCTCAAATTGAAGTTCTGCAATAGCATTGGTGACGTTGGATATTTTAGAGGAGAGATCTCGCCCAAGACCGTTCACCTAAAATGCAAATTCAAGAATATACTAACAGAAACTGAAATTATCCTTATTGAAGTCCAATAAGGTTATGCGAACAACAAAGTTCACGTCACGCATCAATGTTATCAGCTGTACTGACCTGGTTAGATGACAGGCCATGATCGTGCTGGGAGGCCTGGGTCTGACTTTGTGAAGGAAGAGTAAAGTCGGTGAATTCAAATTCTGAACCCTGGGTGTCAGCTCCTATTAGATCCGCTTCTTCTGTATCCAAAAACGTGAGCGTCTGCGAGCTCGGCCCGTACGCGTCGACACTCATTATTTACCTGTGCAACGATTAACAATCTGAAGAAAATTATGTCAAAAAGAGAGGAATTTTGCTCGTTGCAGCAACATTCCAATAACAGTCACGCAATAATTATCAAACGAGTTGCCAAGAATGATGAAAAATCGCCATGTTAGCACATGGTTTGTTTCCTTTTACAAAATCGTTTATGATTGGTTGAATTTTGTATAATGTTAGATTTCCACCAATAAACATGAACATTCGATTGACGTATGCATTTTTGGACCAATTGTGAGCAAAGAAAACAAATATCATAGACAAATTATAAACGTTTTTAACCGACAGAATAAAAAACAAATCTGGTGACCATCTCTGAGTACTTAAACTTATGGAGATGGCATAGTATTCTATATGAACAATACAAATATGATTGATGTCGACATTGTACTCATAAACTTGTATCCATCTCATTTTAATCAACCTACAATAGTCCACGCGAACAGAGACAACATTATATGTTATATATGCCTGAACTAATAACGTCGACATTATAAAGTGACGTCTTTAAATGCTTATTAGCGGCCGGTCGCCATTCTGGTTTCTTACTGTGATCAGTACCCTTAGCACGAACCAAAATCGAATTCGTAATGTTTGCGAGTCCGAAATGTCATTGTCAAATGTGTACTGATTTTTAGTTCTCGTTACGTACTTTGTGCCGCTGCTGTTCAAGTTTTCATACAAAATTTGACATTGACATTTCGGTTTGCAAACTATTCGAATTCGATAATGGTTCGTGCTAGGGCTACAGATTGTCAACGTCTGTTGTATTTACAGAACGGGTGGGGGCGTTTTTAGAATAACGATGCGTAATAACGATGCCAGGTTTGGATGCACGTATCCGATGTGATTGGGTAACGTTATTGGATACCAATTCCATCTAGTTTTTGTAAACGTTACAATATTCACGCCTGCATTTATATTCACGCAGTAGTAAAAAGTTATCAGTTTTAATTTAAGATATACGTACATTATTGCTTATTTATTGGATAATAGATTGTGATAAATCTAAACAAAGGCGACAGAAAAATTTTGTAATTTTTGAAAAGTATAAAATCTCTTTTTCGAATAGGAGTAGATTTTTAATACCGTGGGCATAATGGGGCAATGTTTTATAATGAGAAGACGTCCATAAAAGTTCCACAATTGCATTGAAAAAAAAAAAAAGATTCCTTCCTATTCGAAAAAATAATACTTATTTTTTAATTTGTACCTCTATTTTATCAACGGCCGGCATGTAATTTTTTTATTGGGTTTATTTATAACTAGCTGCTGCTGTACAGGATTTCACCAGCGTGTAATTTATTTATACGAGAACTTAATTTATAGGGGTTCACGTCGCGTGGTAAATAAAATAGACACCCATTCATTCAAATCCGTGGAGCCGTTTAGCAGTAGAGGTAACAAATACACACAAACTTTCGCATTTACAACATATTTATTTATGTACTGTGTGATATCCCATCAAAATTAAAAAAAAATCTTAATGTCAAATATCACTTTTAGAATATAGAAATATCGTCACAAAATTACTTGTGTTCATAAAGATATCGATATACTATGGGACAGCACTATGTAAAGACGCCATTTTCGTTTTCTAGTAATTTTAGGTATACACGTTTTTTTCGTAGCCATCTCTATAGGTTTCAGTAGTCAGAGGTGACCATGGACTTGTGTATGTTATGGACATCCCAAAGTGTTTTAGGGTTCCGTACCTAAAGGGTAGAAATAGGACCCTATTACAAAGACCCCACTGTCCATCTGTCTGTCTGTCATCAGGCTGTATCTCATGTACTGTGATCTGTGATAGCAAGACAGTTGAAATTTTCGCAGATGATGTATTTCTGTTAAAGCTTTTACAAGAAATCCTGAAAAAAAACCGGCCAAGTGCGTGTCGTGCCACGCGCAGTGTAGGGTTCGTAGTTATCTGTCGTTATCACATTATATTTAAGCAGGAGTCTTTATATTCTGAATCGGAAATTAAAAAAACAATTAATATCAAACTATGTTTTTCAACTAAATTAAAAGTCAAACTGCGTCTCAAACTCAAAATCAATTCGATATTGATTTTTTTATATGAATGATAATTGTTGCGGCCCTCTAAATATTGTCAGACCTTTTTACTACTATGCTATGTATATTTTCTTAATTCATTCTTTTTAGCTGCCATATATATAATATGTCATCTGCTGTCTAATTGTCATGTATGTATTACCTATAGTAAATTGATACTATAAAAATATCGGGTTTTATTCAATTATTAAAGCCACGTTATGTAAGCCAATACATAAATTGGTGGCCCATGAGGGGAACAACTGAAGAAGTAAAAGCGAACGCGTAAAATACGAAGAAAAGTCAAGATACATTGGTCGCAAAGATGGCGCCTATGCAGTCTTGAAGATCTTTTCCAAAGGGTGGATGGAAGTGCAGTAACCTTATCAGGGATTCGTGTCTGGGCTACGGGCAGTGGACGTCTTAAAGTATCACACCGTGCAGCGCAATCTAAACTACAAGATAAGTGCCCCTCCATCACACATCCCGTCACAAAGTAACATCAAATTCTGTTAAATAGTCAAAATAGTAAACTATTTTCTATTTAAATAGTTAAACAATCTCCTAAACTTGCGTTAATACGTTGATCAAAGTGCATAATTACGATAAAAATTCGTAAACTTACAAATAAACTTATTAATTTTAAAGGTGGCCCATGCTTAAACACATGCATTTTACATTATAACTTATTCTTACAAATAAATTTATTTTAATATCATAACTAATACCTAGGAATTGTACTTCAAATTTATAATAGAATAAAATAGGTAATTGAACACTTGTTTAAGTAATTTAACATAACATTTTGCTAGTTCCTCATACTAAGTTTACAGCCGTGCTTGCGTACACTAAGTTAACAGTTTAATTCCCGCATATTTTGTCGATAATTCCAGGATATGCTTGTAGCGCGGGCCTGTTACGTAACCAGCTGATACGGATAACAGCTGAGCCAGGCTGGTATCGCGGCTGCTGTTCCGACATCGTTGTGAGGAGCGTGAGCGTACCTATTTGTATTTTTTATTGTTTGTTTACTTAAACGTTCATTAAAAGTAATTCAATATGACCACGAATCTTAATGAAGGGGCGTCTGCTGACGCTCTTAGTTCTGCAAAGGAGCTTAAATCTTTGCTTACAATGCGTAGCTCAATTAAAGGGCAGATAACTAAATTTAATAATTACATAAATAGCATCGTTGATTGCGTAGAACTAACACGTGTTCAACTAGCGGAGTTAAATCTTAAACTTAGTAAATTCGAAAGCTTATCATTAAGATTCGACGATTTACAAAATCAGATTGAGGTGTTGCGTCCGGATAATTTATCTAATGAGATTGATGAGCGTGAGAGCATTGAAAACAAAATTATTAAAAACATTGCAACGGTAAAGGGTCTTTTAGAAAAGTATAATAATACAAATGAATTCGAACAGCGGCGTCTGTCTGTCGCAGCGGAGAGTTCATGCTGTCACGGTCATCATGAGCAAGGTTTTAAATTGCCGTTAATAGAAATTGCGAAATTTGACGGAGCGTATTTTCGATGGCTTGAATTTCGGGATACTTTCGAGAGCTTGATTCACAATAACAGCCGTATCAAACCGGTTCATAAGTTCCAATATCTCGTATCTTACTTGGAGGGCGATGCGGCTCGAATAATTTCGAATTTGGAAGTGTCTTCGGCCAATTACGAGGAGGCTTGGCGGATGATCCGGGAGCGCTATGACAACAAAAGGATGCTCCTTAATCATCATCTAAGCTCCTTGCTAAATATTAACCTGCATGCTCGTGAGTCCGAAAAATCGTTACGGTATTTGGTTGATCACGTCACAAAAAATTTACGTGCTTTGGCCAGCTTAGGCCAACCAACTGATCAATGGGACTTGCTGCTAATTTTTATGTTGTGCCCTAAATTAGATAGTCGCACATTGAAGAAGTGGGAGGAGTACCGTAATACACTCGATGACGTTCCGACGTTTGAACAATTTAAAAGATTTCTGATTGATCGTGCGGATGTCCTCGAGGCATTAAATCGGAATAAATGTGATAGTGAGATTTCTAAACTCGTACCTTCATCACCTCGTTCTAACTCAGTACAGCGAGCTTCAACTTCGACACCTCAACGTTTTAATAATAAACGAGAACAATCTTCGTTTATAAAATCGTTTCCTAGTACGACTCATCAAACGAAGTTGGTCTCATTTAGAGGTCAAAATAAATCGCCTGTGTGCGTCTGCATAATTTGCAACGAAAATCATAAAGTTCATGAATGTCCAAAATTCATTGCAAAATCGATTCAGGAAAGACTAGCCGAAGTGGAGATGTACAAGTTATGTGGAAATTGTCTAAAACAAGGCCACCGCGCGAACGATTGTCGTAGTGGTCCTTGTCGCGAGTGTAATAAAAGGCACAATAGCCTGCTCCACGAGCCTGCGCCATGCGATGTAAACAACGCGGCAGTGCTAAGTCAATCAGCCGTGGTTAACTTTAGTCATTCAAACAGCTCAGTGCTTCTGTCCACCGCGCTCATAAAAGTGTCCAACCCTGTAAGCAAAGAAGCTCACACGGTTAGAGCATTGCTGGACAGCGGGAGTGAAGCTACTTTCATTACGAAGGCATTGCAACAAAAGTTGTGTCTTAAAGTGCAGCCTATTAATTTCTTAAAGGTGATAGGCATTGGAAACAGTCGTGCAAAAAACGTTGCGGAACGCTGTAATGTCCAAATAAATTCACTGAACAGTGAATTCAAAGTTATTTTGTCATGCTTAACGTTAGATGAGCTAACAAGCGACATACCTAAAACGACAATAAACGTCGAAGGCTTGAAATTGCCTAAAAACATTAAACTCGCCGATCCAAACTTCAACCAATCGGCTCCCATCGATATGTTGATCGGAGCAGATCTGTTTTGGGACATCATCGGAAGTGAACAACAGTCCCTTGGTCCAAACAATCCAAGATTGCGTAATTCGGGGCTCGGTTGGTTGGTATCTGGTCCTATAAATGATACTAATCACTATCAAAATAAATCAATTAAGTGTAATCACACACAAATCACTAATTCGCAAGAAAATGAAGTGCCCAAATTGTTGCCTAAGTTCTGGGACCTAGACGTTCCTGATAAATCAAATGTCATCAATCAAAAGGAAAAGGCTTGTGAGAATCATTTTTAGCTAACACTATTCTACTCGAAACGGGTAGGTATTATGTTAAGCTCCCGCTAAATGACACTCCGGACAAACTTGGAGATTCTTATTACGCAACCAAAAAACGGTTGCTAAGTTTGGAGAAAAAATTTAAACGTAATCCGGCTCTTAAAACTGAATACGTAAATTTCATGAATGAATAATATATTCGGTTAGGCTATATGTCC